GAGGGGTCAACCCCAGGACCGAAGCAAAGCTGAAAGAAATAGTAGAGAAAAGTGAAGTACGGTTAGGGGATGCCAAGAACATAAGAAAGAACATAAGAAATGCAGAACCAAAAAAAGACCAACGTCCATTTAATTCGCCTTCCACATTCCTGGCGGTCACATACACACATATCCTGAACTACCTATGTACTGTACCCCACAATGTTATTTCCTAAAAGGAAACTATCTAATCTGTGGTTGAAGGAATCAACATTTCCTGCATCAAATGTCTCCGGAGGGAACCTGTTCCACAGGTTCACTGTTCGGTGGATACCGGAACTTCTTAGGAATCACCAATATTTTGGGGGATTTTGATGCATTTGTAATGGTGGAATCCGATCAGATCGGACACAACGTCTCCTTTTAGGATCTGTTGCTAATGACACAGAGCTTAGCAATGTGACAGCTGATTTTCCACATGCTGTCTCGATGCCTTGTTCTCTCTGGTGACCCGTGCAACGCTTTCTAATGCATATTTCATGGAGCGTGCACAATTCTTTGCATAATAATGAAATCCAGCTCCTGGTGACTGACCAGATGCAGCTTTACTGCCAAGGACTCAGTAAGAACATCCATTAGTCAAGGTTCAACTAATTAATTTCAAATCTGGAAACCGAGGAAGGGTTGGAAGGTGTCAAGAGGAAAAAAATTCAATCTTTGATCAGCCATTATCTGATTGTGTTTCCATTTCATGTACAATCCACATTATTACCGGTGTGTTACTGTTTCAGAACAAAACTTGCATTTGAATATTCAGCTACAGTTTGTAGGATATCTAATACAAGGAATTAAATGGATAAATGGAATCCCTTTAACATTCTTTTTTATTTAGTCATAATAATAACGATCCTTGCATTTGATATAGTGCTTTATCACGTCTTCGAGACATCTCAAAGTGCTTCACAGAATATACTGTCAAGTGTAGTGACTGTATATTTTGTGGGCATTTACTGTTGTTTCAAGAAGTTACAGATGAGTGGAAATGCTTGGCATTTCAGTGCAAGTCCGAATTAGATGACAACGACAACAACTTGCACTTATATCGCGCCCCTCCACACCTTGCGGCGTCTCAGAGCGCTTAACAATGGTGGAGCCCAAGGCCCAGGGGGAGGGAGAAGGTGACCGTAGGCGGGGTCCAAAAGGAAGGTCTTCAGGAACGACTTGAAGATGGGGAAGGAGGGGGCGAGACGAAGGGGTTGAGGGAGGGAGTTCCAAAGTTTCCGGGGGTTAGTGGCTGAAGGCCACTCAAAAGGAAACGTGCTCATTCTACGCCTGATGTACAAAGTACCTATTGGAAGGTTTGACAAGGGACGAGGGTTCTGAGAGACTATCGAATGCACAGCTGGAAGAACGTGTCCTTGTGGTTGGCACAGGGTTGGTGGAATGCCAACCGCGATTGGGTTTCCAGTTTGCGTTTTGTGAAAATTGATATTGAAATGTATTTTGGGCCGGTCCACTTGTCATCAGCGTTGCATAGAATTATTGAGGCAAAACGTGGATAATTGATGTACATAACTAAGAGTTTCTTTCATTTTCTTTCATCTGTGCAGCTATTTGGAGTTAAATCTGCCAAATGAAATGTTATTTTACGGAATTCAAATCCCAAATCCACAATTGTGAATTTGGTAAGTTTGTTATTCTGGTGCTCAATGCTGCAGGTGTCGTTATTCAGATGCCGAGTCACATGCAAATAATCTCTTTCTGTGAGAATAAAACTGAGTACGTGTCTGTTAATGCAGCTTATGAGCTGACCGAGACAGATAGGGACAGCGAACTGAAGCTTCTGGCTCCAAGGCTTTCATCTCTTGATTGAATTCCTGGGAAATTTTCACAACAAAGCCGAAACATGGTGTGGAGGACATTTTGTGCTGTTAAGCAAGCTTCTCACACGACTTTCGGGTCGGAAAATAGTCATGGTTTTTAGAGGCGTATTAACATGAAGGTAAACATGTTGCATTATCTCTGCCTCACTAAAGTGTAGAGAAAAGAAGCCGGAATGTTGCTTACTGCTGGGTGAATAATCCTCTCTGCCCAGCTGTGTTTGCTGTGGAGCTATGTATGACTTGCTGACGTAGGATTAAGACCCGGTGCATAAATTCTTCGAATGTGTGAGAAGTTGCAGAAATAAAGCCATTCTACGATCCATGCCTGCAATTTGTTTTTTTGTTTTCCTTGGCCTGAAGGCAATTCATTGCAAGTTAAACGCCAAAGAAAAAAATGACTTCCCTATAGGCCTAAATGTGCTCAAACTAGAATACAATACAAAATTACCTTTGTACAGCGCCTTTCACGCCGGGAGGACTTCCCAAGGCGCTGGACAGTCAGGGATTTGGACCCGAGCTGGGGGGGGGGGGGGGGAGAGTGGATTGGGATCAGGGAGGGCAGGAGGGTGGTCAAAGGCGCAGTTGAAGAGGAGGGTCTTGAGACGTGCCTTGAAGGAGGCAAGGGAGGTAGCGAGGCGGAGGGAATGTGGGTTGGAGTATCTAGCTGTGGCTTTTTAAATGGGACTGTTGAATTTTTCTATTTGTCTCAGGATAGACAAAGCGAGTTGTAAGCTCTTTATTTCAGAAGGGACACAGAGGAAAAATAGAGCTACTGACTACTGTATATGCTTAGCACAGATGGTTATATGGTCACAGACGTTTAAACACTTAGGAAGAATGGTTTTAATGCTAGAAGATTGGTTGGGTGTATTAGTTAATAGCTGTCTAGGAGTGCACAGCAATAGTTTAGTTCAAGGCTCTGGAGATTTATATCATAGAATCATAGAATTATACAGCATAGAAGGAGGCCATTCGGACCATCGTGTCTGTGCCAGCTCTTGAAAAGAGCTGTCCAAATCCATCCCACATTTAGTAAGTGTCATCTGAAACCTGGGACAAGATTATTTCTTGAATTTTGTCAAAAAAAATACAATTCCTGCATTCAAATGAACACTTTCTACACTTTCTAACACTCAAACATCTCAGTGTGTTTCACAGAGTTGGTAGGAGAACAGCACAGTCAATCAACACACCGTAAAATCTGTGGGCCAAGACACTGAGAAAAACTCCCCTTCTCTTTTCAAATGATGCCATAGGATCTTTAATATTCCCCAGAACAGAGAGAAGGGACATCGGTCATTGGAGAAAAACAGCACCACTGGAAACCTGACAAAAGAAATAGCCTAGTCTATCAGCTCAAGCTCCCGATGTGGGGCGTGAACCCCAAATCCCTAACTCAGAGTTGAGAGTGTTACTAACTGAGCCTAATTACCCTTTATAATTGTATCTTGAAATATGTTGATTTCATTTATTTTCGACATTATCATTGTTATTGCCGGGCTGAACAGGAAAGACAGCACGACTCTGGCAGGTCAATAAGGCGTGTAGAGTATCATCTCGCTGCTATTACAGTTGCAATTATTTTGACAGCAAATTATTCTCGCAAAGACTCCTCAACTGAATAGTCCTCCAATAATTGGCCACCGCTCATATTTCTTGTTTTAAATGATCATGCTGTTTATTGTGATTGAATCTTATTTTCTCAATCTGTTCATGAATTAGGAGAATACCAGGATATGGACACATCTAACACTACATACATACTAATACTTCTGGGCCCTTCCGCATTCAGTTCCTCTGCTAAACCAAACTCCTCCCTGTGTTACATTTCATTACATGCTGACTTAACCCACCGTGCGCTCTGTGAATGTACCGTGTCTGCTTAAAGCCGTTCTTTCTCTCTCTCTCTCTCTCTGTCTCAGTTCTACAAATTTGCAGTGTTCTCAGTTAGATTAAAGGAATTATTTTGTGAAATCAATGACTGGATTGCAATTTGGAGACTCCGGGTCTTTTGCCAGTCATTAATTGATTGGAAGCATTGATTGATTTCTTTCTACGTCAGCTTTTAAAATGTTATTCCAGGTGTGATTGTTCAGCAGTTATCGATTGGGGTCGGGAGACCTCTGGTTTTCTGTAAGTAACTGTGGGAAGTAATGATCTTTGCAATTATTTGTACTGCACAAGGGCCTGTGTAGTTTCTTCAGTCTTTTGTAAGGTAAAGGTTCTGAGAGCTTGTCACAGAATACTTAGGCTGCTGTAGAAAGCAACAAAACTTGCTGAATCCCAAGTCCCTTTCCTTGTATCAGATTCCTTTGTAGTAATGATCTGTGGGTGCATTTGTCCGGAAAATAAACAGGAGCTGAAAATGTTCTTGCCCGAGGCATTTTCTTTTGATCCATACATCTTGAACAACAGTATAGCATTGGCAATGTTACCTTTAGAAACGGACAGTTTCGTAACCGAGTAATAGGTGTTTGAACCCCACACTTCAGGTGTCAGGCAAATCTCTTATGCTTTGAACAGTCTGCCTAAGTCAGTCACGTTTTATAACAACGGGGACACTTGGACACTGAGAAAATAGAAAGGCTTAAGGCTTTGTTGCTATTCATCAGAGTAAGTGATAAACCGTTACTTAACAGCCTGCTGCGTTTTGCTCACAAAATATACAGTCAATTCACTTCACACTATAAGCTGTGAAGCGCTTTGAGACGTCTCGAAGACGCGATAAGGCGCTACATCAAATGCAAGGATAATTATTATTATCATCATCAGAAGTTTCAAACCAAATCTTTGGATGGATTCACTTCAAACCTGGGGAGAAGAATGAATAAGTGTTCTTCTCCAGGAGTCGCAATTAAACATCATTCATCAACCTTAGACCAACCTTGTACAATGCCTAGGTTTTGAATGTAGTTGCCATTTATTAGTTGAACATGATGTCCAAGCCATCTGTTGTTCTCCCCAAACAGCACCAGAAGACACTCTACAACACCATCGCTTTGGCTGTTGGTTGGCAATGGCTAAATGCCTCACATGGCACATCTGGAATATGATGACCCCGTCATTGGAAGCGGCATCGAGTATTACGACTTGCCAGACTTGGCGTATTTTAATGTGTTTTTTTGTTGTTGTTGACAGGAGACAGAGCTGAATAAGAAAAGAAAAGAATGTGAGACTCTTGAGGAGGAAGTTAAGAAGAAACAGAAAACATGCAAGTCTTTGGTAAGCTATCAATCACTCAATCACGTAAAATAAGCAGTGTAATGAATCAAATTGGTGATTGGGGTCAGGACAGGAGAGTGCAATGTGGGGCAGAAGCTCCACATGAGATGTAGGCATCCCGAAACTCTAAGCATCAGCTTTGAAATCCCTTCAAAAACAAATCATAATAAATCGGTCATTCAATCCACGACTGTGTGCAAATTGTCTGCCGCGTTTCGCCCACAAAAATATACAGTCAATTCACTTTACAGTATATTCTGTGAAGAGCTGGGACCATGCGTTGAATTCCGAGATTTGTGCGACTACGATAAGTAATCAAACTAAGCATATTTTCAACTGTATTCTTGCTGAATTGAGAGCCAAATCATCTGTCTCCTTATATATAAAAAAATGCTTCTTTTGGATGCACTTTGTACGTGTGTATGTACCAAGAGAGCCAGTGCCTTTCACCGTCAGCAGTGCCTCTGATAGCAAAGCGACGTCTCATATGTAAATATAGGTTCGTTGCTCTAACTGCTAGTGAAATTGTTGCCCGTGGCTCAAATCATTCAGTTCATCGTTCAATTCAAGAGCATTATGTAAGTGTGCAAAATTGACTTTTTTTTAATATAAGTGTACAGGTTATGCAATCCCAGTAACGTCCATTACATAACATAACATAAATGTAGATCGCTGGATTTTACCCAGCTGTGTCTTCTTTAATGATATTCTGTGAAGCGCCTTGAGACGTCTCGAAGACGTGATAAGGCGCTTTATCAAATGCAAGGATTATTATTTATTAATGTTTAAGATTTGCCGTGAATTTGACAAATCCGTTTGCTCTGGAGTCCCAAGTTTCCAGTCAATGTTCAAAGCCAGGGCCTTGGCAAGTGGAGAGGGTTTAGTAATACACATAACTTGGTACAAGCAGCTGTTGCATCAGTGTCTGCTATCCAGTTCCACAAAACCACTAGATGGAGCATATCAACATAACCAAACACTGATGTAAAATGTTTTTTTTTAACCTTCTGTGTGACAAAGTGGTCATTAATAATTCATTCAGTGGATAAGAAAACACAGTTTATTTTGCATGGAATACATTTGCTAAACGGTTGCCCTCTAAATTGTGTTGCTTATATAACAAAAACTAGGAGCAGTTCCTAATTATTTTCAATCTCCATCTGTTTGAGCCTGTGCCATGTCGTTGTGTTGGTTTTTTTTAACTGCAGATATACAACTGTAAACAAGACTGATTAACCACCCTTATTTTATGAGCGACTTCAAGCCCATCTTAGTTTGACTTTTTAGGGATTTTCAACTGTAGTTTGTTGCTTCCTATCGTGAAGAGGTGAAAAGCAGCCTTGATGTACATCAGTAAATAAATGTTGAACGCGATTGTGTCTGCTTTCAAGCACTGATTTAAAAAGAAATTGGCTTTTCTGGATTCTCTTGATTTGCAGAAGCCTCTACACCCTGTATCAGCAATAACTGTAGGGAGTACAATTAGCGCTTCCGTTACTTTAGGACTGTGGATATGAAACAACGGATCTCATCAACACTCGGCCTGAACGCATCCTGCTGATTTTGATTGAGTTAGAAACGTACAACCCACTTACTGTGCTGGGAAAAATTGCAGTTCAAAATACTTCTTTCTTACGATACTGACTGAAGTGCTTTTATATTTTGAACAGCGAAACAGTTTTATCACTGTGTAGAGAAAAGCAAGGATTTTAAAAGGAAAATGATTGCATCAACTAACGTAATATTCACTGTTTTTTATTAACTCAATCTTACCTGCCATCCATTCCCACATTCTGCTTGCATCCCAATCGGCATTTGTGGGAGTGATTCAACCCAGTGAGGCTGCCTCATCTGATAATTTAACACAATGCAAACATTATTTAAAAAAAGATAATAAATTGCTCATTCGATCCACGACTGTTTGTGGGACTGTTTCGCCCACCAAATATACGGTCACTTCACTTTACAGTATATTCCGTGAAGCGCTTTGAGATGTCTCGAAGACGTGATAAGGTGCTGTATCAAATGCAAGGATTATTATTATTATAGCGCTCACTTCACAAACTGGTGTCCCTTCTTCCCTTCCGTCCCACCTCATTCACTCACTCTCTTGTTATCACAAGCTCGGCAATTTAATTAATGCCTGGAAAGGATTTCCAAGGAAGGGTGGTCGAGGCCAAGACACTGGACATGAACAGCTTGGCACTATAATAGAAGGATGAGATCAAATGGGCCGAGGAGCTTTCTTCATTAAAACGTCTCCTGTGAATCAGAAAGCCTTTCCTGCAGTGAGGCTGCTGCTAATTTTGTTACACGAAAATAAATGGCACAGTGTGTCGTGAAGGGCTGGACTGCTGTTGCTCAGCGGGTCTGTGCTGTGCAGAAATTAACGTGAGGTTTCTAATAAAAGAATGATCAGATAATAATAATAATAATCCTTGCATTTGATATAGAACCTGATCACGTCTCGAAGGATACACTGTAAAGTGAATTGACTGTATGTTTTGTGAGCGAAATGTTTACAGGTTTCCAGGTCGTATGGAACCAACTGTCAGATTGTTGGCTGTTTGAGTGTTTCACCTGCAAACACTTACACAGGTGTAAGCAGCTCATGGGTTTATCCTCTTAGCACAGGGAAATCACCGGTGACACAGAACACTACCCAGCCAATTCAAGTCTCTGCACGATGTATTGATTTCACCACAAGGAGTCATTAATCTCCCCCATGTCTTCAGGCAACAAAGGATGTTGATATCATTCGTTTAAGTTAGCGATGTGGGAATCTTCCTTTTTGCCAGTGTAATCCAATCAGCATAGACTGAGCTGAACACAGCCCATGTCTCTTCTTACTGCGGTAAGCAGCCACGTGGCTGATTATACCATTGATAAACACACCTGCACATGGATCTGAGTCATTGGATGAAACCATTTTTATTTTCTGTTCTAAAGGCTGAAGTTCGGACTTTATTAAGCAGTGCGGTGTTTTGGAAAGTTGGTGAATATTCTATTGTATTTATAGGGAGACAGAATGGAGCTGTTTATTTCAGAGTCTCTGGCTAAAAGAGTAGGAGCCCATCTGTCGGCATTTGTCAATGACAGAGTCTCTAATGTAGTATTTATGCTGTATGTCTACCGCAGTCATGCAACTGGCTCTTTGATAATGCCACAGATTAACATTTTAGTGTCAGCCTATATATGATGTCCGATGTAATGTGGGGTCGGAGAATAAACCAGGCTCCACATGACTATACTGGAAGCAAAGTGGCTTCATATTGTTCTCCCTTGAGAGGTTGCATGTTCTATAATCTATAATTTAATATGGTGTTCACACTGAGACACCAAATCTACCGTTTAGAACTTAAGGATGGATGGATGGGCAAATGTCCAAATATATCTAAGTTAAGTGCGTCTTCCAACCAGTATTTATTATTTATTGTTTCAATTTGTAATTTCATACCTCTTTACAGAACCTCTTTTTCAGTGGTTTACATATTCGCTTGAGAGTCATTAATGAAGGGCCTCTCTGGCTGCCCTAGAACTCAGTAGGGAACAATATCAGTTGATCCTATGAGAGAGCCTTGAGGTTATTTGCACTCTGTAACACAGAATGTACCAATCTCTTGTACTCATTCATCCCTAGTAACATCCAAGTAAACCCACGCTGCTTTTCTCTATTGCTTTAACATCCTTCTTATAGATTCAAAACAACTTTTACTTGTCTCACATTGTGTGATAACCGAGCCACTAAAGCTTGCTCACCTCCATCTCCTATGATAGAAAAATGAGATCTTGTGATCAACCAATTTCAGCTTAAAGATATTTTTCATTTGTTTCTCTTTGCTTCACTAGCTCAGCGGTTAGAGCACTCGCCTCGCAAGCGAGAGGCCTGGGTTCGATTCCCGGGCAAGACGAAACCTTAGGCATTTCCTTACTCCACACGCCTCTGTTCACCTAACAAAAAGTAGGAACCCAGTTGTTAGTCGATTGGCAGATCGCTTTTCCTAATAATTCCTTCAAAATAAATAAAAATGATTTAGTCACTCAATCCACGACTGTTTGTGGACACCGCTGTGCGCAACTGGCTGCCGCGTTTCGCCCACAAAACATAGGGTCAATTCACTTTACAGTCTATTCTGTGAAGCGCTTTGAGACGTCTCGAAGACGTGATAAGACGCTGTATCAAATGCCAGGATCATTATTATTATTATTATTGCCGTTAACGTCCCAAGCGCGCGGTTCTTAGTACTCCGCATCATTGATGGCCTATTTCTAAATGCGACTCCCTACATCCTCGCACAACGCAACGAAAATAATGTTCCGGAGCTTGCTTATCCCCTGTGGAAGTGTTTCAGAAAGAATCAAAGAAGCAGTTCTTGAGAAATGAACCACAGCCATTGACAAATTGTAAGTGGTTTCAGGATTCTGTTTGTTCTAGTCTTCTGTTAAGAAGCCCGCATGGTGCCTCATGAAGTATTAATAATTGCCTGGCTGGAGCAGATACTCTCACTTCCTTTGGCTGAATTTCTTATTGAACTGTTGGCGCAATACATATCATGAGATTAAAGGAATGTACCTAAAAACAAAGTAACTACAGGGTGTAGCTGGAGAACTGCTCCTTATTTGTTAGCGGTGGTATCCACTGATGCTAAAGGTTCTTGTTGATGAAATGTCAAGATGTCGAGAGTCGACATTAGTTTTATTTTCAATCCTCCAGCAAGTAAAATTACTTCTAAAGACATTGACGCAAGCAACGGTGACGAGGGAGAGCTGTAGCACGTGAGTTACAACCACAACTCGCATTTGTATAGCGCCCTTCACGCAGTGTAGAGTCCCGGAGAGCTTGAAAGTGATGGAGTCTGACCTCAAGTTACCAATCAAGTATGAAGCTAAGGCCAAGTGATCTCGTGTCTTGGTGTCCGATGTGCTTCTCTGATGAAACGTGAGTTGTAGTTTCTCCCGTATATACACCTGGGTTGTGACATAGACTTTACGTTGAACAATGCTGCCAAATTGAGAGTACTCTGAGCAGCTCACAGAGCCACAGATGCCCAACTCCAGGCAATGTGCAACCTTATTAACTAGACGGCAATGTCACATCTGATTCGTCTACCTGGTCACATTGGTTTGCCATGTTTTGTACTGAAATCTTTCTGCATCAGTTGGGGTAGTCATAACTTGGCAGCAGTCACGTTTTATCGCCAATCTATGTCATTCCTTCAAATGTTCTGCAGAAATCACTCCAGCATTTTAAAAAGTTAAGGGTGTACCATCTGAGATTTTTTAACAATTCAGCGGTTTTACGTTTAATGTCAACTCTGGAACTCTCAAACCCTCAATTCCTTCTGCCTCGCCCTCTCCCTCCCCACTTTCAAATCCCGCCTAATTCCTTGCTTTTTTGATCGTGCTTACGGGTTACACTCCCCCCTCTCCGTCTCCCCCTGACTTGGGATCATACTACACCACTGTGAAGCGCTCTATTAATAATAATAATAATAATCATTGTGGGATGCTACCTAGCGTGAAGGGCGCTATATAAATGCAAGTTGTTGTTGATGTTTGTTGCATCCTTTCTGTTTGTTTGACTGTTAATGTAAGCATTTGTCTGGAAAATTATATAAATGAGTGTAAATGTGATTTCATCAGTGTGATTGGCTGTGCGGCAGCTCGGTATCCAGCAGTGCGGCGATTTAATGCTCCAGATCCCATTCATTGCTGCTCGAATATTACTGCTGTCGAAGGGAGCTCAGACCGACCTGATGTGCGCTGGTATGCAACGGGAATGCATTTAATTGCACTTTTGCAGGATTTTCCGTAATTCTTTTCAAAACCACAATGAGCGGAGTGTGAATCATTAATTGCGGAGCTTTCCGTTTTTTTTGTTTTTTTTTTTGCTCGTACCTCTCGTGTCGTGGCAACTATTTTAATCGAATCGGTTTCGAATCGAACTGAACGCTTACCATGTATCCTGCATCGAGTTCATGACACCAATTTGTAATCGTTAAAACCAACTCGAAAACCTCCATCTCTTGGTTTAGAATGTCAAAAACGTTGGTCCCCAAATGGTTAATTCGCACACTGGATACGTGACTATTGAATACGTGACTATTTGGGTACGTAACTATTGGCTTTGCTGCCGCCTGCTGTCATAAAATGATAATAAATTTACATCGGTACATTTAACATTGGAGGGTGCCCAGTGGATTCTGTTGTTGAGGTGCAGTTATTAACCTCTGACCCAAAAGCCAGATTGCCACCTGTCAGGGGAGCCCGGCTGATACGAACTCGTGGCAATGAAATCCATTTTAAATTTACAACGTTTTAAAATGAAGCTAGAAGGATTGGTTTAGCCCTTGGATCCTGACTGCTCACTTGCATTCTGCAGCCTGATCCTGTTCGGCAGGTAACTGTTGTGACGATCCCTCCGACAGCAGCAGATTCACGCTCGACAATATCGATTCGAACCTTCTGTAGCAGTCATCGCGGTTGTCCATTTCCTGAGCCAGGCGGGTCCACAGGACTTGAAGGAGCAGACGGAAGTCCCCGAGGGCTGGGAATTCTTCTCTCTCAGCTCATGATAATCCCGCAAGCCAAAGCCTTAATGTGTAGGGTGCGTCCTACCTGGACAAGCAGCAATTTTCTTCTTGTTGTGCCAGCACTTGTCGGTTTCCTTCTGTCTACTCAGCTTTTTTTTTTTGTTTCCGTTCGCAGGAGAATGAATTGAAAAACGTTCTTCAGGAAAAGAGACACTCAAGTGTTGAGTCAAGCAGCCATTCCCGAAAGGCACTGCAATATGAGCAGGTAATGGCCTTCATTCACCAAAGAAAGCTTTGTGTCCATTTGCCACTGTAACGGGAACACGAGTTAAGAGCAATTTAGAAGCTTCGCTCAACAATGGCGAGAAGCTGTGATGATTGAACGAACGGCCACTATCAAATTTAAGTGGATTTCTAACTCACGTGAACATAATTATCATTAATTAGTTTAGAGAAATCCTCTCTGTAAGATTAAGCACTTGACAGCAGAGAGTTGGGTGGTATGTAATAATAATAATAATAATAATAATCCTCGCATTTGATATAGTGCCTTATCACTTCGTTGAGAAGTCTCAAAGCGCTTCACAGGATGTACTGTAAAGTGAATCGACTATATTTTGCGGGCACAATGCGGCAGCCAATGTGGCAGCACCAAAATTCAAAGGGAAGTACGAGAGCAATTCGGAACGCGAGGGGGGTGGGGTGGTGGGAGTCTGGCACTGTGTGTCGCGCGAATAATTCTGTGGCCTTCCCACTTCTCCTGCAGCCCACGTTACTCTGTTTGACATTCAGTCACCAAGGCAGCCACTCAGCGACTCATCCAATCGCTTAAATCTCTTTTCAGGTGAAACCAGAGCATGATCGTCTTAAAGAATCACTTGGCCTTGTGACACACGAACGTGATTTGGTGGTAAAGGGGAAAGGCCAGCTCCAAGCCAAGCTGGAGAACTTAGAGCAGGTCCTGAAGGTAGAGCGCAGGGCAAAGCTGTCCCCTTTCGAACAATGCAACCGTCATTTCAAATCATCCCGTATCTCTTTTGCGCCGCAAGGAATCCGATGATGATCAGATGGCGAGGACCTTCTAACCCAAGGGGCTTCAGGTCGCTGTTCATCTGAGGAGTCATGTTCATTCAAGGGAAGCTCACTGACACTGAGCATGTCGTACAGGACAGTAACGAGATTAACGTCTTGTGCTGACCTGCAGCTCCCAAGCCTTGTACATCCTCTTGTGCCCATGCTCCACTGTCTGGAACAGCTGATGAACTGCAAGCGGGACTTGACTTGCAACAGCACGTTGTTCCTTCACAGTCTGTTGCAAGTCATTTGCTTCTGTCGAAAGTTATTTCGCCAAAAGTCTTGCTTTGCCCATCAGAGAATTAAGAGTGTACTACAGCAGATTTTGGACACGTTCTGACTTCAGACAGATTAAAGGATGTTGATATACAACATGGACCTTTCTTCTTTAATCAGGAAGTAAATGCTAGGTTGGCTAAGACTCTGAGTTGTGAATGACACAGACTTATACACTCCCAATACTTTGTTCCATCACTGTATCAATGGCCCAACTTGTACCATAAAGCAAATAGCACCTACCCTAAGTGGTTTGTCATGCAGCAAAGATACCTACCAAACACACTGACCCTCAACAACATGCTGAAGATAAACTTAAATAGACATTCTGCTTCACACAGACTGGACTTCCAATGGTAAATTGCTCAAGTTTAAATGGTCAAATAGTACATCAAGATACAAGTCACAGAAAGGCCACATTTATATTGTCGGTACTTAAAGTATTGTGATAATTCTTAATAACAATAATAATCCTTGCATTTGATACAGCGCCTTATCACGTCTTCGAGACGTCTCAAAGCGCTTCACAGAATATACTGTAAAGTGAATTGACTTTATATTTTGTGGGTTAAATTCCTTAAGGAATCTCATAAGAATTCCCATCAAACCTCATGGAACCGCTATGGAAGCATGAACCAGAGTTGCAGTGGGCTAGTTAGTCAAGATTTTGCAGTAAGAAATCTTGTTAAGAAATACCGCTAATTAAACCTTAGCGTGAGTGTGGCTGAACACAGTGCAGGACACTGCTTGCTCTCTGACCTGTAGCTTGTACAGAGTTGTTTTACAGGCTACAGCAACAACAACTGGCATTTATATAGTGCCCGTCATGCAGGGTAGTATCCCAGAGCGCATGACAGTGGTGGAGCCCAATGCGAAGGTGGGTGGGTGGGGGATAACCATAAGCACGGTCAAGCGGGAAGGCCTTCAGGCACGACCTGAAGATGGGGCCGAAAGGAGCAAGGCGGAGTGGATGGAGGAAGAGTGTTCCAGAGATTCGAGGCGTAGTGGCTGAAAGCCCGGCCGCCGATGGTGGAACGGAGGGCACGGGTGACAAGCAGAAGGCCGGCCCGAGCCAGTCCCAAGTCACGGTACAGATGTGCACCTTGTTTTACAGCATATGCGAGAGGCTGCTGAGCGGCGGCAACAGTTGGAATTAGAACATGAGGAAGCCTTGGCTGTTCTCAACGCAAAACAGCAGGAAATTGAAGTGCTGCAAAAGGTGAGGAAACCTGAGCTGGGGGGGGCCCTGGGGTGGGGGGGGGGTGTTGGGGTGGGGGGTGGTGGTGGGGTGGTGGTGGGGGGGGGCCTGGGGTGGGGGCCAGGATTGATAGTCCCAGGAGGAAGTTAGCACCAGCACCATGCGGAATATACCCTCTCATGTGATGACTCTCCCGTTCAATATGGAGTCCTGGAGCTCAGTGGTTAGAGCGCTCGCCTCACAAGCGAGAAGACCCGGGTTCGATTCCCGGGTAGGGCAAAACATTGGGCACCTTTCCTTACTCCACGCACACGGCCTCTGTTTTCTCCAGCAGTAAGTAGGAACCCGGTTGTTAGTCGAATGGCGGATCGATTTCCAGGGGTAATGATCCCTCCAAAAAGAAATGCGGTCACTCAATCCACAATTGTTTGGGGGGACGCTGCTCTGCGCAATTGGCTGCCACGTTTCGCCCACAAAATACACAATCAATTGACTTTACGGTATATTCTGTGAAGCGCTTTGAGACGTCTCGAAGACATGATAAGGCAAGATATCAAATGCAAGGATTATTATTATTAATATAATGTAGGTCAGTTTAGCCGGATGCGCTACTTGGTAATAATGTAGGTAAATCTGTGGTATTTCACAGTTACATGTTTAATAATCTTTGAATTGATTGTTTTTTGCTGCATTATGATTCAGGCTCAGGTTGAAGCTAAGAAGGAACATGAAGGTGCTGTGCAGCTGTTAGAGGTAAGAAAACTGTGTAACGGTTTCTCTGTGTGCGAAGTTTTAAATCCTACGGGACATACTTACCGACCGAGGTTTTACCCCAAAACACAATGCTACACCGTTGTTGTCTGCTCCAACCTTCTAAGAATAGTTTTACTAAAGAAATCTCCCACTGAGTACAGAGAAGAAACTTGGGAACGGACAGCTGGTTCTTGCATGAGGTGCTATTAGAACGAATCAAAGTGTGCCTGTAATTCTAACACCAAAGGAGACATGAGATCTGAACGGTGCCAGGTTTGGGGATATCCACCAGCTAAACGCAGTTCAGTTTGCTCGAGATTGACTTGGAACGAACAAGGAATCTGCTCAGTGTTTCCATTGGATCCGCAGCTAAAGTCTGGTACCCTCTGCCTCACCACCACTCGGACAATGTGGAGCGGAGTTGATTTGGAGGACGATTTGTGCGTTCGGTCTGCCGTGGGAAAAGTTCAGATTGATATTCCTTCCTCTTCCAAATTTTTCAATTTACACAGATTGACAGTTACTCACGAGCAAAGAAGAACTTTCAATGATTTGGGAGTGAGTTTGCAATGGGCGTTCTGAGCGTGGGGATGCAGATATTCATCTGCCGGACTGAGTAAGGGGAACTCAGCTGCCTTTAGGGAGAGAAAATTAAGAGGGGAAGGGAAAGACAGATGATGAAGGAGGGATCTAGTCTGATAATGACTCTCCTTGGCTGGTCAGACCTCACAGAGATCATGAACCTGTTCCACTTTATGCGCTGGCTTTTATACAAGGTGTACAACTTTAACCCTGAAAAAATGTGTTGGTTGTGTGTGTGTATGTGTGTGTGTGTCCATATGTGTAAATGTTCTGACGTGTCTTTATTTTAATGCTTTGCACCTGATACAGAACACCTTGGACAGCATGCAGGTATCAGGCTTAAACGGTTCTGTAATCTCTTGTATTAGCTACATATAGGTGTGTGTTTGCATTGTGTTAGCCTCCAGAAACTTATTCTACCGGAAAGCCGCTGGTTTGCTGTTTTGCAGGTTTTTACGCACCAAAAGCCACTTCTCTTTATTTTAAATTAATTAACGGGTGCACGCATGTTACAAACTTATTTTGCCTTGGTGATTTTCCCTTGCTTAAGTAAGCTTGGTCGGTTTCCACAACAACAAATCTGGTTATACACCTGGGAAACCTGATTTTTTTTTTAAACGTAAACCAAACATGTGCTGCAACGTCTCTTAAGTAAGGAATATCTTGCACAATGTGAATTACGAGAACTTGCAAAAGAGAAAAACGCAGATCGACAAAAGTGTGCTTGATCTTGTGAAAGCAGTCTGTCCTCCAACAATTCTGAGCAAAAAGCACCATGAGCGATTCGGGGAGCAAGTGATGGTCGGTTTTAACCCTCGCTCCTTGAAGCAAGCGCAAGCTTTTGTCTTTCCGGGAATATTGTTTCATTTGCTCTCTGCTATACGACTGATGCACGCGTAAAACGCGTACTGCTTCTCCAGCAAAGCGCGAGGCCGGGAACGAGCCTCTCGTGAATTAGTTTGTTTGCAGAAAAAAAAACGATACGGTCTCCAAATAGTGACCGAGTGCTTCAGCTGTTCCTTGTGCCGCTTGCATCCCAATGGCTAGGAGGTGTTTGTGCCTCTCTCCGTTTGGTTCCAATCATAAAGCTGCCGTTTCTTTAACCTGCTAATAAATACCCTAATTTCTCGATTAGAACCTGCATCTAAATCTGCAATATAAGATTTTCATCACCTAGGATTTTCTTTCCACCCCGTGTTTTTTTTTCCCCCTGTGACCTATTCTCTGCTGTTTCCTGACCCCAGAATTGTTCTTTGGGACGGAGTAGAGAGGAGGGTGGGGAATTGGATCTGCAGTTTAGTGCTTGCTGTCGATTCTGCAGATGGAACGTACGTTCCAACACGGGGCTGTAGTTGTCAGGAAGATTATTCCAAAAAGCCATTATTCAGCCTATTTGAAGCTCAGGGCTTTAAAGATGACATGTGGTTGCATCGTTGAGACAGCCAATAATTCAGTGTTGTTTTCGGCACTTCTGATCACTCAATAGTTGAGTGGTTTTTTTCTCATTCGATGTTGCCTGTCCTTTTTTATTTCAAAGACAAATCTATTGTGAGGTCAGGACCAGTGATAAGAGGGAAGGAAGATCAGAGAGATTAAAGACAAGTTTGGGGCTGTGTCCTTTTTTTTTTAAACTGTTAATATAGAAATATTAATTTCTGAGAGTATCCACTTTGGGGATAACGTACTCCTCTATCTTGTGGATTCAGCCACAATGAACAAACTCTTCTCCCATTTGGAGTTTTCTGAGGTTGGACCATACCCTTCATCTGGATTTGGGGGAACCCAGAACCAGGGGACATAATCTTAAAATAATAATTCGGTCACTCAATCCACGGCTGTTTGTGGGACACTGCTGTGCGCAATTGGCTGCCGCGTTTCGCCCACGAAACCCACAGTCACTACGCTTTACAGTATATCCCGTGAAGCGCTTTGAAACGTCTCGACTGCGTGGTGAGGCGCTACATCAAATGCAAGGGTTATTATTATCCACGTGGGATCTAAGATATAGTTCATAATGCAGAAATGAGGGTATGTGCGCAGGCAGACATGGAGGAAACTCAGCTTTGCAATGCTTCCACCCTGCTTTCTGGTTAGCATGTTTACTAACCGTCTTGTACAGAGGGGTGTGATTGATGAACTGCTGTCTGAACTCATGGACTCAGGCCTACAGCATGCACTAACATGGCAATGCATCTGTTCTTAACCATTTACCCCAGTATCCGTCACCTTGTCTCATGTACACGGAAAATGCAAACATAAAAGCGTAACAGCGTTGTAATGAAAAAAAAATCAAATTCATATCCTTACATTTTGTAGCAATTACATCTAATTACTGCGGTCGCTTGATAAAAATTATACAAAGTCCCGAATCATGTAGACCAGCTTTCTGAGCCCTGACCTCTTTCGCCCACAAAATGTACAGTCAATTCACTTTGCAGTATATTCTGTGAAGCGCTTTGAGACGTCTCGAAGATGTGATAAGGCGCTGTATCAAATGTAAGGATTATTATTATTATTAAGTAAACTCTCTGCACTCGGTGTTGGACTCAATTAGACATTCCATTCGTCAGGTTGAGAGTAGTCTTTCTGGGATGCGGTTTTCGCACTAATATAGTAAAATCGACAAAGCGGACAAAAGCATTATTAATAAAATGTAAAGCTGGAATTATTTACCGTGTGCCCCGTAAGAAGGATTCTGCATTGCAAACTTGTTGAACAGCGCTGTTTATCTAGCGTTGGCAGATTCTTAAGCAGCCTTGTCAACACGTTCGCAGAAACACTAAACATTCAGTGCAGAGATTGCTAAGTTTCAATAGTGAGTTGTAAAAGCAATGATGTTTTTTGTCTGTAAACATCTGAGATTGCCTTCTGTTCAGAGTCTGACTGGATATAATGCAGCCATCCATCCACAATGTAATAACCAATAAAACCAAGTGGGGACAGCAGGGAAGGCTTCTTACCCTCTAAAATCAATAACGCGAGATTAAAAATAAAAATGCCCAACTCCGTGCATGCAGTGCTTTTATCACCCGTCTGTGGTCAGTGAACCAAATGTGTGTGTGTGTCTGTGTGTGTGTGTGTGTGTGTGTGTGCGTGCGTGTGTGTTTTGTGCAGGCCAAGGTGCGAGAGCTAGAGGAGAAATGCCGCAATCAGAGTGAGCAGTTCAACCTCCTCTCCAAGGAGCTCGAGAAGTTTCGACAGACAACGGGTAACATCGATCTGCTGAACAACCCTTTGTCAGCCTGTGAGACCCCCAGCTCTTTTTGTAAATCCCAGTGCCAGGTGATGAATGGACTGGCCACCTCCATAGGAAAAGGTAGGGACACTTTTCGGTTGTCTTCGGATTAATGATCAACTTTGTAAATCACGCGCGAGCTTTAACTAAGGGCCGTTGATGTGTGTTACACTTGTAAATATGTCGATTTCCTCTTCTTTCTACTAATCATGTGCTCAACCTGCACTGACATATTGCCTCATTTTATTGTAGATGTTTCAATGATTCACGCGCATGTTACTGGTAATACCTGTCGTGTGTATCGTTGTCCTGTCTTGCATCACTTTCCAGATCGATGTCTTGCTGGAGATACCCCCTGTGTTTCACTTGATTATACAGCTATTTTATGGACCCCCTTTTGAGAGTCAATGAGTAATGCGTAAATAGGTTTAGTGGCCTGGCAGAAATCAGCTGCTCCCTCACAAATTAAAATCAGGCCTCCTGGAAAATGGTAACCAGGGGAACACGTTGCAGAAGTATTGATCTGGGAAGGGCAATCGGATGATTGGGGAATATGGGAATAGGTAATCAGTGTCTTGCACTTGTTTTTCAGGATGTCTCTTACGTAGTTCATCTGATGTCCACTGGTTTTTGTAGGGTTTATTTTTCTTCATTGTACTTATCCATGAATCCATACCTGTTAATTAATGCCTTGGCTCACAGACTTGTGAAGATTTCCACACTTTCAAGTTCAGATTGATGAGCCTTTATAGGTGCCTTCGTTTGCCGCAAAGCCACCTGTCATGCCGTTGGCTCACGGAACTGGGGCTGGCAGTAGGAGAGATCGAATTTGTGTCTTTCCTGCGCAGCGGAGTTTGGGATGTTTAATATTTACTGACACATCTCTGCTGAATGATTAATGTGTTTGGAATATCACTGACTTTCTCAAATTAAAGGAAAAAAATCCCTTACTGTTGACGTAGTTGTAATTGATAGTTTTTGCTCCGATCATCAATCCCGTTCCCGGCAAATATTAAGCGTGGGAGGGCGGGGGGGGAGGGGAGAATCTCCAATTTGTCCCGCCACTTGAATTGATTGAAATGGCGAAACATGCTTGAAAAATAGCAGTCCAGTTTTTACACTAAAGATGAGAGTCAGCAAAAGAAACTCCAGCTGCCTTGCGTGAATATACCTTGATTTCATCACCGTGATGTAGGGGCTATTGCTGTGCTGAATTCACACATTCAAAGGAGATTTTCCCATCACTTTGTAGCTACAGGTACAGAAGATCCTTGAGTTGCTGATCAATGAGGCTAAGGGCTGACATGTCTCTCTCTCTCTCTCTCTCTTTCTCTCTCTCTCCTGTATTTCCAGGCAATGAGAATCCTGGGAGCAGATCAGTGATAAGTGAATATATCCGACCTCTCCAGCCATCTGGTGAGAGGCCTGAGCTTCTCTCTGTCAAGCCTACGTTTCTATCCCGGTCCAGACCCAGTGGCTCCAGGCAGGGTTTTGTCTCAGAGGTCAGTCAGTGTTTATGTACGTCATGGCTTGTCTGGCTGCAGAACAAAATCAGACCGGATGCCATCCGAGGATTTTATATAGAGATACTATATATATGTATATATAAATATATAGCGAGAGAGAGGGTGCAGACTTCTCAGCATCTAATTTCTGGTCCTGAATTATGTTAGAATGAACAATTGTCAATAACTTCATCGTCACATGTCATCCATTGCGCTCATCATTATACGTCGGCTGCTTGTGCTGGAAGCCTGAGGGCCACACTCAAAGCATTAGCCTAATGTTATCTGTGCCGTTTGACCTGTTTGAGTTACAGGATACCTCAGCTCAGTGTTGGCCTTGTGTTGCTGAAAAGCAGTCTATGTCAGCATGTGTTGTCTACCCGCTTTCTGGGGAGGGCAATAGTCTGCAGAAATCATCACCAGCCAGCGGCAGCTTAGCTGAAGACTGTCGGCTTTTAAGTGAAATAGCAGTTATGCAATCACACCATTACGACCCTGAGCTGACATTTCCCTTTGTACATGAGAGAGACTTCAGTCACTGCTTCTGTTTCCTCACGGGAGAAGTGAAGGTGATTGATCCTCAGAGTAATGGATGTATTGTAAACTACCTTGCGGCAGATGAACTGGGTAGTAAGTGCCTTGCGACTCGCAGGGTTGCCTGAGAACAGGAGCTCCCGATCTGGAGGTGAAAATACTGCTCTTTCTGCTGGTGTCTGCACATCCCATGTGGCCAGTAGCCAAGTCATATTGTGTATTACACAATGTCAGGGATAGGTTCTTTCATCGGGGGAATACTAACTGTAAATAAATTACAAATCATCTCCATCTGCGATTAGTTCTCACAATGGCAGCTTTTATTTTCACCTTCACACTTTCCATCGTATAAACACCATATATTCAGTCTGACAGCTCCATAAAAATGTAGAGGGAACACAGGAGAAAAGTACAGGTGTCCTTTTTACCCACCAAGGCCAGAATTATAGCTCATCTGTCAGTTTCAATACTTTTCTTTCTAAAATCGATGGTTCCTGTGAAACCCAACGTTTGAGTTGTTGATTCAGATGATGAAATGCACGTTGTAATGTCCTGGAGGAGTTCAGTAACTACTCTTGCTTATGACGACAGATGGACAACCAACGGGATGTCGATAACCCCAAAATCAAATACTCTGGGAAAGTCCGACTCTGTATTGCCCGTTACAGGTAAGGTGCCACCTTCATTCTTTCCCTAAACGTGTGTTTAGATGCAATTTGTTGTATTATTACAATATGTTCTGTAAAGCACTTCGAGACGTCTCGAAGATTGATAAGGCGCTGCATCAAATGCAAGGATTATTATTATTACTACTGTTCTGCTTTGTCTGTATGAGTCTGTCACTTACACAACAGCTGGCATGACCTTCTTATTGGGTAAATGGAGTGTTTACTCTTTTCGTTTAGCTTATTTACGTGTAACTGTAGGTCATATAACCCCGCAGTTTTGCAGGAAGATCCGTTGATGAGATCTCAACACAGTTTGTGGGACGCTGCTGTGCGCAATTGGCTGCCACGTTTCGCCCACAAAATATACAGTCAATTCACTTGACAGTCTATTCTGTGAAACCCTTTGAGACGTCTCGGAAGACGTGATAAGGCGCTGTATCAAACGCAAAGATTATTTCATCCAAATCACCTTAAGTTAAAAGCTGGCTCCCAATGGTTCACCATTTGTCACGCTTTCACCCTCAGCGATCACTGCTGTTTGTTTCCTCTGTCTAGTTACAATCCTTACGAGGGGCCCAATGAAAACCCAGAGGCAGAACTGCCCCTGCGATCTGGGAAATACCTCTATGTTTATGGAGACATGGATGAAGATGGCTTTTATGAAGGTGTGTGTCTTGAACTGGATGGATAAAGAATGGATTGCAATTTGTTTCTGTTACTTATGGGTCCACGTAGATGGCTTTAGATAATTTTCTTTTAGGAAATAACATTATGGGATATTATAGTACATGGGGTAGGTAATTCGAGACATGTGTCCATGTGACTGCCAGGAAGGTGGAAGGCAAACTAGATGGACCTTGGTCTTTTTTGCGTCTAGCATTTCTTATGTTTTTACGTTCTTGCTAATGATAAATTCCAGGCAATTATGTGGAAAGTTGAGTTTATGTTATGCCTTTGCCTAGAATCGCAATGATCTTGTGACATCCCTTTCCCGCCCGCTTGCTTCTCTGCAGGCGAACTTATGGACGGCAGAAGAGGATTGGTTCCGTCTAACTTTGTGGCTCTATTGCAAGATGAAGAACTGCTTTCATTTCATTCTTCAGATAACGACCAAGACAATAACTTGCTCAATTCTGATCGCAACCCTCCAGCCATCAACCCTGAGAGTGAAAGCATTCTCCAGGATTGCAAGGCAGCGAATCTCTTGCCCGGTCAGAACGAGTGTCCAGTGTACAATAACGGCACAGGGACCTTAGATCTGAACATTGATGAAATTGGTGAAGATATTGTGCCTTACCCCAGGAAAATAACCCTGATTAAACAACTCGCCAAAAGTGTTATCGTCGGATGGGAGCCTCCGGTCATGCCACCGGGTTGGGGAATCATCAGCAGCTACAACGTTTTAGTGAATAAAGAAGTGAGAAACAATATTCCGTTCGGGAGCAGAACTAAAGCTCTCATAGAGAAGCTGAATCTGGTCAACGTCACCTATCGGATATCGGTTCAGAGTGTCACGGACAGGGGCAGCTCAGACGAGCTGCGCTGCAGCCTGTTAGTGGGCGAGAATGTCTGTGTGGCCGCTTCCTACCTGAAAATGGACAAGATCACGCAGATGTCCGCGGAGCTGTCCTGGTTGCCGAGTAACAGCAACTACAGCCACGTGATTTTCCTCAATGAGGACGAGTACGATATTGTCAAAGCAGCAAGCTACAAATACCATTTTTTTAATCTCAAGCCCAACACGACTTATAAAATCAAGGCTGTTGCCGAACCTCACCAGGTGCCCTGGCAGCTGCCCCTGGAACAGCGCGAGAAAAAGAAGCTGTCATAGAGTTTTGCACGCTGCCTGCAGGTTTGATATTGCAGATTGTTTTACCTTTCGTTTCCGCCCCCCACCCTCCCCCCCCCCCCCTCCCCCCCACCAAATGTGACATTTCTCGAATGGTTTTCTTGTTTGTTTGTTGGGTGTCGATTTGCTGTGAACCTATGGTTTCTCGAGAGAAATGCGAAATTGGTTTCAGTCCGTTTTGATTCGATATTTAGCCACAAATGTGTAATGGGGTGTTTCGGTCAGCTTATCCTATTGTAAGGAGTGACGTAGACATTTTGGGGGGAAAATCAGTTTACTGTCAGTCTCGTAAAGGTGAAGGGCTCAGTGAAGCCACTCCTCGTGTCTCAAGCTCTCAACTAACTGGGCTCACGGATGTCTCAGAGTGAGTTAAATCTGTAAGTATCCTGGTAAAGTAATTTGATTGAAAGTACGTGATGACATGTATATCCTATTTATCAGATCCAAGGCACCTCAGTAGAGAAGATTAATTTGGAAGATATGGCAGTGTGTCTGGAACTACCTGGAAAGCTTTTCAGGATCACAGAATGGTGATGAATACTGCGTCACCGAAGCTGGTTAAACACAAACACAGGCTGCAGATGAAAGGTAGTGTTTCAGTGACTGAGTTTGCCATGTGGGTGACCGGTGGTGTGTCTGCACACAGGTCCCCCAGAACCTCCTCAGGATGTTGCAGTCCAGGCTGGATCCATACCAGGAACTATTCAGGTTAGCTGGAAACCACCAGTGCTCAGTTCCACGGGAACCTCCAATGGAGCCACAGTCACTGGTTATAACGTTTGTACGAAAGGCCAAAGGGTAAGTAACTGCCTCGATTCACCAGAAACCATTGGCTGTGTGCATATCTTCTGTGCATATGTGCTCATGGGGGTGGTGAGGGGGTTGGGGTGGAGAGTTGTGGGGGAGCATGTGGGCTGGGAAGGTGTGAGAGCGGAGTAGGTTGAGGTCTCGCGGTGGTTGTGTGAAGTTGAGGGAGAAAAAAAAATAATGATAATAAATTGGGTCATTCACTCCACGACTGCTTGTGGGGACACTGCTGGGCCCAATTAGCTGCCGCGTTTCGCCCACAAAATATACCATCAATTCACTTTACAATATATTCTGTGAAGCGGTTGGAGACATCTCGAAGATGTGATAAGGCGCTGTATCAAATGAAAGGGATTATTATTTGTTCGTGTTCAGTCACCAATTTGGTTCCAGCCTCGACTCACCTGCTCTGTGGCTGAGTTAACAAGTCTCAGCTCAGGGCAGCTTCCCACCAGGCACAGGTGTGTGAGAGGACGATAGAGGTGGGAGACGAACACGTTCTCCAGCCTCTCATCTGCGAGAAATAATAGGGAAAAGGGGGGGAACGAAACCGGGAAACACGTAATTGAGGTTGGATTGTGTTTATCGGTGGTGTGCATGTTTCAGGAAAGTTACCTTGTGTTATTTTGAACGTGTAGGTAGCAGAAGTGATGCTTGCTACAGCAGAAGGAGTGACTCTGGATATTTTAAGGATACAAAGCTTACAAACGAGAGAAGTGACTGTGAGAACATTGTCTGCAGAAGGCGAGTCTGAAGACTCCAGTGTAGCCGCCATTCCACCCGATCTCCTGGTGCCTCCCATCCCCCGACCCCGGGCTGCCCCCAGAAACAAGCCATTAGCAAGTGCCAGAGCTCCAGATACCAAAGAAGATCCAACAGTCCCGACTCTGAGAAGGGCTGAGGCCTGGAAGCAAACTCATCCACCATCTCCTGTCCACGGACATACACTGGACCCGACTTTACTCAACATCCACGGGCTGCCCGGTACCAGGCGAGAGAATGGCAGGTCCCCATCTCCACAGAGAATCCTCCCCCAGCCACAGGGAGCACCAATCCCAAACACTGTCGCTAAAGCCATTGCCCGTGAAGCAGCCCAACGGGTAGCGGAGACCAACAGGGTAAGTCATATCTCTTTTGCTCCCTCTCAGTCCAACTGTCTAGGCTTTTTCTGCTACCAACCTCCACAGCTCTGTTACACACTCTTAGAATCATTGGATACTACAGCACAGAAGGAGGCCATTCGGCCCCTCATGCCTGTGCCGGCTGTTTGGGAGAGTCCCACTCTCCCCCGCTCTTTCCCCGTTCCCCTGCAAAATGTTCCCTTTTCAAGCGTTGAAAGTTGTTATCGAATCTGTTTCCACCGCCCTTTCAGGCAGTGAGTTCCAGACCGTAACCTCTCCATCTCTGCAAACACAACCACCCTCTACCTTTGTTTGGCGCTCGGTTTCAGGCTGAAAAAAGAAGCATATTTAGCGAGAGGAGCATTGCATTGCAGAGGGACAACTCGGACGAGGAAGAGGAGGTGTACGACATGGCAAACGTCAAGCGCCCTGGGATGTCAGTGGACGAGTTCCTGAAAGGCTCCGAGCTAGGCAGACAGGTGAATATTTCTAGTAAATAAATTGTGCACCGTCAATGACCAATTTCAGGTCTTGTGGACCTGTTTTCTGAGTTATTCACCTCCTGGGGCCAGTGACCGGACAGTGATCTCAGCGTTTGAGCCACATCTCGTGATAAACCTTTGCTCCACATTTATCCCCCAAATTCATCTTAATTGGTTTCACGTACCGTTGTTATGGATGGGATGTCGCTGGTACAGTTTGGCTGCCTCATTTGTCTATATACCGATATTCACTTTCGTTTGTTGTCAATTTATTTTGCTTAAATTGCTTCAAACTGTTTTTTCTGTTCTGTATAAATGCAGATAATTATTCGAAATCAGAAGAAGCCATTTAGCCTATTGAGCCTATTATTGATTGTCTGTCTGTTTGTTTAGACGAGGAATTGAGCTCATTGGCTTGGGATAAATTAATCCTCTGATGTTCTGATACAAAGAACTATTCAGATAACTTCAAGGTGACTTAAGGCTGTCAGTTAGGTAGACAATGAGTCGTGGAGTCCTATAGCTCAGTGGTTAGAGCGCTCGTCTCCAAACGAGAGACCAGGGCGAAATGTTGGCAAGTTTGCTTACTCCACACGCCTATGTTTACCTAGCAGTAAGTAGGAACCCGGTTGCCAGTCGATCGGTGGATCACTTTTCCAGGGGGAATAATTCCTTCAAAAGAAATTATTATAATAATTTGGTCACTTCAATCCACGACTGTTTGTGGGGACGCTGCCGTGCACAATTGGCTGCCGCGTTTCGCCCACAAAATACACAGTCAATTCACTATACAGCACATCCTGTAAAGCGATATGAGACGTCTCGGAGACGTGATAAGGCACTGTATCAAATGTAGGTATTATTAGTATTGTTAATGAATAACTTGAGCATTTGTTCTCTTTGGTCTAAACAGCAACAGTACAGCCACATAGACGGATATCACACTGAGAGCAGCCGGGGGTCTGATCTCTCCGACATCATGGAGGAGGATGAAGAGGAGTTGTATTCGGAAATGCAGTTGGAAGAGGGTGTCCGCAGGAGGCACAGCGCCTCGTCACACAGTGCCCTGAAGGTAAGAGACATTGCACATATCTATCCCTCAGACAAAAGCTTCGTCGTCTACTGGGTGAGTGTCAGGAAATCTCTTCTAAATAAACACTTTCATCTTCATTTAGAAGTGGCAAATCTGTTTGGGTTTTCTTCAAATCAGTAGCGACAAGAGCAACACAGGACGAGCTGAAGGCCTTAGATACTTATTGCTGGTAACCTTGGTAACACCCTCCTCAGGAAATGTTACCGTGCAATGTAAAGGGGTTTGAATTTTCCCCCTTTCTCTGGTACCATCTGTCTTGACGCAAACAGCAATCACCAGAACCAACAATGGAATGAAAGAGGTTCCAAACATGCCAAGAGTTTTTTTTTCCCCCCCATTACACCACCTGTGGTGTTGTGTCCACAGCAAGACGCCTTGCATATCAATTCATATTTGGTCATTGTTTCTTGCTCTAAAATCTATATCTGGCTTGGCTTCCACTAACAGCCAGTTCTTGTTGCAAACATTTTTTGGGCATGAGTGTTCTGTATATATATATATATATATGTGTGTGTGTGTGTTCTAGGTGTATGTGATCCATATATATGTGTACTGTACATGTTAGATGAATTGTAACGTGCAACCACAAGGTGGACATCGGTTCAGTTTTAGAGAGATGCAGTTTTATGTTACTTTATGCTAATATTGCATTGGTTTTGCTGTGTCAATGAATAAATCATGAAGCAATAAAGCCTGTGTTTGTAACCAACCTTTAGTCCTCAGTGTTCTGTTCCAAACCCAAGTAATTTCTATATCATGGCTTTACTTACAGATTTGCATTTTAAAAGCAACTCACTCCCCTACCTGGGATCGATGCATGCCTTGCCTTGGCTCTAGAAACTAATCCTATCTCTATTTTCTTTTTCCCATTTTATTGTTTTATCACACTGTCTATGTCTCGTGTAACCAAACCCACCCTAAAGGTCTCCCTTCAGAATAAAAGTGCTGAGGAGGCTCCAAAGGGGCATCTTGAGATCTCATCACAGAACCATCACTGTAAGAAACTTTTCAATATTCCTGAGCTAGCCGAGGAGACCGGAGATCAACGCCCAGCCCTAACAGTAGAAGAAGTCACTTATACTGCCTGTAGGACAAAGGTAGACACACAGAGCAACCTGGAGCCAGCAGAGCACTATAGCACAAGGTGCAGACCTTCCATCGATGAAAACAGACAGCAGTCATTCCCCATTCCATCCAAGAGGCACGATCGAGAAAGCAGCTTATTTGCAAAGGCTGCTCGCAGTATGGATGATTGCTTGTGGGAAAATAGGGTTAGCAGACTAAGTAGACAGGCTACCAGAAGTCCAGACAGTGGATTAGACTGTGCAAGTGAGGAGGAAAGCCAGGGGTTCATTAACCGGCAGCCCTGTGTAAGTCTAAAGCTTGTACCAAGAGCCCAGAAGAATGGCTCAGGCAGTGATGGCTTCTCAAACAAGGGTGCCTCTGTGCGCTCAGTGCCACGTAAGAGATCTTTACAAAGACAAGTTAGTGTTGAAGAGGAGTTGTGCACTGCGGAGCCAGTAGATGTGAAAGTCACGTCTGTGTCAGATGCTGCGAGTAGGGAGATGCCAGAACGCAGAGCTGAGAAGATTCCCACAGAAAACAGTAACGAAGGGGACCTTGTCTCATGTGAAGAGAAAGAGATTTGCTGGAGCGCTCAGCTAAACTGGAATCCCAATAGTGTGGCTAAATCCGTTACAGTGTCTGTGCAAAGTAATCTACAAAGATCGCTGGTGTGTGGAATAGACATTCCTACCATCTGCATGTCAAATCCATCTCATTCACTTCCCTGCTGTTTGTTTCTCACTAAAAAAAAACGCTTCTTTATTTTACTGTCTACAATCCCGCTTCACCAACCACTCTCTGCCTGGCTTCATCAGCGCATCAGATGCCAGACCATTGCCGTCAGCATTCTCATTTGCCTGAAAGCACCAATTTTGCAGCCTATTCTGGTCCATTCTTGCTGCTTCTGCTGCTTTGTGTGTACATCCCTAGAGTTTACACAGTACACCTTGATTCCCTCCCCTCCCTTCTTTAGTTGTTTAGTGCCTTTGGAAAAATAAGGCAGGACAGTTCTATCACAGTGACTGAACATTTTATGCCCGGGCGTTTTTTCCTCTAGATTCTAGGTAATCCATCAGCCACTGGGCGGACATCAGACCGAGTGGATTCCTCAGGTCGAAGATTATCACACGGAAGCATTGGATCGAGGGGAAGGCCAATGACTGTCCCCTCTATAGGTTAGTTCAACACCTGAGCGATCATGTTGGAACATGGGTCTAAACGTATTACACGCCAAATTAAATTCAGCACATACACCTGAGCAATTTTTCTCCTAGTGGAACTCTTGTCTTTAGAAGATAAAAGTAAATTAGAGTGAAACTGAAAAGGCGAAAAAACCAGGACCTTTGTAAGAAGCTGGGAGGCCAGAGTGAGGTTTGTGGCAACATTAGATTATCTGACCTCTGTCTTTCCTCTAAGAAATCACAGTGGACAGTACCAGTGAAGGTCGCTCCCGTTCAGGGAGTGAAGGCAACATCTCACCAGTGAGGGACGACATCTATCGCAGCATTGCAGGCCGCAGGAAATGGCCACTGCAGCGTAGTGTGGCGGCCGAGAGTCGATACGGTGAGTAAGTAAGTACCCGGCAAAGCCTGGTGCACAATCAGTGACTTCACACTCGCCTGTGGCTTGTTGAAGAGGAGCCTGTTAGCAATCAAGCACTTTTGTTATTCACGTGGACGTCATCATCCAGACCCTTTGGTTTGGATCTGTCAGTTTATATCTTTTACTGTTAATTAACACTGAATGTTAATTGACTTGCACCAAAGTCTGAAATTCCACCTAGTCTTAGCCTAGTCAGGTTATTCCTCTTTGAACTGAAGATGGCACAAGAGTTACAGAAGCTTCTTATGTTCTGTCTGAAGTTAGAAGCCGGTTCTTTTTAAGAGTTGTGGAAAATCAGCCGGAAATTTTATACCGGGCGTAAGAATTGTCCGCATGTTTCTGGACCATCAGAAATGGTTGTGCAGGCTAAGAGAAGCTGGAATTTTAGGCCTCGTGAGCCCTGTCTTAAGGGAGTGAGCAAGCTAGCCTGTACCGAATTCACCTTCTTAGGCAGATTGTTAAGGTAGCCTCTACGTAGAAATGCAGTTTCCTGATTTTAATGATGGGTTGCAGCTTCAATCAAGCGCCTTCTGCTGTCGAGAAATTTTCATTTCGTTTCATGGAAGAGTCCAGAGTCATTTTGTTCAGACCTCGATCAGTCTGTCGCCATTTCAGTTTTGCACTAGTTACTTTTATGCTCGTTCTGCCCATAATTTATTCCGCTATTATCTCGTCCCGCAGATCGATACTGTGCCCGCGAGCACCTCTCCCCGGAACTTTATGAGGAATCCGAACCCGATGCCGGCAGTGAGGACCTGCCACCCAGGATCTTTGTCGCTCTTTTTGACTATGACCCGTTATCGATGTCTCCAAATCCCGACGCAGCGGAAGAGGAGCTTGCCTTCAAGGAGGGCGAGATCATCAAGGTCGGCCTGAAATTTCACCTCGTCTTAGACCGCTTTGCGTTGAAATTCAAGATCAGAATTTAAGTGTAATTGTGGGGAATTTGACCCACGTTCGTGCCTTGTGATTGGCGCCATGAGGACCTTCCTCTTCGACCGTGCCTACAGTCACCTCCCTCCTCCCCCCCCCCCCCCCCCCCCCCCCCCCGGCTCGGTATAGTGCTCCGCCAACATCAAGCGCTCTGGGACTCTACCCGGCGTGAGGCCTGCTGTATAAGCACAAGTTTTGTTCCAAATTCCTGACCGTCCAGCTTCTTGGGACGTCCTCGCGACGTGAAAGCCGCTGTGTAAACGTAATTTTGTATTGTATTGTTGTTGATCTATTGGTAGTGAAACGGGCTCCAGCCTAAACGAACGGGTCTGTTGTTCCGCAGGTTCACGGAGACAAAGACGCCGATGGGTTTTACCATGGAGAGACCAGTGCAAGGTTCGGCCTGATTCCGTGTAACATGGTGTCAGAAATCCAAACCGAAGACGAGGAGATGCTCGAGCAGTTCCTGAGACAAGGCTTCCTGCCACTCAACACTCCGGTGGAGAAGATCGGTACTATTTCAGCCCCATTACCTCCACAGTTTGTGCTTTAGTTTGCGACTGATTGCAGTCTTTAGGTGCAGTGTACTTTAGATTTACATTGGATCATTGGATAGGTGGTTTTTATGTATGAGCCTGTTCCCATCTGAATCCACACCATCCTCTAGTTCACTGTGAATCCTTGTTAACTGTACATTAATACCGAGAACAGGGTGTCCTAGACATCCTCAGCTATGCTTCACCTTCTTCTCCTTCTTCTTCTCTTTGTCTGTACGCCTCCCTTTCCTGAAGTCAACTGTGATCGTTACAAAGAGAGCTCCCGCTCTGTAAACCGCAGGTCCCGAAAGTCTAAACGAGGTCTGTGAAACCACACACCGATCGACGTGTTTTTGATACGTGTCTTTTGAGAGTGCGCTGACTTGGTGTGGGCTGCTGAAGTGACGAGTCTTTTTTTTTTCTTTTCTGGCTAACAAACACCATCTTCTACGTAAAATAAATCAGTTCCTTCTTTTCCTTCAGTTCCTCATTTGCAGTTACTCTTCCTCTGTATCTATTCCACTGGTTTCATANTTTTTTTCTCGCTTACATCAAGTGAAAGGTAGTGAACACAGACAGCTTTTGCACGTGCACTGCAACAGGTTGGCAGGAAAGGTGGTGAAAGCCAAGACACTGGACTCAATTAAAAAGCAGGTTGATGCAGTGAAGCCGGTTTTTAATCACAATATCCACTGCAATCTGCTCCCTTCATAATAAACACCAGAAACGAACTCTTCACCGAATCAGACCAACCCTTCAAATGATTTACCCCGAACGTAAAGATCTGTGGGGAGTGCTAGCCTTTCCCCCCTCTGGTTCGGGCTTTTATTCTACCCACGGGACGGTGCTCAGCTATTCCAGAACTCTCACACACTACTTACTACAGGTGATAGTAATTGCCTGAGAAGCATATCGAGATGTTTTGATGTGATACCGTTTAATAGAAGAAATGTCCAATTATTTCCCCCCCCACCCCAGTGCAGCCCCCAGAGCAATTGCACATGGGCTCAAATTGGAAGTGTTTGCTCCAAGTTTCGCCCGCAAAACACACAGTCACCACACTTAACAGTGTATCCTGTGAAGCGCTTTTCAGACGTCTCGAAGACATGATAAGGCGCTATATCAAGTGCAAGTATTATTATTATTGGATAAGTTTTAGGGAGGGGAATTGAGCCCAGTGGCTTTCATCTACAAATAAAAATACATACACACACATATATAATATATACACAATATTAAACATCTGCATTTCTATTTTACAATTGATGGCAGAGAGGAACAGGCGGAGTAGCAGACAGCACTCCATCGCTACACGGAGGATGGTTGCTCTGTACGACTATGACCCACGGGAAAGCTCCCCCAATGTCGATGTGGAGGTAACGATTTAATAAGTGCCCAAATTTCAGTGAAATTACAGATTGCATTTGACACGTGACGCCATTCTAAGTTCATTTTTTTTTTGGTGTTGCTGAGCTCGGACAATAAAACGCATTTATGCTTCAACCTCAGGCAAGCTGTTACTTTTCTTGCTTAGCTCACGGCTTTGTGTGGGGCCTTTGCTGGTACAAATAGCTGCCACGTTGGTCTACAGAAACACGACTGGTGACAGTAATTGCCTGAGAAGCATAACGTGATGTTTTAATGTGATACTGCTCACGAGAAGAAACGCTTTATATTCTGCATTTCATTTCTCTCCCACTTAGTTATCCTTTCCCTCTTTCGGGTTTCCCCTGGCCTGTTGCTAAGTGGAGAACATCAGCAGTTAATATTCTCAGCACTCTGTCAATGCTACTCTTCAACCGGTTGCTGTGGTACGTCGTGGCTCCCCTTTCTCCTAGACACTAATAGATTCAATTCAGCAACCCTCCTCCTCCAAACTGCTGAGTAAACTGACTTGAGGAAATGTGGCGATATTAAAAACAATCAATATTTTCCCTTATTTTGCAACTTCAGGCTGAGCTAACATTCTGTGCTGGAGACATCATCACTGTGTGGGGAGAGCTGGATGAAGATGGATTTTATTACGTAAGTGTTTTTTTTTAAGCTGCTGGAGTGGCTTTCGAATATAGAACGTGTCGTTGGAATGGATTGACTTTAATTGGATGCCGGTGCTGATAGAGATATGATGTGACTGGTTTGCAGGGAGAAATTAATGGTCAGAAAGGTCTCGTCCCTTCAAACTTTCTGGAAGAAGTGCCTGATGATGTTGAGGTCTATCTCTCTGAGGCACCATCCAGATACTCTCATGATACACCAATGCGAGCAAAAGGGAAAAGGGCAAGTATTTTATCCTGATTTATTGTGAGCGGATAAATATTATGAACTGATATCGTGTTCAGCATTTGCATCACCCGACGAGTGCTGTCCTGCACTTAATTTTTGTATTTTTGGTATTATTGTTTGCGAAAAACGGCCTTTAAGGGCTGTTTTTACCAATTTTCACCATAAATACCTCCTTTTTTTTGGTGAAAGACATCCGGTCAAAAGCAATTTTCTCCTGAATTTAAATGAAAACAATCAAACTCGCAGATTCTTTTTCCTCGGTGGATAAGTGTGTGCGCATCGCTACACACTGACCCACCCAGGCTACATACTGACTGTGGCCTCCCATTTTCCCTCCATAGCTGACCAGGAGGTGGTAGAGCAGCTCAGGCAGATCAGACCTCTGTTCGTTCAGTAGCTAACATCACAAAGCATCTTTGTGACTGTCTGAACTGGAGACGCTAAAGAGAATTCTTAAAAGGTCGGAAATGCTGCCACACAAACTTGGGGAGTGAGTGCCCTTTGTCACCAAAACATACTCTTTGCTTGGATCTAAAATACATTGACAAACTGAAATAAAACTAAGCAACTGTGTTCTTCTTTACAAGATTGCCATTTTTTTTTTCTGGTTTGTTCACGTGCCCTCTTCTGTACCTTATTGCTACCTACCACCCCCACTCCATTGCGTTCTTTCATGCTATGTAACAATCCACTTCTAGGAGTAAGAAAAGGTTATAACACAAATGGTTGTACAATTAGCTAAGCTTCCCCATTGAAGTTCTCTATTCTAATCCCATTCCTCTGCTCTTCCCCCAAACCCATTCATAAACCAGTCAGTGTATATATGCTCAGGGCCTGCATTAAATTGCTGCTTTGTGAGGATCCCTGTACTCGCACGGGATTGAGCAATTTCTGGATGATATTTTGAGAGGAGAAAGGGTCAGGAAGATCGATAAAGAAAGGCTCAGAGTGAATTAAAAGCTATCAATTAGTCTACGATTTAGACAACCGTGGACGCAGGAGGTTGCAGTGATGCAAGGTGTAATAGCTGTGGTCAGGGTGCAGTCATTTCTCCAAAATATCCATAGAATTTGAAAATACTTGAATCACAATGTATTAGGTACTTGTGAAGTGCTTGTGATTTCGAAGCATTTTATGGAGTGAAAGCAGTTCATTTATTGAGTCATTTAGACTTTTCTAAAACTATTTCCTTCAGAAATATTATTTATGAGAAAGTCTGCTTCACAATAATTTACTTTAAATATAACTAGACGTAAAGGACCCACAATTACTATGATTACCTTTTGCTGGTGCCAAGACTGTTGCGATCTGCTTGCAGACACCAACCAACCCATTGCCATTTGCAGCCTCTTAAAAATTCAGGCTCAAACTTATTCACAAATAGTTCACGAGTGAAATATCAATTCATGTTTAAAAGGCTTGTTTTTTAAACCAGCATTATCAGTACTTTATCTTAATATTTCCACATTATGAATGGTCGGTCTGGAACACCCTTCAGTGGTGTGGAAACTGTGGCAAACGCAAATCAGAAGTCACTGTGCTAATGCAGTTTCAGGTATTAATTACCTGTGTTTTACATTCCTACCTGAAGCTAAATTTGGCTGTTGAATCGCCAGAAAGGAAGTGATGACAAGCCAATAGTTACCAGCAAACTATGCCCAAACATCATTTGGCAGTGGACAGCGTAATTTTAATTGCAATTAGCGGTGACCTCTGCTTTACAAGTGCCCCATTTTTCAACCACAGTACGGTATATGTCCAAGAGGTTTCTTGAAAATCTAGCGCATGTTAAAGTAAGATTTATATTTTAAGCTGCTATTTCCACTTGCTGTGGTGGAAGGAAACTGTATTAGATGTATAGTGTCAGCACTGAATTGTCATTTGTTATATCCAATAATCCACTAGTCCACGCATTGTCTGGGCTCACGAGTGAAACTCAGCCTCGATTTTACAGCCAGTTTTGCATAAGTTCTTAAAAATAACTGATTAAGAATGAATTTAATCACTTTCTGCAATTCTGTGCTGTCTTCAATTTTGAAACATGGTCTCACAGGCTAAGACTGGGTGGAATTTCAGGTCTCTGGTTTCCTTTAAAACATCACGAATCAGTGTCTCCACAAAAGGACAGGAGAAAATCAGGAGTATAAATTACTGAAATACGAAGACTTTTGCAAATGTAATGTAAATCCCCCCCATCTCACTTTGGGGGCAATGAACAAAGCACGTATTGCATTCAACAAACCGCCAAATATGGACAAGACTTGGAACAATATGTGGCTTGTCGGTCTCTGTTAGCTGGAAGATTATTTCCCAACTTTTGCAAATAATGGATATTTGTTGGTGGTTTAAAAACTGAATATAAATGAAGCAAAATGCATGATTTCCCATGTTTGCAGGTTTGTAGACTCTCAAACAAGCACCAAGACTGTCAGGTTACTCGTCCCCTTTGGCTGTTTATATATGTTGAGCTGCTGATTGTTTTATTAAAAAAAGACATCCACAAATGGAAATTAGTGAATGAACGTTTTATTATTGCACAAAAACTCTACACTCTGTACTGATCTTTGAAATGTAACGCTGTTTAAATTCTATTCAACCGTACATGTTTCTGGGAATGTCTTATGTGTAATGATGTTTGAATGTTGGGTGGGAGGGGAGAGTGGGTTGATTTTCCATTTCAATATCATCATTGCAAACTTTTCTGTTTTGTTTCTTTGCTCATCTTGCTGGAACAGAAGAAGAGTGTTCATTTCACACCTTAATAAACGCACTGTAACCGTCACGTAAGTGAACAACTGAAGATACCTATAGCACTGCCCTGAGTACGTCTAATGCAGCTGAGCCTGTAAACGCTTTGGCACGACTGTAAGACATTTTTTTCCCCTAAAATTAATCTTCTGAAAATTCTATAACAATAATAAATCTATCACATCATTTGAGACGTCTCACAGCACTTCTCGGGACTTTTAAAGCGTAGTATTTGTAGGTGAACGCAGCAGTCAATTTGCACACAGCAATCTCCCTAAAGCAGCTATAAAATGAGTTCAAATAACTTAATAGCAAATTTACCTTTTCTAACATTTTCCTCTGCTGCATAATTTCAATTTGACATCATAGAGTGATCTTATTTACTATTTTGATCAACGACAGGTCAACAACAAACTGCTTTCACATCGGGAAGGCATGTGAATTCATGTCACTACTGTAGAAAGCCATTTGATCTGTTTGGGGAACATCCTTTCTTTCAAGAAATCATGTTCGTTTTTCCTTATGCAGCACACAGGTTGCCACGTTCAGCTTAGCTGTCAAGTGCATTAGACCAAAAAAATCTATGGTATCTTCAGGTGTGAAGTATTTTGTGCTGTAACCGAGTCACACTTGTCCTTTTTATGTATTCTACAATCCTTGTGCAGCTTCTGGTTTTCATTTTATCCTTTTGACAAAATTCCACTTCACAAAAAACTAATCAAATGATATGCACACTAGGTCACTGCTGAAAATGCTTCAAGAAGGGCTCCATCTCCAACTGTTCCTCACCATCACCATCATGCTGGATCCGCCACAGCAGCAGGGAGTGCGGGCAGGGCCAGAGATATGTCTGCAAAAAAGAAAAGGGGACTGTTATCAAAAGGAAAGAAACTCCTGAAAAAGCTGGGTGGAGTGAAGTGAATTTTGTGTATTCATGATTACCATACACTTCCACCGTCCTGTTAAAATTGGTGTATGAACCAGCCTTCACTGCTTTGCCTTACAAATGCACAATGATAAAAGTACTTCTATGTTGTCCAGTAATGGAGAAAATCTACATTGTATGTACGTACTGTGTGTTCTTATTCCTCTTTCCACTGAAAGCCATTTATTCAAAACTGTGAAGTGTTGTGTCGCCTCTTTGGGTAAATGTCAGATGTTTCCCCTCCACCCTGCGTGCCTGTAAACTCATCGTTTATCAACAGGAATGAAATTCAGTATTACATTGAAGTGCAAGATACCTGGTGACCCATTTTCTTTGTTAAAATACATTTTATAAACACACAAGAACTTGCATGCACCCCTTCTAAATGTATATTTTGTATCAGTTGTGGTTAAATTGGTATATGTTCTTGATAATGGCATGCAAACTTTGCGAAAGTGACAAAAACCTTTAATAAGTGAAATGTACTTCTGATCTATAATTCATTGCATACCAGCATAGATTTATGGCATATGGTCCCCATGAATCGTTTTGAATCGCATCTCACAAGTGGTTTTAAACACAGAGCTTTGTAAGCATTGGCTGGCTGATTTAATGTACTGTATCACATTCAAAAAGGGGTGTCATCTTAACACTCGGAAACGTTAGGGATATGGGATCAACACAGCCGGACATTAATCAGCCAAAGGAAATTTCATACATACCTTTATTTTAGTGATGAGAAACATTGAAGTGTTGCTCTTTTGTACCTGACCATTTGTAAATTCTTGTTTTTACTGTTTATATACATGATTTACAGACTGCCTTTCTTTTTGTAAAAATCTTACAATTGACCAATTCCCTGCCCCAGATTGTGACAACAATCAGACAGTGTAAAGTACTGTAACATAGTGCTGTCTTCACATGCTATTCTCACTGAGGAGCTACCCAGCCTTTACTGTTTGTGGTAACATGATCATGTCAGTGTGTGCATGTGTAAATTTATCCACGTGTAAAAACTAATTTTTATAAATAAATGATTTGATATTTTGTAGAAATTTGTTTTTTTTTTTAAAAATGTTCCACATCCCATCCTTTGAACTTGATGTCTGCAAACATTTCCACTAGTCCAAACCTCAATGCGGAATCTGTGATCAGGACAAGTGAATTTCCTTTGAACAATTACATGTGTTAGTGATAACATTTAGCAATCATTAGCACAATACATCAGCATATTTATTAAAATGTATGTGCATCACTGCAAGCTCTTAAGACAGTTGTATATAACAAGTAATGATTTTTAAAATAAAGTTATAGGGAATGCAGAATGTGATAATTATCACATCAACATTTCCCCCTCCAGATATGGAAAGCAGCTGTAACAGTGATTAAATAGGGATGTTTATATTAGTAAATAGGTAATTAAGTCTGAGTGGTCTGATTACTAGATGGAGCTAACATCTACTATCCATGATTGATATGCTTTTAATATTAATTTAGAGGCATTTGTAAAACTACTGTCATTTGGAAATCTGTCCCAAATATAACTAAAAATGTCTTTACCACAAATAGATCATTGTTTACTTTTGCAACATTTCACTTGTGCATCACTGAGGTGCAATTTGTTCATCGATTCCCTCACCTGCTTTCTGTAATTCAAGCAAAGGCTGGAACTGTGACAACAATACCAGCCTCATCAAAACTTGAGAAGTTTTAATTAAATATAAGTTTATTTATCTTTAGTTTCACTAATCCTTATTATTCTTTCACTTCAGGTGACTGGAGCCCTTCAATAAACAAAAGGCACCTCAGGCTAAAGGATGACATCCTTGGATCGTTCCTGTAATGTTCCACTTCTATTTGCATGTCATTCACCAATACACTTTTCAGCACCTTTCTTTCATCCCCTCCAAGAGTGCATTTTCATCCCTCGGAGGGTTGCTTTACATAAACAAAACAACTTAAATTGCATTTTACTTTAATGGCTAACCCAGTTCTCATATCAGGTTACTTAACCACAGCCCTGAAGGCAAGACAGAGCAGGAGAATGGAGCTGCACTGTGCTCAGCCTCCGAGATTAGAAATACTGACAGCACAATTGCATTGATGCTTCTTTAATGACAAGACTACATCAGAGAAGAAACAGAACAATTTACAAATTAACCAGCAAAGCAGGACAAGTTAATTTCTTTACCAAATTACTTAAATCATCGTCCACAAGTTATTTTAAGGGTGGTACTGCAGAGAGAAAAAAATACAGTCAAGACTTGACTAAAATGGTCTATTTCTGTGTCTGCAGCAATTCTAAGTGTTCATGTGGTTAGAGCACTCGCCTCACAAGTGAGAAGACCTGGGTTTGATTCCCAGGCAGAAACAATGAGCAAATTTCCTTACTGCACACACCTGTTTACCTAGCAGTAAGTAAGAACCCAGTTGTTAGTCGATTGGCAGATCGCTTTTCCGGGGATAGTAATCCCTTCAAAAAACCAAAATAATAATAATTTGGTTACTCAATCCACAACTGTTTGTGGGACACTGCTGTGCGCAATTGGCTGCCGTGTTTCACCCACAAAATATGCAGTCAATTCACTTTACAATATATTCTGTGAAACGCTTGATATAAGACACTATATCAAATGCAAGTATTATTATTTCTTCATCTTAAATACAGGCAGCACATCATCTTACACTTCACTGAGCAAAAGGATCTTTGTGCAGGAAGTTTCACAACATCTAGTTAGTTATGGGGTGGGGGGGGGGGAGGAGTAGTTAATATCCCTATCTTTATTGTGCTCCTAATTTGCACCAGAAGCAAATCACACTTTGGAGACAATTTGCCACAACTATGATGAAAGTGATGTTTGAAAGTCAATCCATCTCACTTTGCAGCATAGGCAAAGCTGATGCAAAGTGAAATTAAAACTGAAAAACATATCCCTGTTGCTAGTGGCTGTAATAAGAAGCAATTTGTCAAGTCGGGAAGCACTAGATTGATCAGCAGTGACAAATCTTACTTGTTCCGGTCGCGTTCAGAGGTTTGGAATACCTCAAGGTGCACAAGTCTCAACTGTTGACAGAACACCACTCACTAACATGATGCTCTGAAATTTGGGAAAAAAACATCTGAAAAGTACATCTCATGGAATCGTGCCCAGAAACAATTGAATTTTTTGCTTCACACTGCACATTAGTCTTAACAGGTGGCCATCAGTCTCCAGCAGAAACAGGACTCCAATTGATTGCTTCACACAGCAGTTATTTGTCAAATGGTGAAATATTACCATTACATTTAACCAAAAGTAGTATTAATACAAATTCATCAACTGCTTCACTTAATATTTTTAAAGAACATTTTGCTTCACAAACAAAATGTCAGCTCCCCGACTTCCGAAGTAGTTGTACATTTTCCTCCAAATAAAATGAAAATACTAAAAATGTGATTGTTGTTTTGTCACTGTACTGTTACACCTGAAAATAATGGTTTGAATATCAAAGCACTCACACGCAAATATTTCATAATAATGCAGGTGGGAGAAGAAAAATAGATTTTGCAAAAAAAATCCTGAAAATATGGTTGGGCAAGTCTCCCAACCTCTGGTAATAATGCCCCTAAATCACTGCTCCTTAGAGGTTTATTTGTTCTTCCACAGCAATCAGGACAGTGACCAATACACTGACTGATGAAATGGAAAATTACACAGGTCCTCGTGACATAATCCAAAATGATTTCTAAAGGATGGCTCCTTAATTACTATTTTTGGCATTTTCTCATTCCTAGAGTCAAGACACTGAAAGGTACAAGCTGCAGCTTCCTCTGGTAACGTCTCAGTTCCCAGTAAAGACAATTCTAGAAAATGTTTCTGAAATAACAACATACATTTGTATAGCACCTTTTAGACTAGGGAAGAATAAAAAGCTACCAAGAACCAAGTTAAATGCTAGATATTTGCACAGGTTCATCAGTCAGCATAATTAACTGGAGATTGAAGAGGCCACAATTAATGCTCTAATGATTTTACATTATGTAGTAGTTACAGGAAGTTGATCAGGAGCCAGTAGGTATGTTTTAAAAAAACACTAATCCAACATTTCTCCCTCCATAAAAGCCAACACATATACCATAATTAAATGACAATATTTTGACTCAAAGGTGGGCATAAATCTAGGTTTTGGGATGCATTTCACCTCTGCTTTATATCAAGGACAATTAAGACAATAATATCAGTTGAATTTGCCTGATCTCTATCCTGTGCTGTCTGCAGGATCCGCAATTGGACATCAGGCAAGGACTGCGATTGGGTTCAACCGTAGCTACCTTCTCTCCCTTCTCTCTCTCCCCCGCCTCCAAACATTTGAATTAGCAGAGCCTTAGCCATGTAGAATAATAGGCAAGTGGCAGAGGCTCACAAGAGTATTTCATGACATTCATAAGAGCAAAGTTTTTTTTTGGTGGGGTGGGGGGAAAATGAATTCACTATCAAATTTTCAGAACAAAACTATAATATTCAGTGAAAGTACCGACTATCGATTTAGGAAACAAAGGTCATCTAAACTACAAAATATACCCAGTCTATTCTAAACAAGGTAACTTCCACTCATATACCACTGACCCTTCAGCATTCCAAGTTTGCACACGCATATTTACTGGTTCAAAAGAAAAGCACATTTTACAAACCGGCCTTATAAAGAGAGAGAGAGAGAGAGACGGGAGACTTGTCCTGTTACAGATAAAACAGCTGGCCTGCCAGCGCCAGACTGGGTTCGCGGTGAATGCTCTGCCCGACTAGGAATGCCAACTTGTGGGCATACTGGCAGGGAGCAGGCACACGGATCACACCCTGTGAAACAAAAGAAAATCGCTTAGTGCATTTATACCACACAAATATGAAGGTCAACAGAAGAGGCATTATGACCTATCAACCCATAACTGGATGGATAAGACACTCATTACTCACAGGCCAGTTGTAGTACATGTGGCACATCTTGTAGGTGAGCCGCTGCATGTAATCGGGTTTCAGATTGCTGCTGTCGTACACAACATTATAGTGAGTTGGTGTAACTGTACCAACTCTCACTGATTGGCTCACAATGTAGAAGTCATACCTGAGATGAGAGGAGAGAGATTTAAGACTTAAGACGTCAAAAGGTCCAAAAAAAATATTGAACAAAAGCAACTTGAATTTTTCAGCCTTAACATTTTTCAACTGAATTTTAGGTGCATTTCAGGCATGTTACTGATTGAAGCGGTTTGAGATGTTCTCTCAATTTGAAAGGCTATATAAAAGTAAATTGCAGTGGCAAACTTAGCTTTCAAGCACTTTCCACAATGAAGGAACAGATTCATAATAAAGTCTGAATTAAGAATTTTCCCAGAATGTTACATTATAAAGCAGAGAGCGACATGAATACAAAGGCCAGGTGAAGGCTCGGCAACAGGAAACAAGAGAGAGAGAGAGAGAGAGAGAGACACAGAGCTTAATGTGCCAAGTGCTTTGAGATGACCAGAAAACGTGATAAGGCGCTATATCAAATGCAAGGAATATTACTATTTACCATTCTGGTCTGGTGACCTCTGTATCAATGATGGTGCCAGGTGGTGGGTTCTGCAGCCGCCCCCCGGAACGAGAGAAGAAACGAGCATTTACACGCTTCTTTACAACAATCACAGACAGCTTCGGGCTAGAAAGGAACGGTCACAACCAACATGAAGCAGAATATTACAAAATATCACCTTAATGACATTTTTATTTGGTTATGTATTTTACAGATCATTTGCTCGTCTTACTTGTAGTCACCAAGGTTTTTCAAACAGTCCAGCAGCTGTGGAACTTCATAATTTACCACCGTATTCAGCTGACCATCACCAACCCCATCACGATATACAATGATACGCGCAGGCAGGCAATTATTCTGTGCGTACCAGGCCTTCAGAGCAGCTGAGAAGGCAAAGAAGTTCAATGAAGAGTATCATAAGAGATTCCAGATTCAGCTTGTCAGCATAGAACAATGAGTAGGGAAGAACAGGACAATGGGATTAGGGAGTTCAAGTGAGGGAGTGACCACGATATGCCTTATAGACTTCAGTCAGATTTCAGCCAAAATACCTTGCAAGCAAACTTTCAGTCCATCCACAAGCTCCTGTCCTCGCTCTTGAATAATACAGCGAGAGAACCACCTAAACCAAAGAAAAATAAATACTAAATGAACATCAGGATGACTTCCTCAACAAATTTAAGACTCAACCATAAAATGGATTCTTTTGGGTCATTGCTATAAGTCCCCACCACGTGACATGATGATGGTATTGGAGCTCACCTGGTTACTGCCTCGTTAAGGCTGGCCACAAACCCCGCGATGGATTTCCTTCCCGCAGCATTATCATGGTAGATGTCGATACCAACCACCATCAGCTGTTTGAGCTGCCAAACAAACATCGACAGAATAAACACTGAGCCACAGCTCAGATCACATAAAGTTAGATTCTAGACGTGGCTATGAAATGCATTCACAGGACCTCTTCCCACACAATCCAACCTAAACCTGCAGCCGATTCCAAAAGAACAAAAAAGAACCCTTATATCTTCTTGTAAACACAATTAGGGAGCTGGAAGGAACAGAGAGAATCTTAGGTCATGTAACAACCGATTGAGATACTTACTGGTATCTCAACACTCCACAGTTCACCGCCCATCTTACAGTTTATTTGTAAAGCAATTTTGGTGGCAATGGCCATCAGCGCCTGCGGTTTGCTCAAGGTGCGAGCAACCACACACTGGCTGGGAGTAGGACATTCCACACATAAGAACTTCTTGATTGTATCGTACTTGTCTTTGCGGTTGGATGGAAGAATGCACACAACCTGCCAAGAGAAAATGCACGGACTTGAAATTTTGCTCAATCCTTTCTCGGCCTTCAAAAATCCTCCTGAAAACATATTCCTTTGACTACGCCTTTGGTCAACAACAACCCACGACTTACCTTTAACTCACTACCTGCTGGGAACCAGTGCAATGGATTTTAATAACCATGTCAAACATTAACACACTACACACCAAGTATTAAAGATGAGGCCTGTATCAATTCCTTCACTCCCTTACCCATTGCTCCCTACACCCAAGGTTATCAGAATTTCTATTCAATGACTGAGATGTTGGGGCTTTACTGCCATATAACATTCTTTACCATTCTTGTCCTCTGAGTAACATTGGTCTGCAAGGCCTTTAGGAATGCCTCACTGCGGTCATCAACTTCAATCCTGCATTCGATAAAAAAAGACATCTTAACAGAGGAGCAATGGCAGCAGAAATCAAAGCTCCCAGGAAGCAGAGCACACAACCTCCCCAATATCACAGTAATAAAAGAAAACTAGGAATTAACAACAACAACTTGATTTATATAGCGCCCTCCACGCTGGACGGCGTCTCAGAGCGTTTTACAGTAACGGATCCTGGAACCGAGCCAAGTGGAGGGGGAAGGAAGGTGATCAAAGGCGCGGGCGAAAAGAAAGGTCTTCAGCAGAGACCTGAAAATGGGAAGAGAGGGAGGGAGTGAGGAAGGCAGCTCCAGAGCCTCAGGGCATAGTGGCTGAAGGCACGGTTGCCAAGGGTGGAGCGGAGGACTTGGGGGGGGGGGGGGGGGGCGAGGAGGCCAGACCCGGAGGAACGAAGGCAACGGGTACTGTTTTGAGGAGAGAGGTCAGAGAGGTAGGGGGGTGCAGAGGAGTGCAGGGACTTGAATACATGGGTGAGGATCTTGAAATCGATCCTCTCTGGGATAGGCAGCAGTGCAGTCTGGCAAATCATTACAAAGAATTAACAATTAGATTATATCCTTCCTCTCACACAGGTTAAAAACTAAAGACTCAAACTAGTCAGGGATCTAATGAAATTAAGTTACTCACATCAGTGGTTTCTCCATCCTAATGCCCATTGCATTTACTACTTTGCCCAGAGTATTCAAAAGGCTCCTGGCAACATCAACATTCCTGCGAATAAAAACCATCACCCAGTTCTCCAATGGAATGGGATTAATCAGGCGAGTTCCTCTGGTTTCTCTGGACCACTCTGCTACTTGAGGATTGTAGTCAAACTGGAAAAGTAACCAGACTCAGGAACTGAGAGCAAAACAGTTTAATACAACTCCTTCCTACACCTCACCACTTCCAACTGCAGTCAGTGAAGAGCAAGCAGATCTCTTGGCCTCTGGGAACAGGCAAGAATGCTGTGCGGATTCCAAGAGAAAATTTTAAGTTTCTCCTGATGTGCTTCATGTCAAACCACCTCATGCCACCTTTACCTCCATATCCTCTCCCTTGTCTAATGTACTTACTACCTCATTTTGTTCACATGTGCAATGTCTCCAAAGGCTACAAATTTCCCGTTAATGCCCAAATTGGTCATTTGGCAGAAAAGCTTTGAGCGTTACAAATGATACTTCAATGGAAAAAGACCTCAGGAGCCAATCATCTGCACACTTCAAAATGTGGAGCTATCCCAAGTCGGTGCTCTGAGTAGGAACATCAATAATCAATCAGAGGGGTGAACATGTCTATCCCATTCTTAGCCTCACAACCGATTTTATAATATAATAATCCTTGCATTTGATGTAGCGCCTTATTGCACTTTTGAGACATCTCAAAGCGCTTCACAGAATATACTGTAAAGTGAATTGACTATATTTTGTGGGCGAAACGCGGTATTCAATTGTGTACAGCAGTGTCCCATAAACAGTCATGGAGTGAGTGACCCTTTTTTTTTTAAAAAAGGGATTTTCCAGTTAAGTAGATTTAAAAAAACACTCTATTGCCCACATTACCATTTTTCCACCTTGATGGATTTTCTCCGATGGAACAACGCGTCCAGACATTGAGAGTAGTTTGGAGTCAAATTGGAGACCCCAATCGGAGAGTTCTTTCTGGACATTATCATCCCTATTTAAAGAAACACACACGTTGTTTGATTAACACGACAGCTTGAAATGCATTGGGTTATGTAAAAGAGCAGAGTTGACAAGCACCTACTTTTGAATGTAGTCCATGAAACTTCCCAACCGTTGCTCCCGCTGTTCTGGTGTCAGCCGTGTATGCATGGAGAGGTCTCTCATGACATTGAAATCAGAACGCATTTTATCCGTCATACCTAGATTAAAAAATTCAAACAGGAGTTTATAGCAGTTAAGACAGAGCAACGATATACATTATATTCTCTACTAGATGTCTTTCAAGTCCCACTACCTGTAAGATAACAGAGCTCAGGAATGAGGCAGATTGGTCCCAAAGTAATGCCAGGAGGTCCTTGTCGCTTGGGCTGACTGATCAGTACTGGCTGGTTCAGATCAGTAATATCTGTACTGTATTGCTGCCAAGAAAGACGGATGTCAGTTATACTGTACACCCCAAAAACCACACAAAAAGCCAATTCCCCAACACAATGTGGTTATAAAAATACAGAAATGAATGGTTCTTATAAAACTTCTGTCCTGCCTGTCACTGGAAAGCACAGGAGTATTTGTTTACCTTTTTGTAATAGTCCACGTAGCTAATTTCAGATCCATCTGCTTTTTTAAAGGTGTTCTTTGGATTCTGAATCCAATCAATGTCATCAATTCGGTAAGTCTTGTTGTTGTACCTAGAAGTCGGTAAAATGGATTACTACAGGATTGTGTAACGTCATGTACAAACGAATGCTGAAAGGGGTAAAGCAGAGCCATTCAGCTTACCTAAAACACTAATCTATTACCTGGCTGGCACCAGTCCTGTTTCTGTCCAGCAGGTCAGATTTGCACGCTATGTATACCCTGACCAGATTCAATTGTCACCAGATTCCCACACAATTCCCCAGGCATTATATAGCGGAAAAGCTGCAGGCAGCTTACTAACATCACTCACTTCAGATGATTTGCAGGAAATGTTACAGGTCACAAACCTACCAAGTTTTAACAGCCTCTATTATTCCTTACCGGGTGAGAACAATCACTCCTACTAGTTCCTTGGAGCAGGCCTCTTGAAACCGATATTCGCCAAACTGCTCGTACAACTGGTACATGACATCAAGCACAGTTTCACTGCGCAGAATCTTGTGACTCACGTCGGCACACAGCATAACGCTGCTCTCGTACTGCAGGATAGAGGTGGTGTAGCCAGGCCACACCATGATTCTGCCGGAAGGAAAAGTACAATCTTTGGAGTTATTTTGGAATTTCTAGAGCGCTTTAAAAACGATTAAGCGCCATAGATTTCTTTGAACAAAATCGAATTAGATGCTAATGTCTGAAGAGTATCCCGGGATCCGTTACTGTAAAGCGCTCTGAGACGCCGTCCGGCGTGGAGGGAGCTATATAAATCCAAGTTATTGTTGTTGAGTAGTGACGTGTACCTGTGCTGCGGAATCATAATAGGGTCCTGAGGGTTGTAGTAGTTCCTGCCAATTTGTTGCAAGGACATGATCTTCAGCAGTCTGGAGAAACAATTACAGATTACCACAAGCATGCATCAGTTGAAAGCTAATAACTCTATAAGTAAGTTGCAGTGATGTCACTCACCTTCTGAACACAATGTTGTAGAACTGAAGACACGTGGGAGACGTTGGAGGCAACTCATTGGTCAGAGTAACAGTGACCACCACATTCTGGCCATCGCGAGTCAGGCTGACCAGCTCAGTGACCTGAACAGCAGTTTAGAAATCAGATTGGACTTCAACTGGAAAATTAGGTTTCTCATCCATTTTAACCCACTTGTTATACGTGAAATTCTAAATGTGTGCAGCATTGAAGCTTTGCCATTTCGTGCATTACCTCCCTTGATCTCTGAAACCTCGTCTCAAATTGTTGGGATGTTGGCCTGAACCACATCAATCAAGGTTCAATCCAGTTTCTAGCAGCATCCCCAAAGCACAAAATTAAGATATTTTCAAACACTACTATTCGAGATTTAAATGCTTACTTTCTTTTCCAGTTTTTTGGGAAGAAATAAGATACAACCGTCAAAAACACGAGTTCTACCAAGGATTTTGTCATGCATGAACAGCAGCGCAGTACGGAGGCGTCTCGATTCCATTTGCGGTTTATAGTCCACGTGGTACTGATACAGAGCCCACTGTGGCCGCGAGTTTAGGCGAATATAGTTTGTGACCAAACGAATTAGACTCCCAGAGACACCTGAAAACACAAGATTTAATATCAGATACACTGGAGCATCAACTAAACTCTGGACACATAAACGAGTTTTAAAATACTTACTCTTCTCCTTTAAAAAGGGAGGGTGTGGTCTTGGTTTATACTGGTCCCTCAGCAGTTTTAGGTGAGCTCAAAGCCACTATTCCAATATGGAACCTAATGGTTTTGATAACTGCTTTTTAACGTTTTGAAATGTCACTTTTGATCATTTCTCTTATCCATTTAAAGAAAAACTGGTAAAATGAACCTTGAATGTAGAGACACAGATATGGGCTAAACAGGGTTTGTCATCATCATTACAAGCTACCTCAAGGGTACCAGTCACTACCCCTTAACCACCACTTCACATTCCCCCAGCTCCAAACTGCCATTACCCGCTTTGGAATCCTTGACGTGCTCCATCGCTTTCCTGGTGTAAACTCCAAGGTCATGAAAGTCACGCCGACGCCCGCCTCTCTCGGCTAACGTAAGTTCCTTAAATCCAGCGGACACATCCTTGCTCTCTTCACATTTTCAGGAAACAAAAATAAAGAAATAGCATACGTCATCTTATTCCTTATCTCAAAATAAAACTAAACCACATTCTTGCAAAGCTATTTAATGCAGAAATGCCCTCCAACAGCAAGCAGGGTGTTGACCAAAACCAACAGAAACTCACACTATTTGTTTTTTTAAAAAAAACAAAGCTTGCACGAAAGCAGCAGATTTTAAATTTTACATGCAGGAAATAATTTCTCTGCACACTATGGCTCGAGTCAGTCAGAGCAGACATTCACACTTAGGGGAGGAGGGACACAGAGGCTGTTAAGTCAGCTCTGCACATTAATCACATCCTCACCATCTCTGCGTCTCACTGTTCCAGGAGGTCCTCGCTGCCGTCCACGACCAACAAGCTCGGTCTCTACTGCCACAACGGTGGCTGGGATTGGAGTGGGCGCCTAGTTTCAAAAACAAATCTTTTCTGATATTTTTCTGTAGTCTTATACATCAGAAAGCCTTGCAACAGAAAGCCCCACAAGACATTCCATTATTCTACTGAAAACCAGTCTTCAGGGCAAACAAAAGAACATCTCACCACATGCAACTACAGACAGCAGACAAACTCACCGGCCCAGGAGCACCAACTTCAGGGACCCTCGCCCTCCCTCTGGCCCGCGCCCGTGCTCTTCCAGTCATTTTTAGCAATTCGACGTCTCACACACTTCTGGTGCTCAAATATCTGAAACATTTAGAGGTCAAGGTACAGTAACTTTGACAGACAAACAAGACGGGGCATTTGACGTATCTCAACACACATGAATAGGCAAGTGAGTGCACTGGACAGCCATTTCCTAACCGGCATTCATACCCCAGAAGATTGCCAGGGCTTCCAATAGAGTAAACTAGGAACGTGACTGATTTCCACATGGGTCAGGGTTACTAAAGCCACGTTCCGCAACAGGGTAAGAGCTTTGTAACTGTACACATAAAAATGAAGCTGAAGCCTTGGCCCCACCCTTGCCTTCTTAAAGCCACGTGCCAAGACCCTCCTCTCCGACCGCGCCTTCAGTCACTCTACCCACCCTCCCAATCCCAAACCCCTGCTCCGGTCCAAACCCCTCGACTGTCCGGCGCCTTGGGACATCCTCCCGAAATGAAAGGCGCAATAAAAGTATAATTTGTTCCTGTTGAAAGGCACTTAATAAATGTAACTTTGTTGATGTTGTGATTATTAACATCAGAATTTTTAAAAGTCTCCCACTACACCCATCTTCCAGCTTTCCCTCCCCTCCTCCCTCCCCATTTCTCTCCCCCTCCCTCCCTCACCCCCAAACCTCCACTTCTTCTCCCCCCCACACTTTCCCCTCTCTTCTTCCTTCCCACTTCTCCCCCAGCTTATCCGCCCGCCCGTCCCTCCCTCCAGAGGTGGGGGGGGGGGGGATGGGGAGCGTGGGGAGAGGGGGTAAAGTGAGGAGCGGCGGGGGTTGGGGTGGGGGGAGTGAGGAGTGGGGGGGAGTGAGGAGTGGGGGGGGAGTGAGGAGTGAGGAGGGGAGTGAGGAGTGGGGGGGGGAGTGAGGAGTGTGGGGAGAGTGAGGAGTGGGGGGGGAGTGAGGAGTGGGGGGGGTGGAGTGAGGAGGAGTGTGGGGGGGAGTGAGGAGTGGGAGTGAGGAGTGGGGGGGTGGAGTGAGGAGGAGTGGGGGGGTGGAGTGAGGAGGAGTGTGGGGGGGAGTGAGGAGGAGTGGGGGGGTGGAGTGAGGAGTGGGGGGGAGTGAGGAGTGGGGGGTGGAGTGAGGAGTGGGGGGTGGAGTGAGGAGTGGGGGAGTGAGGAGGGGAGTGAGGGGGTGGAGTGAGGAGTGGGGGGGTGGAGTGAGGAGTGGGGGGAGTGAGGAGGGGAGTGAGGGGGTGGAGTGAGGAGGAGTGTGGGGGGGAGTGAGGAGGAGTGGGGGGGGGAGTGAGGAGGAGTGGGGGGTGGAGTGAGGAGGAGTGGGAGGGTGGAGTGAGGAGGAGTGGGGGGGAGTGAGGAGGAGTGGGAGGGTGGAGTGAGGAGGAGTGGGAGGGTGGAGTGAGGAGTGGGGGGGAGTGAGGAGGAGTGGGGGTGGAGTGAGGAGGAGTGGGAGGGTGGAGTGAGGAGGAGTGGGGGGGGGGAGTGAGGAGGAGTGGGAGGGTGGAGTGAGGAGGAGTGGGAGGGTGGAGTGAGGAGGAGTGGGGGGGGAGTGAGGAGTGGGAGTGAGGAGTGGGGGGGGTGGAGTGAGGAGGAGTGGAGGGTGGAGTGAGGAGAGTGGGGGGGAGTGAGGAGGAGTGGAGGGTGGAGTGAGGAGGATGGGGGTGGAGTAGGAGGAGTGGGGGGGGAGTGAGGAGTGGGAGTGAGGAGTGGGTGGAGTGAGGAGGAGTGGGGGGGGAGTGAGGAGTGAGGGGTGTGGGGGGGAGTGAGGAGTGAGGAGTGAGGGGTGTGTGTGGGGGGAGTGAGGCCTCAAACCGCCATTATGGGCCACCGGATTTCCCTGACCAGGCGGCGCCGCGAATGGCCGCTCGAAACACGACGCCGAATAAAATAAAAAAAAACACACAAACAAGACAATTATTTTTTTTAAAAAAATGCAAAAAAACTACCCTCGCGGTGCCACAGCGGCCCTGACAGAGAGAGAGAGAGAGAGAGAGAGACACAGAGAGAGAGAGACCACACACACACACACACACACAGAGGCGGCGGCTCCTCCCGCCTCACACTCACAACCCGCGCATATTCAAACCCACGCCGTGTATCCCTCCGCTTCTAACTGACTCTTGCGCGCGTGTTTTTTTTTATATACATACATATACATATATATACATATATATGTGTGTAAATCTGTTCCCCGTGACGAGTCTGTGTTATTTTTTTCTCTCTCTCTCAACGAAAAGGTGAGGCAACCCGTTGGCTCTATTTCGCGCTCGCGCAGGAAGACGTCGCGCGCGCGTTTATAGACATATATATATATACCGACGTACGTACGCGCGCGTGTGTGTGTGTGTGTGTGTGAGAAGGCGAAGCGCAGCTGCTGTGCGCACTGCGCAGGCGTGGCCGGGAGCACGTGGTCGTCGCGTGTGATGGGGCTCAGCGTCACGTGCGGAGAACGACAGCAACAACAACAACTCACAGCAGCAACAACTCACAGCAGCAACAACAACTCACAGCAGCAACAACAACTCACAGCAGCAACAACAACTCACAGCAACAGCAGCAACAACTCACAGCAGCAACAACAACTCACAGCAGCAACAACTCACAGCAGCAACAACAACTCACAGCAGCAGCAACAACTCACAGCAGCAACAACAACTCACAGCAGCAACAGCAGCAACAACTCACAGCAGCAACAACAACAACTCACAGCAGCAACAACAACTCACAGCAACAGCAGCAACAACTCACAGCAGCAACAACAACTCACAGCAGCAACAACAACTCACAGCAGCAACAACTCACAGCAGCAGCAACAACTCACAGCAGCAGCAACAACAACTCACAGCAGCAACAACAACAACTCACAGCAGCAACAACAACAACTCACAGCAGCAACAACTCATAGCAGCAACAACTCATAGCAGCAACAACTCACAGCAGCAACAACTCACAGCAGCAACAACTCACAGCAACAACAACTCACAGCAGCAACAACAACTCACAGCAGCAACAACAACTCACAGCAGCAGCAACAACTCACAGCAGCAACAACTCATAGCAGCAACAACTCACAGCAACAACAACTCACAGCAGCAACAACAACTCACAGCAGCAACAACAACTCACAGCAGCAACAACTCACAGCAGCAACAACAACAACTCACAGCAGTAGCAACAACTCACAGCAGCAACAACTCACAGCAGCAACAACTCACAGCAGCAACAACAACTCACAGCAGCAACAACTCACAGCAGCAACAACTCACAACAACAACAACTCACAGCAGCAACAACAACTCACAGCAGCAACAACTCACAGCAGCAACAACAACAACTCACAGCAGTAGCAACAACTCACAGCAGCAACAACTCACAGCAGCAGCAGCAACAACTCACAGCAGCAACAACAACTCACAGCAGCAACAACTCACAGCAACAACAACTCACAGCAACAACAACTCACAGCAACAACAACTCACAGCAGCAGCAACAACTCACAGCAACAGCAGCAACAACTCAGCAGCAGCAACAACTCACAGCAGCAGCGACAGCAACTCACAGCAGCAACAACTCACAACAACAACTCACAACAACAACAACAGCAACTCACAACAGCTGGGAGTCGAGAAGAGAAAAAGATGGAAATTCATTTTTTTGCGGAACAGAAGGCAGAATACTGCGGATGCTGGGAATCTGAAATAAAAAAACAGGAGTCGCTGGGAACAGGCGGCAGGATAGGCAGCATCTATGGAGAGCGAGGAAAGCGCGTCCTGACGCAAGGTCGTCGGCCTGAAACGTTAACTCGCTCTCCTCTCTCTCCATAGATGCCGCCTGACCTACTGCGTGTTCCTAGCAACTTCTGTTTTGTTTTGTATTTGTTTTACAGAACAATTCTCTCCCCATTTTCAAGTTCAAAGGAAAATTTCTCCTTGGGCGTCACGGCCGACAATGTCCCAAATAAAATCGCTCAGTTTCTTTTCTGACTGTTTTTGATAACTCCTGCCGGCATTTGCTGGAACTGTGTGTATTGATGAGTGATTTTTTTTGCACCTTTTTATCATACCTGCTTGTGTTGAGTTGGGAGGATGGAGAGGAGCTTGCATTTTTTTATGCTTAGTGGATACGTCACATTCGTCTGCAGCTCTGCTCTCAGCCATGAACAGGATGCAAAATTATTGTCGGGCCAGAGTGTGAGTGTTAACCTCAACGTTAGCATCAAACACTCTGAAGTGAAAATGAAAAGATAGGAAGTTAGAATCTGTACAAAGGTTTCTTAGGATGTGGAATGTGTCACCACAAAACGCCAAGTCAGTTGCGCTGTTTAAAATAGAAAATGCTTTTAAGGAAAAATATTAAACGGTTTGAGAAAGATACGAGTAAAGAGCTACAGCTCTTGAGCACCAGTTCAAACATGATGGGCCAAATGACTTTCTTTGCTGCTAGCTTTCTGAGTCTCAAGTACACAAGTGGAGCCATGTTCTACTTGTTAGAAAGAGGAAACAGACGTCTCTTTGGCCAGATGGTCAAATTAAAGTGTTGTATTTATAGTTTTCTCTTGAGTTCTTTTCGGAAGCACAAATTCACTATACAACGTAGGCAGAAGAACATTTCCAGTTGGAGCTAATCGCAGTGGAGCACCTGATATTGAATGAATGATATGAGTGGAAGATTGCAAGACCGGCTCATATCCACAATTACAGGACATTGGTACAACAACAACATTACATTTGTATAGCGCCTTTCACGTCAGGAGGACATCCCAAGGCGCTGGACAGTGTACAGCATTTCAGACCCGAGCTGGGGTCGGGGGAGAGGGGAGGGAAAGGGGGGTGACCAATGGCATGATTGAAGAGGAGGGTTTTGAGGCGGGACTTGAAGGAGGCTAAAGAGGGAGAGAGGCGGAGTGATTAGGGGATGGAGTTCCAGAGGTTGGGTGCAGAGTGGCTGAAGGCTCTCCCACCAATGGTGGGGCGGGTGGGTCGGGGGACGTGGAGCCACCGGAGCCGGATGAGCGGAGGGAGTGGGCGGGTTGGTTGGGGTTTAGGAGGTCGCAGAGGTAGGGTGGGGCGAGGCAATAAGAGGGCTTTGTAGGTGAGGACCAGGATTTTGAATTGATTTTTAACATTATTACTGCTGTTACTGTTTGATTAAAGGGTTTTCCACAATATGTTTGGGAGTCTTGGATGTTGAAAAAAAGAGGGAGAGTTTCTCTCGGCATCCTGGTCAACATTCCTCCAGATAAACTGGCTGTCCATTCCCATGGCTGTCTGCGGGACGTTACAAGGGCAAAACATTACCCCGAATGCTTATGACAGACACTTACTGCTTTTGTTTGTAAAGCACTTTTGAGATTTTTTTTATGTTGTCAGCACTATTAAAAGTGTAAAGTCTCTGTCATAGGAACAGGAGGAGGTCATTCACCCATTTTATTAGATCACCGATTTCCTTCACATTAATACATCCTTCCTAAGGTTAAGTGTCCAAAACTGAACACAATATACCAAAAGCCTCTGACCAGCGCACATCCCTACTTTTACATTTCAGACACACCCTGCGTCCCCTAGCCTTTTTTCAATATAAATTGATTTCTGCACCAGCAAACTGGATATTAACAATTTATCTAGTTGACTGCCAAAATCCTTTTATTCCAGCTGCACCTCTAACCCCCTCTCCCTAGCATTTCCATTCACCATTCTTTATGTCCAAACAAACCCATTTCCGGGAGCACAGAGTGAGAATCGCTCTGGGTTTATCACTTGGGACTCCATTCTCAACTCTTCATCATGTTGTCTTTCTCCTCAGTTTCCCTGGTATTGTTTCCATGTCAGTGGTTCACCACCACCAATTTATCTTCAGGGCTATTCTCCAAACCAAGTGTCTGCCACTGCACCAATGTGAAATACAGGCCCCCTTTCCTCATTAACTCCTTGTGACTCCCCTGCTCCACCACACTGCCTTTGTCAATGACGATTATCTTATCCGCCTTCTCCACAGTGCTGAGCCGATGAGCTATGATCAGGACAGTGCAGTTCTCCTTAATACTGTACAGTGCTTCCTGGACCTAAAAGGGGCAAAGAGATTGGGTCCAAATGTATGCCTTGCTGTAGAAACACACTGTGACCCTGAGATTGGGGTCCGTAAATTTATGCCCTGCGTTATAACAGGTCTGTGAAATAAATTCTGCATTGGCAGGTCGGCATTGGCATCACTGCCGACTTTCAATGTTCTTAAAAGGAAACCAGCTTCCCAAATTAGACTGAATTGAAGGATTTTCAAAGATTCGGTGCCACCTTCGATTGTAAGGCAAAACAGTCTCCGTGGGCTGAGACCGTGTGGAATTTCAAGCCTCCGAGGCTCTGCTCCCATCACACCATGGCCTCACAGCTTCAGGCTGTTACTATCACAATCCCTCAGTCACCTAATCGTTCGCTTTTGACTGCGAGATTTAAGCCGTGGTAGGAACCGTGCGTGTTTGAGACAATAATGGTCGCCTGAGCTTTGACGGTCACTCACTCACCTTGTGGTCACTCTCGGCGTCCAGCGCGCTGGTGGCTTCATCCAGCAGCAGGACCCGGGGGCTACGGACCAGGGCCCGAGCGATGGCCACTCTCTGCTTTTGTCCCCCCGACAGCTGCGCCCCTTCTCTCCCGTCTCTGATCAGGACAAGGGAACACAATTACCCATGAAGTGCTTTGAGTGTTAAAAAGTCGCAATACAAAACGCTAGGATTATTAGCTGCGAGTCCACCATCATGTTGCACATCAGAGGCTCCGGCCACTGTGAGCTCACTTACCTGTGCTGTAGCCGTCTTTCATTTCCATGATAAAGTCGTGTGCATTGGCTTTCCTCGCGGCCTCTGTCACTGAATCCGCGGAGCTGGCCTGCTCCATACCGTACGTGATATTCTCTTCTATCGAACGTGCGAACAAGACGGGCTCCTGTCCCACCAGAGCAACCTCAAAGGGGTGCGGTGGGGGGGGGGGGGGAGAGGGAAGAGGGAAAAGAAGAGCAAGAAAATATTTTAGGAACTGTATTGCAAGAATCAACTAGAGGGAAGAATTCTTATGGTCTTATAGGAAATAATATCTCAAAATGGTGTGCTGTGTGGACCTTGGTCTTCTTTCATCTAACAATTCTTACGTTCTTCAGATAATACCTTGGTGGCGGGGTGTGGGAGGGCAGGGGGCGTGTGGGGAGGGGTGAGACTGGGGATAGTAGCATTCAGGGACTAACAGTATTTCCCCTGGATTCGCCTTGGCGGTTGACGTGTGTCTGCCGTGTGTCTAGTATGTGGCTGCCATACCTGGGAGTGCAGGTACTGGGACTGGTATTGGGGAAGGGGGAGGCCGTCCAGCAGCACCTCCCCGGCGTGCGGGCTGTAGAAACGTTCCATCAGATGCACACACGAGCTCTTGCCACTGCCCGAGGGGCCGACCAGAGCCGTCACCTCCCCGGGGCTCAGCGTGAAGCACACGTCCTGCAACACAATGACCATGCGGCCGGTTACACCAAATCATCCCATTTTTCTCATCAATAATAATAACAGTTATTGGATTTTACATAGCGCCTTATCACGTTGTTGAGATGTCTCAAAGTGCTTCGCAAAATATACTGTAAAGTGTAGTGACTGGGACTACAGGAAGAACTCACATTCAAAACAGGGACCTCGGGCCGGCTCGGATAGGAGAAGGTAACATTCCGGAAAGTCACTTCACCCTTCAACGTTTCCGGAGCCAAGGTTCCGTCTCGCGACATGGCTGACTTGCGGTCGATGATCTCTAGGATCTTCTCCATCACACCCACGGCCTGAACCAGGCTGGTAAACACCATCCCCATCGCCTGGAATCAGAGAAGAGTGAAATCCAACAGTGAGGACGTCTCACAACCAGCACTTTGGTTGATGAATTTCACCCACAAAATACACAGTTAATTCACCTTACTGTGTATCCCGTGAAGCACTTTGAGACGTCTCGAAGATGTGATAAGGCGCTATATTAAACGCAAGGATTATTGTCATCTAATACCTGTATCATAGGGTACAGGTAATAATGCCCTCACCTGTAGCAGGTGACACACTCACCTGAAGGCAGTCACCGAGAGCCAGCTCATAAATGATGAAGGAGATGAGGCTGGCACTGGTCAGGGAGTTAGACAGCACCAGGAACCCACCGTAGTAAATGATGCTGCATTGGAGAGCCAGCTGCAGGAACTGGGAAAGGTGAGGAAGAGGAAACATCAGACAAAAATCCTCTCTAGAACCTGTTTCATAGATGCATAGATATAGAATTAGGAGTAGGCTATTCAGCCCCTCAAGCATGTTCCGCCATTTTATATGATCGTGGCTGATCTGTACCTCAAGTCCAGTTACCTGCCTTTACCCTATCCCTTAATACCCTGTCCTAACAAATATTTATCCCCTCACGGTCATGTTTAGAGAAACGTGTTACATACAGGGTGAATTCATCACATTTCAATTTATGGCACTGTCCTGTCTTGCAGGCCAGAGTCAGAGCAGATGTATGGGGGTCAAGGAGGGGGGCAAAAAACAGTTTGTTACCTGGAATAGATGTTTAAAGGACATGAGTTGGCATGAACAGCATAGAGACTGCGAGGTTGGGAATCGGTCAAGATCCATCCCTCCTGGAGCCTCTGTGCAGCATATCATTTATTGGTAATTTTCCATTTTGCAAGAACAAGAACAGAGGTTACGGTCTGGAATGCACGGCCTGAAAGGCGGTGCAAGCAGATTCGATAGCAGTTTTCAAAAGGGAATCAGATACGTACTTAAAAAGGAAACGTTTGCAGGGCTATGGGGCAAGAGCAAGGGAATGGGACTAATTGGTAGCTCTTTCAAAGAGCCGGCATAGGCACGATGGGCTGAGTGGCCTCCTTCTGTGCTTTAAGGTTCTATGATTGAGGCAGATTTAGCTCAACGGTCTTGCAAGCTGAGTTTGGGACGTCTCGCGGCAGGAAGTGGGTCCACGGCACACATGGACAGACCTCCTGACCTGCCGGGCAATGGGACACGAGAGATCACTCGCCAATATGAAGGGAACGGTTCTGTACCTTGGTGGCCCATGTGAAGTAGGCGGAGGCCAAAGCTTCCCTCTTGTTCAAGGCATACATGCGGCTGAGCTGCTCGTTGTAAACGCGTTCCTCTGCCCCTTCGGCAGCGAAACTTCTTACGGTCTTGATGCAGGAGATGGCCTCCTCGGCGATGTGGTTTGCCTTTGCCAGAGCGTCCTGCACCTCTTTGGCTAGTGCCTGCGAGCGACCGGAAAAACACCACAACTCAATGCAAGACCACTCTGTGTGTTTTGGGGTCAGCAAAACAAAATGGTTACCAGCCCGTTTCCAGGTCATCAGTGACATCACTTTCTGTGTGGATGAGCCAGCTTCCCGTGTGTACAGACCACATTTTGCCTGCACTCACCCATAGATCCTATTGGGCAGGGAGGTCCATCCTATTGGCTGCTGAGAGCCAGATACTATTTGAGAAAAGAGGCTGATAAATACTAACGCTTGCCTCATCTCGTCTCGAAATCAAAGACGTGGAAATGTTCATTAGTCGTTGGGACATTTGGGAGGAAGCCTACCTTGTAATGCTGGCTGTAGATGTCTGACACCTGAATTATTACCGGAAACCCAATCACTGTGACCACAGTGAGCTTCCAGGAGAGAGTGATCATGAGAGCGCAGATGCCCAGAGTCTTCACCAGACTCCGCAGGAAGATGTTAGCGTTCTGAGAGATGACATCGCTCACTACTGTTGTGTCGGAGGTCAGCCGAGATGTCATGTCACCTGTGAACATGAATCACATGTGGTCAATTACCGGTCAGTTGCTTCTCTCTGCGTTAAAGTGGGGGGGGGGGGAGGCGGAGTCATCTATAAACAGTTCCCCAGTTCCTCACAGACCTGTGTGGTTGCAATCGAAGAAGGCAATCTCCTGCTGCAGCAGGGAAGTAAGCAGCAGCCTGCGAATCCGCACGTTCAGTCTGGCAAACGCCACGTTGAAAGCTCCTTCCCGAAAGCCTCCTGTGAGCCCACTGCTCCCAGGGGAGGGGAGACGAGGGGACAGGGAAAGCACATGGTTAGCTGTGCACAAAACACCCTCTGTGTTTCCTACAACAGTCTTCGCACTCAGAGTACAAACACACCTGGCATACCTGGTTGCGACAAGTGGCCTGTTTATGTGTTGTACATTCGATGTAAACCCAGACTGCACTTTGAGATGTAAGAACATAACAATTGCTAGACGAAAGAAGACCAAGGTCCATCCAGTTCGTCTTCCACCATCCTGCCAGTCGCTTGTCCCAAACTATATACTGTATCCCAAGATATAGTGTGTATCCCAAGATGCAGTATATAGTACTGTATGCCAAGATAGATGTTGACATGATAGAATGCTATAAAAATGCTTGAATTATACTCCAAAACGTATAGTTATTACATGAGCCACGCTGTGATCTCAGAGTGAGAATGTTAGTGTCAATTCTGTACACTTTGTTTTTGTGCAATTACAACATTAATGTTGTTGAAGCCAGCAAGAAAACGACTGTCTTTCCTAACCCTCTTGCGCACATATTTCTTACCCATGAACCCACAAACCCGTCTGTGTATTTAATCCCAGTGATTAAAGACAAACCGTCACCTTATCAGGCTGAGCAACGCCATCCCAAACAGCTCCCTGGTGAAGATGGCCATGCTCTTCTGAGCAACGATTGCTTCCAATACTCGTCCCAGGAAAAAGGGGATGAAGATTTCGCCTACGTTTGAGAGTGAGAAGCAGAGAGCAGCGTTAACAGTTCATGGGAAATCCCTCATAGGCTCAGCCTGCCTTAACGTTTCGTCTTTGTCCAGCGCCACAGGACGTCCTCCTGACGTGAAAGACACTGTATAAATGCGATTTGTTGTTCTTGTCTTAAACCTTAAGGCGCCGTAGGATTGTAGGAAATCATTCTTAAAATCATTCTGAATTTGGATGTTAGTTTTTTCGGCACTTAAGACCGGATTTAGGAATTTTCTACAATTCTGGGCCGTCTTAAATCGAGTCCAATTCATGATCTGTAAGATTGTAGATAATCATACAACAACAACAACAACAACAACAAGATTCCATTTATAGAGCGCCTTTCACGTCAGGAGGACGTCCCAAGGCGCTGCACAGTTGGGTCATGACCCGAGCAGGGGGGAAATGGTCAGGGTGAGGGGAGGGAAGGGAGGGAGAGAGGAGGGGGGAAATGGTCAGGGTGAGGGGAGGGAAGGGAGGGAGCGAGGAGGAGGAAGAGAGTCGAGAGGGGAGCTGAAGGCACGGTCAAAGAGAAAGGTTTTGAGACCGGCCTTGAAGGAGGAAAGGGAGGAAGCAAGGCGAAGGCACTGGGGGATGGAGTTCCAGAGCCTCGGGGCTGAGAGGCTGAAGGCCCGACCACCGATAGTAGGGCGGTTGGGGCGGGGGACGTGGAGCAGACCGGAGCCAGAGGAACGGAGGGTACGGGCAGGTAGGTAGGGGGATAGTAGGTTGGAGAGGTAGGAGGGAGCAAGGCCGTGAATGGCCTTGTAGGTGAGGATGAGGATCTTGAAATCAATCCTCTGGGGGATGGGGAGCCAGTGGAGGCGAGCGAGGGTAGGAGTGATGTGGTCCCGAAGCCTGGTGCGGGACAGTACACGAGCTGCAGAGTTCTGAATGACCTGCAGCTTGTGGAGGGAGGTGGCGGGAAGGCCGGCGAGGAGAGAGTTCCCATAGTCCAGCCTTGAGGTGACAAAGGCGTGAACCAGGGTTTCAGCAGCGTGAGGGGTGAGGTAGTGCCGTAATCTGGCGATATTCCGGAGGTGATGGAAGGCGGTGCCAGTTGTGGTGCGGATGTGAGGGAGAAAGGACAGCTCAGGGTCGAACAAAACGCCGAGGTTCCTGACTGGCTTTGAGAGGTGGAGAGTGCAGCCTTGGATGCTGATGGTGTCAGCGCCTGAGGTGCGGAGGCGCTGACGTGAGCCAATCAGGAGGGCCTCGGTTTTTCGCACGTTGAGCTGAAGAAAGTTGTCTCTCGTCCAGGACTCGATGTCGGACAGGCAGGCTGTCAGGACATCGGTGGTCGTGGAGTTGAGAGTAGAGGAGGAAAGGTAGAGTTGGGTGTCATCCGCATACATGTGGAAGTTAACCCCATGTTTGCGGATGATGTCACCGAGGGGGAGCATATAGAGGGTGAAGAGGAGGGGACCGAGGACAGAGCCCTGAGGGACACCACATGAGACAGTACGGGGGGTGGAGGAGAAGCCATTCGTTGAGACGAAGTGAAGACGGTGGGAAAGGTAAGAGCTAAACCATTCAAGGACAGTGCCTTGAAGGTTGAGGTGGGAGGACAAGCGGTGGAGTAGGATAGCGTGGTCGACCGTATCGAATGCTGCCGATAGGTCGAGGAGGACGAGGAGACAGAGGGAGCCCTGGTCACAGATAGTCAGGATATCATTGGTGACCTTGACCAGGGCAGTTTCTGTGCTATGAGCAGCACGGAAACCTGACTGAAGGGGTTCAAAAAGAGAATGGGTGGAGAGGAAAGAGCGCAGTTGGGAGGCGACAACTCTTTCCAAGACCTTGGAGAGAAAGGGGAGGTTGGAGATGGGCCGGTAGCTTGATAGCTGCGACGCATCAAGGGAGGGTTTTTTCAGGGTGGGCGTGATGATGGCAGTTTTTAATGGAATGGGGACAGAGCCAGAGGAGAGGGACAGGTTTATGATGTCAGTGATGTGTGGGGCAAGAAAATGGAGCTGGGAGATAAGGAGTGGAGTGGGGATGGGGTCAAGGGAGCAGGTGGTTGGTTTTAGGGATAGGATGAGTTCAGTGACAGAGGGTGGGGAAACGGGTACGAAGGTGTGTAGGGGAGGATGGGTAGGAGTCGGAGTGTGGGAGGGAAGGGGTGGGTGGTGGGTGGAAGTTGGAGGGGAAGTGACCGCGGAGCGGATTCCCTTGATCTTGGATTCAAGGAAATCCAGCATCTCCTCGCAGTGAAGGTTGGAGGAGATGACCTGCGCGGGGTGGCGGGGGGGACGGAGGAGTCGGGATGTGGTGGAAAACAGTAGCCTGGGGTTGTTCTTCGCCTCCAGGATTATCCTGGAGTAGAAGGACGACTTGGCCGAGGCTAGAGTGGAGCGGTAAATTTTGAGGAGGTCCAGCCAGATTTGTCGGTGGACCGTTAGGCCAGATTTGACAAAGGTGCGCTCAGCAGCCCGCACCTGGCATTTCAGTGAGCGGAGGTGGGTGGTGTACCAGGGGGAGGAGCGGGAGTAGGAGACAGTGCGGGAAGTGATGGGGGCAAGAGTATCGAGTGTGGAGGAGAGGATATTGTGGAGGAGGGAGAGAGGAGAAGAGGGGTCGGTGAGGGTTGAAGGCCAGAGGGAGAGGAGTTCAGAGGACTCCAAGGCATCGGTTAGGGATTGTGGGGGTAACTTCTTCCAAGGGCGGTAGAAGATGGTGGTGGGTCTGGTGGAGGTGGGGAGGGGGGTGGAGGTGGTGAAGGAGATGAAGTAGTGGTCAGAGATGGCCTTGTCGGTAATAGTGACATCCGAGACACTGAGGCCCCGGGTGATCACCAAATCGAGTGGGTGGCCGTGACTGTGAGTGGGGGAGTTTATGTGTAGGGAAAGGTTGAGTGAGGAGAGCAGGGAAGAGAAGTCTGTGGAGATGGAGCAGGAGGGGGTGAAGTGTAGGTTAAAGTCGCCCAGGATGATGAGGCGATCAGAGGAGAGGCAAAGAGATGTGAGGAGTGTTGAAATGTCAGAGATGAAGGTGGGAGAGGTTTTAGGGGGCCGGTAGAGGAGGAGGATTTTAAGGGAGAGGAATGAGGGGTGGGAGAGGGTGAGGTGCTCGAAGGAGGGGAAAGAGCCAGAGGAGTAGGGGGATAGGGCAAGTGGTGTCCTTGAGATAAGGGCAACACCACCGCCACGGCGGTTGGGGCGGGGGATGTGGTGGGAGGTGTAGCCGGGTGGCGTGGCCTCCGTGAGGGGGAAGGTGTCGCCTGGGGTGAGCCACGTTTCTGTCAAGGCCATGATATCAACGTTCTCATCAAGGATGAGATCGTTGATGACCAGGGCCTTGTTGCAGAGGGAGCGGACATTTTGCAGTCCGATGTGGAGGGAGCGGTTGACAGAAGGGTGTGTGGGAGGGGAGGGGGGTCCAGGTTGTGAGGCAGGGGTGGGGGAGATGGGGATGAGGGAGGAGAGGTTGACTCCCCGGGTCTGTGTCCGGGGTGGCTGGCGAGTGTGGTGGGGAATGGGGCAGTCGGTGTGGCTGCTGCTGGACAGCCAACGCCGAGTGCCGCGGTGAGCCCGGCGGAGGATTCCCAGACTGGAACAGAGGGAGGTTGTGGGAGGGTCAAGTGGGGATAGAAGACGAGAGGGACGGAGAGAGAGGAGGAGAGAGCGGGAGAGATGGAGAGGGGGGAGGGTTTGGGGGGAGAGAGGAGGGGGGAGGGAGGGAGGGGGTGAGGGGGCTCGGGTCAAAGCGGCAGCCATAGTGCGCACGCGGGGACCGGGAGCGAGCGGTCAGGTGGATGGCATTATCCCGCAGATTGGGGCATCGAACCCAACAGGACCATAGTGGGCTCTGATGTGAGCCCTGGGGGGGGGGGGGGCGGAGGGTTTTTTTTTTTTTTGTTTTTTTTTGTGCGCGCGCACTCACCTGAAAACTAATCTATGACGTCGCAGTTCCCCGCTCCGTCCCCTCCCCTGCCTAGCTGCACTCGCTCCGGCGTCGAGTTTAAGTACCTGGGTCAGTAGGCCCAGGCTCCTCCCCGCGCTGTCCTGCTGCCGCTCCCCGACTGGCTGCACTCGCTCCGGCGTCGAGTTTAAGTACCTGGGTCAGTAGGCCCAGGCTCCTCCCCGCGCTCTCCTGCTGCCGCTCCCCGACTGGCTGCACTCGCTCCGGCGTCGAGTTTAAGTACCTGGGTCAGTAGGCCCAGGCTCCTCCCCGCGCTCTCCTGCTGCCGCTCCCCGACTGGCTGCACTCGCTCCGGCGTCGAGTTTAAGTACCTGGGTCAGTAGGCCCAGGCTCCTCCCCGCGCTCTCCTGCTGCCGCTCCCCGACTGGCTGCACTCGCTCCGGCGTCGAGTTTAAGTACCTGGGTCAGTAGGCCCAGGCTCCTCCCCGCGCTCTCCTGCTGCCGCTCCCCGACTGGCTGCACTCGCTCCGGCGTCGAGTTTAAGTACCTGGGTCAGTAGGCCCAGGCTCCTCCCCTCCCCAATAATAATGTTTGCATTTGATATAGCGCCTTATCACGTCGGTGAGACATCTCAAAGAGCTTCACAGAATCTACTGTAAAGTGAATTGACGGTGTGTTTTGTGGGCAAATCGCGGCCGGCAACTGTCGCGGATTGAGTGACCAAATGAATTAACTTTTTAATGCATTAAAATTAGTTAATTCAGGAGTTAACTTTTTCTAAGACGGAGAGGAATTTCTGAAAGACATACACAAAACGCCAATCAGCAGGAAGACAAAGGCGGCAGCCAGCAAACACGCATCCTGTTTGCAGAAAGCGAGAACCCTCCACACCACGTATACTGCAGAGACTTTAATGCCGGTGTTTCCTTGCTCCTCACTGTCCAACAGACTCCGCTCTTCATCGCTCCTCCCGCTGCTCTCTGAACGCACGACAGCGCTTGCCGGCTTCACACACGACAACTTCAAAGCAATGAAGGTGGCCAGAGAGGAGAGGTAAGTCCAGGCTAACAGGCTCCAGAACCAGGGGTCGTGGGGGAAGGCGCTGGTGTCCGAGTACAGCAGCAGTTTGACGGTGGCGTAGAGCGGCACGAGCCCGAACAGCAGCCGCAGCCAGCCGGCCCAGCGCCCCAGCCGCCCGGGGCCCTGGGCTGGGTTCAGGCACACGCCCAGGCCGGCACCGCTCAGCAGACAGAGCCGCAGCACACAGGCCGCCCACAGGTCCAGGAAGCTGCGGGACACGGAGAAGCGGCGCAGGTCGGCGGAGAAACGCTGGTACTCGGTGCCGTGGATATACAGGACTGTAGTGACCGACACGTCCAGAGCCGCTCCCAGCAGTGAGCAGACCCCAGCCTGCCAGCCCCGCATCCTACCGCTAACTGCAAACAATATAACTAACTAAGGACGACTAGATAACTGTGATCACTGGCTGATGGTCAGTCTAGCTCGTATCTTCTCTTCCTTCAGCATCTTTGGGACGTCCGTCTGTCCGATATTAACGATATTATACTGTACAAATGTGACTTGTTGTAGTTGTTTTTGTTTCAGATGTGCAACGACTGGAGTTATCTGGAGAGGTGCAGTGCAGCCAGACAGCAGGCTGGAGGGCCAGTCAGCACTGAAATACAAGAAGCAGAGGATGTGGGTATGGTTCCTACTCATTCACGTATACTTGCACTGCAGTTCTAACTAATGTAGAGGAAAAAAAAAACCTCTCTCTTTTGATACTCCTCGAGTTTCCACAGTACAGCGTCTTATCACATCGTCGACACGTCGCTCATAAAGCGCTTCGCAGGATTCATTGTAAAGTGGAGTGACTGTGTGTTTTGGGGGCGAAACTTTTCTGCAATCGGAGGAACTGGGCAGAGGAAAGTTACAATCTAACTGAAGCCTAAAATTCTAAGCGGTCTCTCTTTCTCTATCACTCTCTCAGTCTTTCTCTCAATCTCTCTCACACAATCTCTCTCTCTCTCTCTCTGTCTCTATACCTGTCTGCGTGTGCCTCTCTCTCACTCAGTCATTTTCAGTCTCTCACACTCTTTCTTTCTCTTGCTCTCTCATTCTCAGTCTCTCTCTATCCCAGTTTCTCTGTGTGTCTTTCTCTCTCTCTCTCTCCGTCTCACACTCCATCTCTCTCTCAGTCTCTCTCTCGTCAGTTTGGACTAAACCTGCGACAAAACACACCAGATGTTAAAGTTACACCAATAAATTGAGTGGCTGAAAAAGTGAACTTATTCAAAATTATCTGCATCAAATTTGTGAACTTTTTAATTCCCTGTAAAATAAAATATATTGTTTTGAAAAGAAAAAAATTCAAATATAGATGAGTGGGTGGCAATTTTTTTTGAGGGGTGGGGTTAAGAAAACATTACTACTCACAAAAAATGATGCTGTCATAAATCCCTTCAGCTGGAGAGGAGAGTGAGTGAGTGAGTCTCTCCACAACCTGCCATCACCATCGTCAGCACCACAAGTGTTTTACCTGGTTTCTCCCGGGAGAGGCTGCTGATGTGGGGCCAGACAGTGCTGCTAACCCTGTGCCTGACCTGCGTGCTGTGTAGGCGACAGCATGAGAGCCAGGGCTCGGGGTGTGCACCCGCCTCCTGGAAGAGCAACACATCACATCACACATCAAACCACATCTCAACACCCGGCTCCCGCAATAGCTTTCTTTAATGTCGTTAATTTAATTGAATTAAAAAAAATATTGCCATAACTTGGAATACAAAACAGATCCACTCTCACCTTATAAGCGCTTTGAGACGTCTCGAAGATGTGATAAGGCGCTAATATCAAAGATTGTTGTCATTGTTATAAACAGATTCACTCGGAAGTGGTTCGCCGCGGTTGTAAAGTTTGAGAGAGACTATTGCTTGGGAGCGGCCAAAAGAGTCTGTCTGTGTACTGTACACTCCAGGGAAAGTTAAATAACAATCTACTGCATTTAATTTAATTTCATTTATTGAACACTCCAATGGATCTTAACACTGAGTGCATAACGCAGTGTAAACAGAACCCAACAATCATTTGAGAAAAAAATAAAGAACAGGGTAGGTATAGAAAGAGAGAGAGAGAGAGAGAGAGAGAGAGAGAGAGAGAAAGAAAGAGCAGGGAATGAGTTTAAGAGTAGAGAGCTCCAGAGGGGGAAGCGAGAACCAATACAGACACGGTGGGGAGAGAGGGCAAGGCAATGGGATTTGAGTAGAGAGCGAGGGAGCAAGCAACAGGAACACGCTTGTTGGAAAACCTTATGACACCTTATGACATATCATATTAATATGTAAACAGTGTAAATTGCTGTTGAGATAGCCTTTCGGCCACAAAATACAGTCAATTCACTTTACAGTACATTTTGTGAAGCGCTTTGCGACGTCTCGAAGACGTGTTAAGGCGCTGTATAAAATGCAAGGATTATTATTATTATTATTATCATCATATATAGCATCTGGGTGAGGGACGCTATATATAATTGTAAGTTGGTGTTGCTGTTGTAGCTGCAGTTGGCCAGCGAGGGAGTGAGCCCCCCAGCCTCTCGTGATGATCAGTCGATGCCGATTCCCAGATCCTCGCTGGCCCCAGAGCTGCGAGCCGCTCTCTCGCTCGCGATCCTGTGGAGGTGCTCCGCCAGAGGTCTCTTCCCCCCCGACTTGATGTCTAACAGCTGTCGGTGCACAAGCCTGGCGTAGAGACCCTCCCTCCTCATCAGCTCCTCGTGTTTGCCCTCCTCCACCACTGTCCCGTCCTGCAGCACGATGATCTTGTCTGCGTTCTTCACAGTGCTGAGCCGATGGGCCACAATCAGCACAGTGCAGTTCTCCTTTATGCTGCAGAGAGCTTGCTGGATCTACAACAGGGAGCAAAAACGACCGAATACAGCCTCAGCCACGTTTTAGGTCAGCACAATCTACCCAAGATGCCCACAAAATACACAGTCACTCCTCTTTACAGCATATCCTGTGAAGCGCTTTGAGAACGTCTCAATGACATGGGTAGGGCACTTTTTCTCAAATTTCCAGCATTAAGCTAAAACGGTGTGAAATACTGACCACGTGAAAGTCAGCACAAACATTACAGACTTTGGAATAAAATAATAATCCCGGAATTTGACGCGGTGCCCATCACGTCAAAGCACCTCGAAGCCCTTCATTTGATGGAGAACTTGGGAGAATTGGAACCATAGCAGGCCCAGGGACAGATATAGAGAGTAGTAATCGGGCCTGTCCAGTTCGCTCTGTCTGATCCCGGTCTCCCACTCGCTTTCCCCCTAACCTTCGATAAACTTCCTCTTCAAACAGCTTCAAACATGACCCACCCACCCGTCCCGAAGGCTGATGGTCACTCACTCACCTTGTGGTCACTCTCAGCATCCAGTGCGCTCGTGGCTTCGTCCAGCAGCAGGATTCGGGGGCTACGGACCAGGGCCCGGGCAATGGCCACTCGCTGCTTCTGCCCCCCCGACAGCTGCGCCCCCTTCTCTCCCGTCTCTGATCGGGAACACAGAAACGCTTGGAATAAAAGGTGTCATTGTTTCTCTGGGTCCACGGCAAATTAAGCGGGAGCACGGTGTGTCGCAGCTTATTTAGGAAGGATATCCGGAGGCACTGGGAGAGGGGGGTAGTGGGTGTGGGAGGGGATGTGGGCTGCAGAGTTTGGGGTGAGGAAGTTGGGTGTAGGTTGTTGAGGGGAGTGATGATGAGGGAATCTGGTCTAGAGGAGAACTCGGCTGGAGATGCTGTTACCTGTGCCGTAACCGTCCGTCAGTTCTGTGATGAAGCCGTGTGCGTTGGCGGTCTTTGCCGCCCACACCATCATGTCCACGGGGCAGTCTGCCAGGCCGTACGCGATGTTCTCGTGTATCGGACGGGCAAACAGGACGGGCTCCTGGCCCACCAGAGTCACCTGTAAACAGAGCTGAGCATCAGCACGGAAAACACGGCAATAAACCATTCCCTGTGGGAGAACATGGGGATAGAGGAGGCCATTCAGATGGGTTTGACCCGCAAACACACACACATACACGCACACTCGCACAACCAGAATGAAAGATTTACGGCCCCTTCGCCAACCCTCCCCCCACCCCCGGGAATAATCCAACGTTTGGAAAACAGAGGAATATTAAAGGACATGGTGGTGGTGGTTCACAGCTCATGCATACAACAACAAGATTACATTTGTATAGCGCCTTTCACGTCGGGAGGAAGTCCCAAGGCGCTGGACAGTGTACAGCATTTCATACCCGAGCTGGGGTCAGAAGGGGAGAAGGGAGGGGAGGGGAAGGGGGTGGCCTATGGCATGGTCGAAGAAGAGGGTCTTGAGGCGGGACATGAAGGAGGCTAAAGAGGGGGCGAGGCGGAGTGACTGGGGGATGGAATTCTAGAGGTTGGGGGTAGAGTGGCTGAAGGCTCTCCTGCCAATGGTGGGGCGGGTGGGTCGGGGAACGTGGAGCAGGCCAGAGCCGGCTGAGCGGAGGAAGTGGGCGGGTTGGTAGGGGGTTTGGAGGTCCCAGAGGTAGAGTGGGGCGAGGCCATAGAGGGCTTTGTAGGTGAGGACCAGGATCTTGAACTGGATCCTCTGAAGGATAGGCAGCCAATGGAGTCGGGTGAGAATGGGGGAGATGGGGTCACGGAGTTTGGTGCGGGAGAGGACACGGGCTGCAGAGTTCTGGATTATCTGCAGTTTGTGGAGGGAGGAGTTGGGAAGGCCAACAAGTAGGGCGTTTGCATAGAAGTAGGGCGTTTGCCTGGAAGTAATGAAGGCATGAACAAGAGTTTCAGTGGCCTGAGGGGTGAGGTAGTGGTGGAGTCGGGCGATGTTACGGAGGTGAGGGAAGGCAGAGAGGGTCATGGCTTGGATGTGGGGAAAAGACAATTGAGGGTCGAACAAGACACCAAGGTTCCTGACTGGCTTGGTGAGTTGTAGTGAGCAACCATGGAGGTTGATGCTGCCAGAGTCGGAGGTGCAGAGGCGCTGGCGCGAGCCAATCAGGAAGACCTCAGTCTTATTCAGGTCAGTGGGAGTAGCCCTGAGCGCCAGCTCTCTGTGTGTCTGGCGTGTATCTGGCATGTGCCTGGCGTGTGGTTGCCATACCTGGGAGTGCAGGTACTGGGACTGGTATTTGGGGAGGGGGAGGCCGTCCAGCAGCACCTCCCCGGCCTGCGGGCTGTAGAAACGTTCCATCAGATGCACACACGAGCTCTTGCCACTGCCCGAGGGGCCGACCAGTGCCGTCACCTCCCCAGGGCTAAGCGTGAAGCACACGTCCTGCAACACAATGACCGTGCGGCCGGTTACACAGCGGAGCCCAGCGGACACAATCTCTCCCCTTTAACTAGCAGTAAGCAGGAACCCAGTTGTTAGTCGACTGGCGGATCGTTTTTCCAGGGGTAATAATCCCTCCAAAAAAAAAGTTTGATCACCCAATTCACGACTGTTTGTGGGACGCCGCTGTGCGGAATTGGCTCCCGCATTTCGCCCATAAAATGCAGTCAATTCACTTTACAGTAGCGCTTTGAGACGTCTCCAAGACATGTTACGGCGCTATGTCAAATGTGAGGGTTATTATTATTACACCTGTGGATAGAGCTCACCTTGAGGACCTGTGTGTGGGGCCGGGTGGGGTAGGCGAAGGAGACATTACTGAAGGTAATCTCTCCCTTCAGCATGTCTGGGGCCAGCGTTCCCTCATTCAGCGTTCCACACGACTCCTGATCCATGTACTGGAAGATTTTCTCAGCAGCTCCGGTCCCTTGCATCAAGCCAGTGTAGACAGTGCCCAGGTTCTGAAAGCAGAGAGTCAGTAGGCCTCGCCCGCTGCTGTAATATTGTGCAGACCCGCAGTGTAGTGGTTAGCACTCTCGCCTCGCAAAGAGAGGACCCAGGTCCAATTCCCGGGCGGGGACCAACCTTAGACAAGTTTCCTTACTCCGCACACGTGCCTCTGTTTACCTAGCAGTAAGCAGGAACCAGGTTGTTAGTCGATTAGCGGATCGGTTTCCGGGGTTAATAATCCCTCAAAAAAAAGTCACTCAATCCACGACTGTTTGTGGGATGCAGCTGCGTGCAATTGGCTGCTATGTTTTGCCTACCAAAATACAAAGTCAATTCACTTTACAGTGTATCCTGTGAAGCGCATTGAGATGTTTCAACGACCGGATGAGCTGTATCAAATGCACAAATTATTATTATTATACTATGGAGTCCTGTAACGTAGCAGTTAGCACGCTCGCCTACCAAGCCAGAGAACCCGATCCACCTACCTCCAAGCAATCGCCCAACTGCAGCTCATAGATGATGAAGGAGATGAGGTTGCCGGGAGTCATGTGTTTGGCTAAGACCAGGAAACCGCCATAATACAGGATGCAGATCTGGACGCTGATCTGGACCAACTGAGGGCACAGTTACTTTTTGTTATTGGCTCAGTCGTGCATACCCGCCCTTGCCTCGCAGTCAGGAGGGTGTGAGTTCGAGCCCCATGTCGGGACTTTGAGGTCACTGTCTGAAGGCTGACGCTCAGGTGTGATGCTCATGGGGATGGAAGAGGGGAGGGAGGTGGGGAGGACGGGAGGGCAGGAGGAGGGGAGGGAGGGCGGGGGGAAAGGGCTGCAGTTTATCAGTCGGAGGCGTCATCCTTCAGGCAAAACGTTAAACTGAGGCCTAGTCTATGCCTATGCTTGTTCTGGTGGACGTTAAAAATCACTCCCTCCCTCGCTCCCTCCCTCCGTCGCTCCCTCCCTCCCTCCATCGCTCACTCACACGGCCAGACCAGGTGAAGAAGGAGAAGGCCATGGCCTCCTTCCTGTTCAGGGTGTACACGTCCTGCATCCTGCGGCAGTATTCCCGGCACTCGGTCTCCTCGGTCCCGAAGCTCCGCACCGTCTTCATGGAGGAGATGGTCTCCTCAGCCAGGTTGTTGGCTTTGGCCAGGACGTCCTGCACCTGTGCCGCCAGGTTCTGCAAGAGGTAACGATGGCGGTGAGGCAGCCACGGGGGGTGGGGGGGAGGGGGCGGGAGGCGGGACACAGACATTTCTCATCAGACGGCGGCCACAGGAATCCCAATAGAATGTACCCTGTGAAACGCTTTTGAGACGTCTCAAACTAGGTGATAAGGCGCTAATGACGTACCTTGCAATACTTGCCATAGATTTCGGAGGACAGGATCATGATGGGAAATCCCATGAAGGTGACGAGAGAGAGCTGCCAGGACAGAACCACCATGAAAACACAGACGCCCAGCCCCCTGACCACGCTCTGCAGGAACAGGCTGCCGTTGTGTGACAGCATGTCGCTCACCACCGTGGTGTCAGACGTCAGCCGAGACGTGATGTCGCCTGTAACATTAACCAGCCAGTGATCAGAGCCAGCAACACAGGCCCCGTGCAAATACGACTCCCTACGCCCCCCCCACCGCCCCCCCCCCAACACATACACTCTCCCCTCCCTACACACTCTCTCCCCATACCCCACCCCCCCATACACATGCCCCCCCCACACCTCCTACACACACTCCACCCCTCCCTGCACACACATACCCCACACACACCCCACCACACACTTCCCCCCTCACATGCACATGGTCCATCCCCCCCCCACCCCTACACGCACACACACACACACACACACTTGCCCCTCTTGGTTTTGAAAGGGAATGGGATACAGTGTCGAGGAGGGTGCGTGTGCGCGAGTATTTTATTTTACTGTTGGAGACCCCACCTCTCTCTCTCTCACACCTGTGTGATTGGCATCGAAGAAGGCGATGTCTTGCTGCAGCAGAGACCTGAAGAGCATGTTGCGGATTCGGATGTTGATTCGGGCGAAGACGAGGGTGAAGATACCGCTCGAACCCCTGAGGATAAAGCACTGTCACATGCGTGAAGGTCAGCCGGGCAACGGCACAACAAATACGCACTGTCCGTCCGTCCATCTGGGCAGGGGCTGGGGACAGGGCCTGAGCTAGGCCGGCTAATATAACAGCACAGTCTGTATGCGATCCTTTCTACGATGCTGCAAAGCCAGTCAGTGCCGTGTGAAATGGGAGGGTTACATTCCTAATTGGGCCTTCAGCCTCTCTGCATCCCCCCACCCCTGGCAGCTCCAACCCGGAGCCCTCCACCTCGCCCCCTAACCCCACCCCCCCACCCTCCTCCCAACTCCCTTGCCTCCACCGAGCCCCATGTCGCACAGTAACTTTATCTTTCAGCACTTACCATACGAAGGTGAGGACTCCCATTTTGATTAAACTTGCCGTGAAGGTCTTCATGTTCTTGTGAATTGCGATGCCGTCGATGGCTTGGCCCATGAAAAGGGGCACAAAGGTATCTCCTGCGGGCAAGAGCGGCAACAGTAACTAATGTAGTTTTACGTGTGGAAACCATCACCATGCTTAAGAGTATCCAAATCAAGCTGAAGTTTGCACGCATCCCACCTACACACACAAATCCCAGAGAAAAACTGTTGGAATGGAATGTGCACTCTTTCCCCGTGGGGGATGTATCCTGCTTACCTAATTGCGGAGAGTATTAGGCACGGGACGGCATTAGCCAAGGCTTTGGGGACTTTAACTACACACTGGCAAGTACCATTTCCAAGTTTGGGGACGACACAAAGTTAGGGAGGGTAGCAAACAGTGAGAAGGATAGCAGCCGACTGCAGGAAGACATAGACAGAATGGTAAAATGGGCAGACACATGGCAGATGAGTTTCAATATAGAGAAATGCGAGGTAAGGCATTTTGGTAGAAAGAATGAGGGGAGGCAATATAGGCTGGTAATACAATCTTAAGGGGGGTAAAAGAACAGAGAGACCTGGGGGTGCAGGTAAATGAATCCTTGAAGGTGGCAGGACAGGTATATAGGGCTGTAAAAAGGGCATATGGAATACTAGGCTTCATAAATAGAGGCATAGAGTACAAGAGTCAGGAGGTTATGATTAACCCATATAAAATGCTGGTTAAGCCTCAGTTAGAATACTGCGCCCAGTTCTGGGCACCACACTATAGGAAGGATGTTAAGGCATTGGAAAGGGTGCAGAGGGGATTTACGAGGATGGTACCAGGAATGAGGGACCTTGATGATGAGGAAAGGCTGGAGAGGTGAGGATTATTTTCATTGGAGCAGAGGTTACAAGGACCTAATAGAGGTCTTCAAAATCATGAGGGGATTTGATAGGTTAGAAAGGGAAAGACTTCCCACTGGTGGGTGTGTCGGTGACTCGAGGTCACAGATTAAAAATAGTATCTAAAAGAAGCAGAAGTGAGGGGTGAGGACATTTTTTCACACAGCGAGTTGTTCGAATCTGGAACGCATCGCCTGAAAGGGCAGTCGAGGCCGATTCGATAACTACTTTTAAGAATGCGGTGGACGGGTATTTGAGGAGGACGGGTTTGCAGGGTTATGGGGAAACTGCCGGGGAGTGGGATTGACATTAATTGCTCTATTTAAAGAGCCCGCACAAACTCGATGGGCCAAATGGCCTCTTTTTGTGCTGTATGATATTTTCGACAAAAAAAAATCTCGGGAGTTTAGATGATTTGTGACCCGACTACGTCAAAACAGTTTGTTTTGGGCCTCAATTCCACTACGTGAGATTAATAACTTTTCTCTTCAACTAAACTTTTAAACTAAACTTTCCTCCACCAAAAAAAATGTGGTCACTCACTCCACGAATGTTTATGGGGAAGTTGCTGTGTGTGAATCGGCTGCTGAGTTTCAACAACAACAACAACAAGATTCCATTTATTGAGCGCCTTTCACGTCGGGAGGACGTCCCAAGGCGCTGTACAGTTGGGTCAGGACCCGAGCATTGGGGGGGAAATGGTCAGGGTGAGGGGAGGGAAGGGAGGGAGCGAGGAGGGGGTAGAGAGTCGAGAGGGGAGCTGAAGGTACGGTCAAAGAGAAAGGTCTTGAAACCGGCCTTGAAGGAGGAAAGGGAGGAAGCGGCGAAGGCACTGGGGGATGGGGTTCCAGAGCCTCGGGGCTGAGAGGCTGAAGGCCCGACCACCGATGGTAGGGCGGTTGGGGCGGGGGATGTGGAGCAGACCGGAGCCAGAGGAACGGAGGGTACGGGCAGGTAGGTAGGTAGGAAGTTTCATTAATTTCGCTCACAGAATACGCAATCACTACATGTTACAGCATATATATATATATATATATGCCATGATATATATGGAGTCCTGTAGCTCAGTGGTTAGAGCACTTGCCTCACAAGCAAGAGACCTGGTTCGATTCCCAGCAGGGCGAAAGTTGAGCAAGTTTCCTTACTCCACACGCCTGTTCACCTAGCCGTAAGTAGAATCCCGATTGTAAGTCGATTGGCGGATCGCTTTTCCGGGGATATTAATCCTTAAAAAAAATAATAATTTGGTCACTTCAATCCACGACTGTTTGTGGGACCTGCTGTGCGCAATTGGCTGCCGTGTTTCGCCCTAAACTAAGTACGTCTCGATGACGTGATAAGGCGCTGTATCAAATGCAAGTATTATTCTTATTAATGAATTAATTAAAAATGCAAGTATTATACTTATTAATTATCGTAATAAAAACAACAAGGTGGGAGGTGAAGAGGGGGTCAATCATTTCTGAAGCAATTTTGAGACGTATCGATGACGTGGTAAGACGTTATATCAAATGCAAGTATTATTATTACTGTATTATAATATAAATAACAATGGGAAAGACAGGGATACATACCCAGCTCAGCTAATAATAGAAAGACCGCACCGGCTGTCAGTAACCTTGCCTCCTTCCAGCACAAGCTGATAAGCCTCCGCCCGGCTCCCGGTTTCTCAGGCCGCCTCTCCTCCTCCGGTTCGTCAGTGAGTAAATTACAGCCTTCCTCAGCCCCAGCCCCAGCCCCAGCCCGCTGCCCCGCACAGGAGAGCAGGTGGCAGAGAGCGCCTGTGGCCAGTGAGCAGAAGTAAGTCCAGGCTAACAGGCTCCAGAACCAGAGGTCGTGGGGGAAGGCGCTGGTGTCCGAGTACAGCAGCAGTTTGACGGTGGCGTAGAGCGGCACGAGCCCGAACAGCAGCCGCAGCCAGCCGGCCCAGCGCCCCAGCCGCCCGGGGCCCTGGGCTGGGTTCAGGCACACGCCCAGGCCGGCACCGCTCAGCAGGCAGAGCCGCAGCACACAGGCCGCCCACAGGTCCAGGAAGCTGCGGGACATGGAGAAGCGGCGCAGGTCGGCGGAGAAACGCTGGTACTCGGTGCCGTGGATATACAGGACTGTAGTGACCGACACGTCCAGAGCCGCTCCCAGCAGTGAGCAGACCCCAGCCTGCCAGCCCCGCATCCTACCGCTAACTGCAAACAATATAACTAACTAAGGACGACTAGATAACTGTGATCACTGGCTGATGGTCAGCCTAACTGCATTGCTGGCTGCAACACAGCTAACTAAATAATAATAATAATAATAACTAACTGTAATCACTCAAGCTGATGGGAGTCAGCCCAGGCTCTCGTTCTGGGCAACACAGGCTGTAACCACACACACTTCCCCCGGGGCTGAGCTAGGCTGTGCTGACACTCACCGAGAACTGACTGAGCACACAGAGAGACTTCATTCCCTTGTACCACAACGCTTCCGCAAGGAGCAGAGAGCCAACCACACTGGGTTCCCGCACACTGACCTGCTACGCTAACCTTCCAACACAAGACTGATCTCCTTTCACTCCCTCGTTCCCGCCCGGGACTGCTGCTGTAGCAATCCTTCCCCTTTCAGACTAAACTCTGATCTGAAGCAACCCAGAACAGCACAAAGCCACACACACAGGCTGGTTCCTGTTACAAGGAGAGGCAGCACCTCACTGCCTGACAGACTAGACTGGCTGCTGCTAGCCTCCAGCTCGGAGCCCAGCGCCACCAATCCCCCTCGTGCAGGTGATCAGTCAGTCAGCGCAGCCAAACCAAGCTCCCAGCCCAGGCCTTTGTTTTTCCGGTGGGAGTGAAGCTTGGATGCACATAGCGCTTGGGAAGGAGGAAGATACATGTCAAGCCACATACGCAACAGGAGGCAGTGAGGAAATGGTGCAGAAATCACAGGTTTGCTAATTTCTAGGCAGAAGTGAAATAGAAACCACAAACCTGGATGGCCAATGCTAGATTTAGCCGGTGGAATATCAGGGGCTACCGTAGACAGATGGCAAAAGACAAGGCCAGACAAGCAAGGCGTCTGGGATCGAATTGTTAAATCAGTTGAGTTCAGATGCCCGGGAACATAGGGACATGAGTAGGCCATTCAGCCCCTCGAGCATGTACTGCCATGCTATTAGATCACGGCTGATCTGTTACTCAAGTTCAATTACATTGTCAGGGCTGATTCCAGGGTTAGGAACAACAACAACAACTTGGATTTATATAGCGTCCTCCACGCCGGACAGCGTCTCAGAGCACTTCACAGTAATGGATCCCGGGTCCGAGCCGGGGGAGGGGAAGGAAGATGACCAAAGGCGCAGTCGAAATGAAAGGTCTTCAGCAGAGACCTGAAAATAGGAAGGGAGTGAGGAAGGCAGTTCCAGAGCCTTGGGGCATAGTGGCTGAAGGCCACTATGAAGGAAGATGAAGAGATGAGGAAGGCCTGGAAACTGGAGCCCTTTCACACACAGAGATGTAACAGGCAGCGTTATGGCAGGGAAACAGGTCGAGATCTAACAAAGTGAAGCCAGAACAACACCGAGTCCCACCAGGGCGGAGCTGAAGAGGACAAGGTCAGGACTGATACCAGCAAAATGTTTATTTACACAGAAAGTAATCAAGAACTGGAACCAGCTATCAGGCAATCAATCTGCAGGCAGCCAGGACATTGTGATCTAAGCACTCTGAGACATCACCAGTCCGATGTGGAGGACGCCATATAAATCCAAGTTGTTATTGACTTGAAGTGTAACCGTTTGGTGTAGAATGACTCACACACACGATGTGGCGATTTGCTTACAGCTACAGCAGCTCAATAGTGATTCTCCGTTCAGTGACCGCTCCACACCACCCACACCTTACACACACAGCACCTTAATTCCCAGATACAATTAAAGTGTTCTTTTAATAAAGTAACAAGGTGCCACACACTTCTGACTGCTAGTCACAGACTCGGTTCCTCTGAAGCCTCTGCACAGGAGCTGAGAATAGAGATAAAACCATTTGACTCAGCTTTGCTAATCAAATAGCGACGTCACAAAAGAAAGGAGAGAGCAGACAGAGACACACTAACTGTTCTTGTGGTCGATTACGTAAACACAAGCGTCACACAGTTTCCATCACCGCTGGCAGATACCAGTCCTGTTCTTGTTGTTTACGACACAGAGACCTGAAAACGTACCTTCCCCACCCCAGGGCCCTGTGAAGGTATGGAACACACCGGCAGGATCAGGGAGGATATTTAAATGGACCGACATGTGCGAAGTATGGAGAAAAGATGGTGGGAGAAATGTGATTCAGATGAATGTCTTCCACCTGTTGGTACAGTGATATCCAATGATCCGATGACCTCCAGATGCTAAATTAACAGCAACATTCCCCAGAAAGGATCAGGCGGGATCCGCATCCGTCAGCGAGGGGGGGTGGTGGGGGGAGAGCGAGTGAGCACACGCAGGAAAACTACCGACCGACCGCAGCACGTGTTGGGAGTCTGTCTGTCCGTCCGTCGTCATTGTTTGTATTTGCTGCCTTCGGTTGCCGGAGTCTCCGGTGTTGACGGTGAGAGTGAGCGAGAGGCAGGAGCCGGCAGAGGAGATATACCATACCCACCTCCACCACCGCGATGTTCACTCCATTCAATGTCAGACCGTTCGTCAACTGACGTGGGTGCATGGATGGCTGGTAAAGGTCTTGCCGTCTGCGGTTGCCGTCTCTGGCGTCTGTTGAACAAAAAGGCTTCGGTTGAAACCCAACCGCCTCGGCCTCGGACTGGAGCAAACCGAGACCCAGTTTTCCTACTTTTCCGATCGGCGTTCCTGCCCGGCAGCGGTGTCTCCGAAAACAATTCCACGATCTTCCCCCCCCCCCAGCGAGAGGAGTGAGGGCCAGATACACTCACACACACACACACACACATACACCCCACGCCCTGGGGCTGCGGTAACCGGGATTCAGATGGTCACGTCAGCCAGGTTGTGCTCAGAGGATAAAGTGGTTTCGATCTGGAACGAGAGGAACTGGTTCTTCTTGTGCTTTTTGTCCGTGGCCCCGACAAAGACCCCGCTGCCGCCGTTAATGTCCGCTCCCTTCCGAGCTTTCCTCTTGGCGTTTTTCTTCTCACGCTTGTGAGCTGCGGCTAGGTTGGCAATCACCTGAACAAGGCGACAAACAAAGCCACAAATCAACCGGCCCCCAACTACCCTCCGTCTTGGTCCCCTAACAGCCACGGAGAAACCGGAGCGGCGACGGAGCCGCGACGAGCGCACGCAGGGCCTCCCACGGCAGACACCACTCTCTGACATGGTCCTTTGGAGAGATTCATCCCCGCTTTTACCCCGTGTGTTCTCCAGGCTCCGAACATAAGAGACCGCTATTCCCGCACTGTAACCGCACTGAAGCTGCTACTGGGCAAACGGGCCACTAAATGATGATAGCTTCAGTTGTGCTGTGTGACGGATGCATCGTGGCTAACGGCCACGGAATCGGGGAAAGAGGCAGGAACTTCTCCTCCCTCCTCCTCCTCCGATTCTCCTCGCCCACCACCACCACCCACTCCGCCTAGCATTTACAGTTTCTCACAGGGCAGGTCTCCTCAGACCACGTGTAAACAACAACAACAACTTGCATTCATATAGCACCCCTCATGCAGGGCAATGTCCCAGAATGCTTGACAGTGGCGGAGCACGGCGCAGAGTAAAGGCCGTTACTGCACCCACCCCCGGCCGCCCTGCGCTCACCATGTCCTTGACGGCGCTCTGTTGGTTGCTCACGGCGGCTGTGAACTCCTCCACGCTCTCCACTTTGACGCTGCAACTCTCCGGCAATCTGTACTCGTGTGAAATCTCGACATCTCCCTGAAAATATTAATAATAATAATAATTCTTGCATTTGATATCGCGCTTTTCACGTCTTCGAGACGTCTCAAAGCGCTTCACGGACTATGCCGTAAAGTGAATTGACTGTATGTTTTGTGGGCCAAACGCGGCAGCCAATTGCGCACAGCAGCGTCCCTCAAACAGTCGTGGATTGAAGTGACCAATTTTATTATTGCTTTTTTTTGAGGGATTATTATCAGGCGTGGAGTGGAGTGTGGAGTACGGAAACTTGCCCATGGTTTCGCCCTGCCGGGAATCGAACCCAGGTCTCTCACTTGTGAGACGAGTGCTCTAACCACTGAGCTACAGGACTCCACAGATAAAACAGGAGAAGAAACCGTCAGTGGGGACACTGTAGGCGGGAACACATGACTCCAGGATCAGAAGTCACCCCCTCCCATTCCTGTCTGGTACCCTCTTGAGGCCAAAATCCAGCAAACATCACGACCAGCGATGCTGTGCGTCGCCCAGAAACCTTTCCCTCGCGACCCACCTCCCGTGTGCGGCAAGACTCTGTTTGTAGGAGGTTACAGCAAAGGCGGAAATCACTCAGCCACCGTTTACCTGAGCTCTGCCTCTCACTCCGTTAAATAACTAAATACTCAATCCGCGACTGTATATGGGACGCTGCTGTGCTCAATTGGCTTCCGCGTTGCACCCACAAAACATTCACTTTACAGTATATGCTTTGGGATGTCTCAAAGCCGTGATAAGGCACTATATCAAATGCAAGGATTATTATGACAAGAACAGTTTACCGTTCAGTGTAAAATCCTCCGTTCCTACCTGAGACGACAGCCTGGCTTCTCGGTTGTAAAGCAGGAAGAAGGGGGTGAACTTGGTGGTCGAATTGACCGAGGTGCGGAACTCGAACAGGACAGGATCCAGACACTCGTCCCAGTCCAGCGGCTTCTCGCTCACCACGTTCCTGATAGCGGCCTTCAGCACTTCACTTGTCCTGTCGTCCAGGCCTGTGTGCTGCGGCCGCTCGGCCGGGGTTACTGCATGGTTTATGTTCCACTCATCAGCCAGGGCGCGACTCACCTACACAAGGCAGAGAGGGAGGTTAGGGCCCTGCAGTTTCAGACTCTGGAACTCTTTCCCTCCCCAATCCCTCTGCCTTGCCCCTCCTTCCCCATCTGCAGGTCGTGCCTGAACACCTTCCTCTTCGACCGTGCTTTCGGTCACGTTCCCCCTTCCCCCCAGTTCGGAACTGTGCTCCGCCACTGTCAAGCGCTCTCGGACACTACCCTGCGTGAGGGGAGCCATATAAATGCAAGCTGTTGTTGTAGCTTTCACCCAGCAAACACACACACACACACACATACACTCACACATGCTCTAACAGCCAGCAGCTAAAATTTAAAAAAAAAGCACTGCTTACCTCTTCGCAGAACACTCTGCCTTCACTGGAATAAATGTCTTTCGATGCCCCAAACCTGCCCAAACAAAGCAAATCAGTGAGGCTCACATCACAAGTGTTAACCTGACAGCAAAATCTGTAACCACACTGATCATCACCAACATAATCCAACGTTCCACCACTCGCTCCACTGACACAGCGCCTTTCATGTGGGAAGGACCTCCCAAGGCAATGTACGGCTGAGGGTTTGCTTTCTTTCTTTCTTTGTTAACAATTTTCTTTCCAATTATGAATACAGTTGGGGCCGGCAGCCTCTGTCAGTCAGCGTGCGTCAGTCCTCTAACGGGAGGGTATAATTCCACCCCTTCCGTTCGCTTCACCGCTGCCAGATGAAACCCTCCGCGCGAGACAGACTCGCTCACTCGCCTGTAGAAGGTGGCAGCCAATGCCTTGGCCACGCAGGAGGCCCTTTTCCTCTGAAGGGGAATGGCTTCCACCCACTTAGTGAAGTAGTCGGTGACCGCCAGCACATAGGTGTTAGCTTGGCTGCTCTCGGGGAAAGGACCTGGGGGTGTAGGGGGGCAGAGGGGAGAGGAAACAACAACAATAAATCTACAGCATCAGACTTTCCTCTTAAAAACTAAAGAACAAACCCCCCCACCCCCGCGACACCCACACACACACACACAAATCTTTATTACCGATCAGATCGATGCCCAGTATCTCCCACGGTCTGGTCACCTTTATGGGTCGGTATTTGCGAGACATGTTCTTGTACTGCTCGGCCCGCTGGCAGGTCTCACAAGTTTTAATCTACGACAAAACCACCAACAGATGACCTTAGTAACCACTTCCAAATAACTCGTAACAGTTTAGTAACGGTGATTTTCTTTTTACCAACATACCCCAGAGACTGGAAAAAGACACGGAGAAAACGTTTGTTTTGATATAACCTAAACGAAAAGGAAAGACAATTTGCCTTTGCGTGAGTAACGCTCTGAGCTTACCCAGTCCACCACGTCCTTGACTATCCCAAGCCAGTAATAGCGGCTTTGGATCCTGTGCACCGTCTTCTTCTGCCCCAGGTGGCAGCCCAGGTCGGAGAAGTGACATTCCAAGAAGATCTCCCGGCGCTTATCCCGATCTGCCACCACCTCTCGCTTCTCATCTTTTTTGGATCCCACGTAGTACAAACAGCCCCCTTAAAGCAACACACAAACACACACACAACACAGGGAGTCAGTCATGCAGCTTATAATCAACAAATCGTAGGATACGATTGTGGAGGTGCACAGCCTTTTTTTTTAAAAAATAGGATTGAAAATGTATAAACCCGAGAGGACAATAGTTTAGGATAATAATAATAATAATCCTTGCATCTGATATAGCGCTTTTCACGTCTTCTCGACATCTCAAAGCACTTCACAGAATAGACTGTAAAGTGAATTGACTGTATATTTGTGGGCAAAACCCTTAATAATAACGATAATAGTAATCCTTGCATTTGATTACAGCGCCTTATCACGTCTTTGAGACATCTCAAAGCGTTTCGCAGGATATACTGTAAAGTGTAGTGACTGTGTATTTTGTGGGGGGAACGCGGCTGCCAAATGCACACAGCAGCGTCCAGCAAAGAAGCGTGGATTGAGTGACCACGTTATTCTTATTTTTTTAAAAGGGATTATTACCCACGGAAAAGCGATCCTCCAATCGACTAACAACCGGGGCCAGGAGGTGTGGAGAGCAGGCAATGCCACTGATATCGTAGGAATCAAAGTTTTCCCCCTAACCTGTGCAACTATCCCCCTCTCTCTGACTGTCTTTAAATCCCTCCTTAAAACCTAACTCATCAACCGTGCTCGTCATTGCCTCCGTGGCTTGGTGTCTGACCTTGTGCTTGTGAAGAGCTGGTTTTGAACCCTGCAGTCGACCTATGCTTGATGTTGTTGAGGTGTTAACTCAGCAACATCAAGCATCGCTAACCACCACTGATTATTCCCCCAGTCCCGCTCCACACGTGGTTTATAAAAACACAGACACAAAGTTCATTCTTACCCGCAGTGTGATACATACGTCGCCTCCATCGATCACAGAAGTGGGTTTGTGGGGCTCATCATTCTACACTTTAAGAGAAACTCATACAAATGATAGCACGAGGAAGCCAGTCTGTGTGTGTGTCTGTCTGACTGTCTGTCATATTGAGTTCATGCTGATGCTCTCTCACACGCTGGAGCTCTCTAATCCTATTCCCTGCTATATTCCCTTGCATTGTTCCACATTCTTTTTCTTCAAATCCTCATCCAGTACTTGAAACACTCGTATTCAGTGCTAAATATTGTAAATGAATTAGTTCACCGCAGCTGCTAGACAATACACAACTGCACAAGAAACTGCTGGTGTTATTCACAAAAAGATTGAACAGGCAGCTGGGGAATTCTCAAGACATTTACTACAACAAACCCTGCTGATGATTCAGAGCAAAGTTACTTTATTTTGTACTGTAACGGGTCTGAACTAATCTAACATAGAAATTATCAGGAGAGGATGGTTGTTTGTAGCAAATAATCATTTTAAAACTATGTTTCACAAAACACCTTGGTTAACCCCACTGTCAGACATCAGATGTTAAAATAAAAAAAAAAATGTTTATTTGTAAAGAATTGATTGCACAGCGAAGAGGGCTGAAAGTCTGCAAATGAGACCTTTTCTGTGTACTTATTAGAGAAGGAGCAAGGACCCAGATTAAGATTCAGTCTAATTTTGAAAGTTTATTTCCACACGAGTTACTGGCTGAGTGGAACAGGAAAGGCACAAAGTTGTGACACCAGCGGGGCCTGTGGTGGGGAGGGAGGAGGGTCAACAGCAGCACAAATCTGTTGGGTGGAAACTGTCTGAAAATAAGAGCCCGTTTCAGTAAGTGCTGAGACCATCAGGAAGTGTGAGAACGTCATATGTCGGCTTATAGGTCCACCCAAAAGTGGCGTGAAATGTAAATGTGTGAACTTCGATAATCAGAGGCCTGGATGGAGATGAACTGACTCGGTGACTATCTTGGGGGAACCTAAGTTTATTCCGATTTTAAAGAACTTCCAAGAAATGGCGCCCAAAGTGAAGCGGCTGACACAGTGGTTGGGCAAACGACACGTCACAAGTGATTTTCGTCGAGGCAAAATGACTCAAGGTTGAACAAGTTTATCCTAGAGGAGCAAACCCACTCCCCGCACGGTAAGCGTAAAGGGATCTTCTGCCACTCCCGCAAAGGAGATGAAGGTAAGAAGCAATCAGTTGCCTAATCTCTCTGCCCCGAACGCGCAGGGCCACAGGAATATACTGGACCAAAAGGAGGCCATTCCACCCTTTTTTTTTAAATGTTCGTTTCTCCCAGAAACCATCCCGTCCTAATCCCAATTCCCTGCTACTTTCCGTCCTTTCTAATACCCTCCTCCCCCCCCCACGTACTGGTCCGATTCTTTTTCAAATCTCCCCAGTGGACGCTGCTCCAACAGCCTCCGCCTGCAAAACATTCCACGCGCTGGCAACCCTCCGAGAGAAGATCTTCTACCCAACCTCTCCTTTTACTCCCTCGGTCGCAGCCACAGTCTCCCATCCCCTCCTCTCTTCCACTTTTGGTCCTTTCCTCACAGCCTCTGTCAGCGCTCAAGCGTTCAGTCACTCTGCCCCCTGCTGTCTATGACCCTCTCCCAAATCATGTCCACGTCTCACTTCTCTCTCTCTCTCTCTCGCTCTGTTTCTGTAGCTCAAATCTCTACCGAGAGCACATCTCCTCGACAGTCGCCAGCGGGTCTCGTCCTTAAATCTCCCAGTTTGGTCGCTGCTCCCGGGCGACTGCGACAAGTGCTTTGAGACGTTCGTCTTGCGTGAGAATCAGGAAAATCAGCCTTTCTGCCCCCACTTTCGGAACTCCATCCCACAGCCCCTCCGCCCACCTCCCCCCCTCGCCTCCTTCGAGCTCCGCCTCCAATACCCTCCTCTTCGACCGCACCTTCGGTCGCCCTCCTACCCCCACCCTCCCCTCCCCGCCCTCCGCCGCTCCTGAAAGTTCACTTTTGGAGTCCTGTAGCTCAGTGGTTAGAGCACTCGCTTTGCAAGTGAGAGACCTGAGTTCAATTCCAGGCAGAGGGCGAAACCTTGGGCAAGTTTCCTTACTCCACATTCCTAATAATAATCCCTCCAAAAAACAATAATAAATTGGTCATTTTCAATCTACGACTGTTTGTGGGACATTGCTGTGCGCAATTGGCTGCCGCGTTCGCCCACAAATATACAGTCAATTCACTTTACCGTGTGTTCTGCGAAGCGCTTTGGGACGTCCTCCCGACGTGAAAAGCGCTTATATCAAACGCAAGGATTATTATTATTATTATTATTATTTTACGGTACGTATCCCGCGAAGCGCTTTGAGACGCCTCGAAGACGCGACAAGGCGCGGTATCAACCGCGAGGAATATCGGCCCCGACCAAGGGTCGCGGACCCGAAACGTTGACTCGCTTTCCTTTCTTTCTCCGCGGACGCTGCCTGACCCGCTGCGCGACGGTTCCCGGCGACTTCTGTTGTCGTTTGCAGAGCTCCGGCGTCCGCGGTGTTTCGCGTTTTGCAAGGATTCTCATTATCATTATTATTATTATTACTATTGATCCCCAACCCCCAGCGCGGGCCAACATCCTTGACCGTCCAGCGCCTTGGGATGTACCCCCCACCCCCCCCCCACCAACGCGAGAGGCGTAATTTGTGGCTGGAAGTGGCTTCGGACATCACCCTGTGGGAGGAGGGAGGGAGAAGGGAGAGAGAGAGAGAGGGAGAGAGAGGCGGGGGCTTCCTTGGGAGGAGGGAGCCCAGATCTGGGGGGGTGTTGGGGGGGTGTTGGGGTGGTGGTGGGGGAGAGTGGGCCAGCAGAGGCCGAGCTCAGGGGAATCAGGCCTCGGCTTGTCTTTGCCACATGTCTGCCCGACCCCGGGGGTTGGGGTGGGGTGGGGGCTGGTGGCTGGACCCTCACCGGCCGCTCGCGGGCCGCAGCCTGGCCCGCGGGCCGCCGCTCACCTTCCGCCACGAACTTCTGCGCGAATCGCTTGAGGTTCTTCTTCCGGGCGGGGCCGAAGGCGGCGGGGAAACCGCCCGTGGACAGGTAGAGGAAGATCTCCCGGAACTTGTTGCCGGCCTCGGCCATTCTGACGGCGGCGGCGGCGGCAGCGGCGGCGGGAGGAGGAGGAGGAGGAGGAGCCGCCGCCACCGCCATTTGTCCCGCCGGAAGTCACCCACCCGGAGCGGTTTTCCGGTAACACAGACTAAACCTCAGCCTCAGCTCCACACACACACAGACACCACCACCACCTGTTGTCATGGAAACCGGGCCCTGGCCTTGCTCCCCCCCCCCCACACACACACACACACAGGGGGGGGGGAGGGCTCAGCCTGGCTGCCCCCCACCCCCACCCACACCTCACCCCCACCCCCACCCGCTCCGAGCTCACGTGGTCCAGTGCGGAGCTGGTGGTGGGGCGGGTGTTTGTGTGTGGGTGGGGTGGGGGTCGGTGGGGGAGGGTGGGTGGGGGGGGTGGTTGGTGGTGGTGGGGGGGTCGCTCGGTGGAAAGCGCTGCATTGTTAGAGACGCCGTCCTTTGGATGAAACCGACTATCGTTCGCGCGGCGTCTCGGCAGCGCTCAACGGCGGCAGAGCCTGACACCGAGAGGGAGGGAGGGAGGGTGGGAGGGAGGTGACCATAAGCACAACTGAACCCCCCCCACCACCCCACCCATCCACCACGCTCCGCCCGTCCGCCCGTCTCGCGGCCCTGTACGGGAAGAGGAGGGAGTTTCTCTCTCTCTCTCTCGTTCTCTCTCTCGCTCTCTCTCCCCCCACCCCCCCCCCCCCCACCACTCCCCCAGTGTCCTGGCTAACAATCCTCCCACCCCCACCTTCATAAAACTACCTGTTCACTTCACGGGCCGTTCACAGGAACATAACGTGGTCCGTGCGCAAAACGAATTGCGTTCGCCCGCACAACACACACACACACACACACACACACAGTCACTACACGTCGAGACGGTTTGGTTCGATGGCAATAAGCCGCTGATAAAAACACCAGGATCTTTCTCACCCTGACACGAGGGGGGCAAAAAAAAAAAATAAAACCAAGAAGAGCGTTTGCAAAACGCGGAACCCCAAAAGTCGTCCGGTTGGGTCCTGTCGTTGACCTGGGTCTGAAATGTCATGGCGGGTCGTGAACTAACGTCGTAACGCAGGGCTAAACTAAGAACTGCTCGGACGTTTAGGCTTCGGGTACGGATTATAACTTTCTTCTCGTCAGCTCCTCGCAGATGGTCGAAGAGTTTCGCCCACAAAATGCACCAGTCAGTTCACTTGACGGCGTATCCCGTCGTGAAGCGCTTGGAGACGCCTCGAAGACGTGATCGGTCGCTGTGTCAAATGCAAACTTCATTCCCAAACGCAAACCACTGCCGAAATACTGGAAACCTGAGACAAAACCAGAAGTCGCAGGTAACCAACCCGCTGAGTGTTCCCAGCGACTTCTGTTTCTGTTGCAAGCTTTATTATTACTTATTATTATTATTATTATCCTGTGAGGCGCTTTGAGACGTCTCGAAGACGTGATAAGCGCCCGCGCCGGCGGCATTTCTTCTCGAAGAAGCCGGCACAGGACACACGATGGGTCGAATGGCCTCCTTCTGCGCTGTAATAATTCTAATGGTAAGCAGCCACAGCAAATGCAAGGGTGAGTTTTATTATTATTATTATTATTATTATTATTAGGGCCAGATTGGGGAGTGTGTGACCTGGGCACTCATTTCTCTCATGTGGAACAGAGAGAGAGAGAGAGAGAGACAACAAACAAACAACAAACACCTCAGAAACTCATCTAAAACTAATTATAAAATAAAACGCATATTTTGTTTTAATACAAAAGAGTAAAATGTCGTTGACAAACACACACACAAACCCCCTCTCATACACACACACCCTCTCACACACAACCCCCCCCCCACACACGCACCCTCACACACAGCCCCCCACACACACACCCTCACACACACACAAACCCCCTCACACACAGCCCCCCCCCCACACACACCCTCACACACAGCCCCACCCCCACACACACACCCTCACACACAGCCCCCACCCCCACACACACACCCTCACACACACACAAACCCCCTCTCACACACACCCTCCACACACACCCCCTCACTCCCCCCCACACACACACAAACCCCCTCACACACACCCTCACACACACAAACCCCCTCACACACCCTCACACACACACACCCCCTCACACACACACAAACCCCCTCACACACACACACACCCTCACACACACACAAACCCCCTCACTCCCCCCCACACACACACAAACCCCCCCACCCACACCCCCTCACACATAACCACGCCTCACCTTGCAGCGTGAAGTTGGAGGAGAACCTGCGGACGCTCCTGCGGCGCTGGGGGCTGAGGGCCGGGGAGTAGGTGCCCCGAGACAGGTAGCGCCGGACCCGCCGGTAGCGCAGCGAGTCCCGGGCCCGGGTCTGGGTCTCGGTCTGGGTGGCGACACTGCGCAGCGGCCCCGCTCCGGCCATAGCGGCCGCTCCCTCGTTCCCCTCTCCCTCCCTCCCTCCCTCCGGAACCTTCCTCCTCGGCACCGAGTCTCCACCCGGAGCGCAGCCCCCGCCGCACCCGCTGTTGCCATGGAAACCGAGCGGCCGCCGGAAGTGAGCCCCGGGGCCTCGGGTCCGGGGCCCAGGGCCTCGGGTCCGGGGCGGTTCAGTTCCTGCGGCTGTTTCTTCACCGACAACATCTTCCTGTCGCGGTACAAACTGCACCTGCGCTGCCCGGAGCCCGGCCGCCTGGAGCGGGACTGGGGGCCGGTAAGAGGCCGAATGTCCGAGCTCCAGCTTCCCGCCCCTTCCCACCACCACCACCACCCCATCACCACCACCATCACCACCACCCCCCCCATCACCACCACCCCTTCCCACCATCACCACCACCTCCCCCACCACCCCCCCCCCACCATCACCACCATCACCCCCCCACCACCATCACCCAGAGGGTAAATAAAGCCAACAACAGGGGCGTCAGTGTCGCAGTTCACTCTGTGAAGCTCTCCCCGGGGAAGGGGAGAGGGTTCGGGGGGAAGGGGAGAGGATGGGGGGGGGAAGGGGAGAGGGTTTGGGGGGAAGGGGAGAGGATGGGGGGGGAAGGGGAGAGGATGGGGGGGGAAGGGGAGAGGATGGGGGGGAGGGGAGAGGATGGGGGGAAGGGGAGAGGATGGGGGGGGAAGGGGAGAGGATGGGGGGGGAAGGGGAGAGGATGGGGGGAGGGAGAGGATGGGGGGGGAAGGGGAGAGAATGGGGGGGGAAGGGGAGAGGATTCGGGGGGGGGGGGGAAACGAGGTGTTTCAGCGCTCCGAGACGCTGCCCCGCGTGAAGGGGTGATACGAGTGCGAGTTGTTGTTGTTGTTGTTCCCGCGCCCTGTTGTTGACTTTATTCAGACTCTGCGCGACTGATACGAACCCCCGCACAGTCACTACGCTTTATATCCCGGGAATCTATAAGAGCGTATGTATATAAATGTTATACATATATATATATATATATACACGTTTATCCCGTGAAGCGCTTCGTTCGCGACGTCTCCGCCACGTGTTAAGGCGCTTTTTATCAAACGTAAGGATTGTTATTGCTGTTCCAGTTGCTCAGAAGTAAAGGCTGTGTGACCGAGGAAGACTTCCGAAATGCTCAAGCTCAGGTAATGTCCGGGAGGGGGGCAAGCGTTCAATTCCGGGTTTCACCCCTCCCCTCCCCCACACCGAACGGCCCCGCGCGTTACTCCCGGAACCTTCTGCACCGCACAAAGGGCTTCGCTGTCCTGCTTTCCCGTTGCTTCTTGGCGTCGGTAGCGTTTGAGGATATGTGTGATCTCCTGTAGACCGGTCACTACACTCTACAGTAAAATCCTGCCGTGAGAGGCACTGTATCAAATGCGAGGGATGGTCATTATTTAAGCGAGGATACAAAGTGCTGCTGTTGCTCTGAAGCGCTCCGAGATGCTACACCTCTCGAGAGATAAACGTGTCGACGGAACCACTGATACAGGTTTGTGACTGAGGTACTCGTGTTTCTCAGGTTGTGGAGGAGATCCAGCGGAGGAAACAGTTGGGGAGGCAGAGTTTGGAACGAATCGCCATCATATCAAAGGAGTACAAACCACTGCGTCCTGAGGTCTACATCCTGCAGGTGCGAAGCAGCCCGTGTCTGGAGCACAGGACAATTCACCGTAAAGTGATGGCAACGAGATTGTGGATGGAAATATTCCAGGACTGGAGAAACTCCAGGCTGAAGTTGTGAGGGTGTCAGGCTGAGCTCGCTTCCCCTCCCGTCTTCCCATTGCAGCACCGAGCTGTTCCTTAAATAAGTCCCAGTGCCTCGAACTAAACTCACCATGGTAACCAGCACCAGCTGTCTCGTCCCTGTTGTGAAAGGCGCTCTACAAATGTAATCTTATTGTTGTGTGTCTGCCCAAGTAACTATTTCTAACTGTCTCTGTTAGCCAGGGGTATATCCGGTCTGTGCCTGGACGCATTCCTTGTTAGACCTTATAATAACGCATTGAGTGGAGGCAGCAGCGGCTAAAGTAGGTGCTGTGTGTTTAATTACTGCAGGAGACCTTCCTTGCCCCAGAGTTCCTGGATGTTGTGGCTTACAGCAAATCTTCAGCTGCTAACGTGGATGGGCTGCTCTCTCGTGTCCAAACACTTCCAGGTAGAGCAAGAGGGGCTCAAATTTATGAATCTTAAGTCGATTTATATCCGACCGACCAAAAGTTAAGAGGTTTTTTTTTTGCACATAAAACGTGTCCGTTGATCAGGAGTCTCGGCCTCTCTCTCTCTCTCTCTCCGCTTGCAGCTTCGGGAGTCTATTCTTTCCCAGTCTTCACGGACGAATTCTGCGGCCGCCTGATCGAGGAGCTGGAGCACTTTGAGAGCTCGGACATGCCGAAGGGACGGCCCAACACCATGAACAACTACGGGGTAACGTAGAGACTCGCTCGCTCTCCCTGGTCACCGCACCACAAACCTGCCGATAGTCATAGGTTTCATTTCCACCCGAAGAACACATGAGTCCCAAATAGAAACAGATATTTTCATAATAATAATAACCGTTGCGTTTGAAATAGCGCCTTATCATGGCTTTAAGACGTCTCAAAGCGCTTCCCAGGATACACTGTAAAGTGAATTGACTGTGTGTGTTTTGTGGGCGAAACATCTTGTGAATCACAAGAAAAGTGAGGACTTCCTATCCGAACCTACCTTTCCCACCGAGCTTATGGTTACCTCGAACCTCCCCCTTCTTTCTGGCTTGGCGTCCGACCCCGTCACTGTGCAGCGCTCCGAGGCTCCCTCCTGCATGAAGGGCGCTGTGTAAACACACGTCATTGTTGTTGATGATCAGGTGCTCCTGAACGAGCTGGGGTTTGATGAGTCTCTGGTGACGCCGCTCCGGGAGGTTTACCTGCAGCCCATCGCGCGCCTCCTGTACCCTGACTCGGGCGGAGGCAGCCTGGACACTCACAAGGCATTTGTGGTGAAATATTCCTTAAACCAGGACCTCGAGCTGAGTTTCCACTATGATAACGCCGAAGTCACGTTGAACGTGTGTCTGGGGAAGGACTTCAGCGGCGGAAACCTGTACTTTGGAGACATGAGACAGGTACTTTGCCGCATCGTCGAGACAGACACAAACACACACACACACACACACTCATTCACTCACTGTGAGGCAGTGTCCCAGTCTCCGCATTACGAGTTTACTGTTAATATATTCTGTGAAGCGTTTGAGACGTCGCAACGATATGATAGGGCGCTATATCACATGCAAGAATTATTATTAACAGGACGATGTTCAGTGTGCGCGGAGTAGGTGGGAGGAGGGGGGAGGGATTGTGTGTGTGGTGTGTGTTTAGGAGGGGGAGTGTTTGCTGCTTACAATAGGTGAAGATTCTGTGTTGTCTGTCTGCCTTGAAAGTTCTAGCAATTAACACTCTTTTTCGTCCAGCATTTCTTATGCTCTTATTATGTAACCTGTCCTCTCCTACGGCTGTAACACGGAGAGGGCAGGACGTTGATCTGTCTGTCATCTGACGGCAACACGAGCACGTTTGTTAATGCGCTGATTTCCCTCCTGGTTCCAGGTACCGCTGAGCGAGTCCGAGTGCACAGAGATCGAGCACAGAGTGGGACGGGGGCTGCTGCACCGCGGTCAGCACTGTCACGGGGCTCTGCCCATCACCCACGGCGAGCGCTGCAACCTCATTGTGTGGATGCGATCGTCCCAGGTTCGCAACCAGCTGTGTCCCATGTGCAACAAGAAGCCGCAGCTGGTGGAAGCCGTGGGATTCGGGGACGGATTTACCTGCGACAGCGCTCCGGATGTGCACACGGTGGACGTGTGTTCCCTTAATTAGCGACATTGCTTCCACCGCAAAGACCCCGCCGTTCATGGAATCCGCTGACACCAACCACAGCGCGTCACGGCAATAAATGTCATCGTACTCGGTGACACACATCGACTCGATTCTGGTTTAAATGGAGGGCTGACCGATCGCTGAGCTTTTAAGCGACATTACCTTTTCTTAAGGGAATTTCCTGCAATTTCCTTGCAATTTTTCGGGCCCAGACAGAGGTGCGTAACGACCTAAATCTACAACCGAGCGGGAGATCGTTCAACCTCACGTCCCATCCGTCCAATATTCTGACCTTCTAAATCTTATCTCTGTAATTTCTGATTTCGGATGCTGAAATAAAAGTACCCGCTAGTGCCTCTTCATAAGTTTGGCAGGTGTTTTTCTGTGCTCTTGTTATTTGAGAGAAAGAGACCAAGAAAAGTCAAGTCTAGTCATCCAACATCACCACAAATTATTATTATGTTTAACTCCCGTGCACCCCAGCACAGTGTTATCTCAGCACAGGGTGGTCATGATGCTGCTAATTGACACATCTCCCAATCTGTATATTCTCTGCCTGGTTTTAGTTGAAAATAGCATTAAAAAAACTCAATACTGTAACCTCAAAAATTTTTAAATTTACAATCGCTCGCCGCAGCACGTTAAACACGCAGACAGTTACGCAGTCGAGACGTCTGGAAGCGCTTTCCCAGGGTTTCTCCGCTACGTGAGAATAATAATAATAATGTTATCAGTGTAGTGACTGAAATACTCGAGACCTGAACCAGGAGGCACTGTGTCAGGGCTTCGCAGGAACATTTCCTGCCCTGAGCTCTGGTCGAGAGCGAACCGCGAACTTTCAGCCGTGAGGGGGTTCGGAAACGTTTCGTTCCGCAAAACAAAAAATATGACACACAATCGCATAACACATCACGAAATATAAACCGAACATAATTCTATACGCAACGATAGACCGATCTAATCATACAAGTTACACACATCTATATATAATCAAAATTAGATCATTGGTACAATAAATTATTGTAATATAATGTTGAACAATTATTTTTTTTAATTATGCAATGAAAGAAACGCGTGTCCCCCGATTAAACTTCCCCCCCTCTCCCTCCCCACACACACCCTCCCCCGGGGGGGGGGGGGGGCAGGAGGCGAGCGGACCCTCGCGCTCGGGGATCGGGTTCCGCGGGGACACTTGCAGCTGCCGGACCGGATGTCGGGCGGGTCACGTGAGGCGGAGCCGGAGAAGATGGAGTCGGTGTGAGAGCGGCAGCTGCTGAGTCCGGATCTCGGGTTAAAGTTATATATATGTATATATATATATTTATATTCCCGGAGAATCGTCTCCAATAATAACAATAATTATATAAACAGTAATAGTTCTCGGGGCCCCACATCCCGGGAGCCTCGGCCCCGGGGGGACCCGCGCAGAACCGGAGGGAAAGGTTTACTGTGACTGAGGCTGTTTCGTCTCTGACAACAACAACAACAACAATAATAATAATAATAATAATAATCGTTGCATTTGATACAGCGCCTCGTGCGGCGGAGACGTCTCCCGAAGCGCTTCGCCGGTCGCCGCTGCGAAGCGTAGTGACTGCGTCTGACCCCGGGAGCACGAGCGGAGGATGCCACGGGCCGCCCGCGGGACCTCGGGGCGGCTCACGTAGGGAGCGATTCGCTGCCCTTTGAACGGACCGAGGGGTTGGGGGAGGGGGAGGGGGGTGCGATGGGCCGGAGTCGTTCGAAGGAGAAGTGCCGGGACAGGAGCCAAAGTGCTTCTCAGGACAGAACCCGGAGGAAAGAAGGGACGGAGGAGGGAAAGCAGAGCGGCGGCGGCGCCGGGTCAGGCGCACGGCATCGCGGCCGCAGCTCGGCCCCGGCTCCCAGGCCGGCAGAGGACGGGTCGCGGAGGAAGAGAGTCGGGAGGAAATCCAGCTCGTCGTCTGACTCCTCGTCTCCATCCTCCTCCTCCTCCTCCTCCGCCGCCGCCTCCTCCTCCTCGGAAGAGCCTTCGGGGGTGGAGAAGTGCGGGAAAAGGCGACGCCGGTCGAAGGGGAAAAGCGTCAAAAAGGCGAAAAAGAAGAAAAGTAAGAAGCCCAAAAAACACAAGAGGAAGAAAAGTAAAAGCAAAAGCCGGAGGGACGAGAGTGCGGAGGTTGTGCCGGAGGAGACGTATGAGGATATCCCTGGGCCCCCCGAGGTGCTGAACGACACCCTGACGGACGCTGAGATCGGTAAAGTTCTAACTCTCTGCGGCGTCACTCCTCACGAGTTTGCGTTCGAGATGTAGCCGATTTAATAATTGTGCCAATTTGTGGTGGGGGGGGGTCGGGGGGGGTACTTTTAATGGGATTTTTCAAGTGTGTGTGTGCGCGCGCGCGGACCGTGGGCAATCACGAGTTTATATACAAGTTGTGAGTTGTATAAACGGCAGCCAATTGCGCACAGCAAATGGCTGCCAAAAGCTGTGCGCATTTTGCCCACAAAACACACAGTCGCTACGCTTTACAGTGCATCCTGTGAAGCGCTTTGAGACGTCTCGGAGACGTGATAATACGCTACATCAAATGCAAGGATTATGATTGCTAGATACAGCGCCCTTCACGCAGGGTAGCAGGCGGGCAGCGGTGTCTGGGTACTAACCTCTCCGTCTCGTGTCTCGTTTGTGTTCAGCAGTGACGGACGAGCAGCAAGCTCGCATCCAGGCAATGCGTCCGATGACCAAGGAGGAGTGGGACGCCAAGCAGAGCGTCATCAGGAGAGTGGTGGACCCAGACACGGGCAGGACCAGGTTCTCGATCCATATTCCACGTCAGCCAGAACCACAGCTTTAACACAAAGTGCATAAAACCCACACCGCACCCACGTCACGTCACAACACAACACGCACTCCTTCACAAACGCACAACTTACCACAGGCTTTTTTTTAAAAAAAGGAATACAGAAAGGATAAATGATTGAGATGCTAAGTTGCTGAGCTGAGGTGTTTTTCTGGCCACTTGTTTTTCAGGCTTATTAAAGGCGACGGTGAGGTTTTGGAAGAAATCGTCAGTCACGAGAGACACAGAGAAATAAACAAGGTAACGGCTGACACGTCTCACGTTCGCAGTCACCGAAACACCCAGGGCTTTTGTGGTCGCCTGCTGCTTTTTGCCTACACTGTTCCCCCCACTACCCTGTCCCCATAGGTAATGTCGCACCGGATCAAGCTCGCCCAACAACTTGCATTTATAATAATCCTTGCATTTGATATAGCGCCTTATCACTTCTTCCGAGACGTCTCAAAGCGCTTCACAGAATATACTGTCGTATATTTTGTCTGCAAACATTTCTCTATGGCGCTTCACGCAGCATAGATCTTGGGAGAGCCACGCAGACTAAAGCAACAAGTGCAGTCAAGTGTGGCAACTGCCTTCACGGTCTGTCAGTCATTTGTTCACATCGCAAAGCCAGTGGGTGAACAACTAATTGATTCCAAAGGTTTGTCTTCAAGCAGATGCATGTTCTTGATGGTTAGTTCCCGAGGTTGTGTAAAACTTTTAATTTGGAAATCTCTTATCAGTAAGTAAATTGCTGCTGTTTTCTCCCCAGCAAGCCTCGGTGGGGGATGGATTGAGTTACCAGAAGAGAATGGGGCTGCTTCGAAAGTGAGCCTTAGCTCAGTGCAGGCAAGAAAAGTACCAAGGCTTTTCCATCTGTCTGTAACTCTAGGAAAGTTGCGTGGAGTTATGTGTATATTATATATTCATTACTCGAAAGAAAGGTTCGGCACTGACAATTTGTGTTGTAAAGTAGTGGGTTACAGGCACCGCAGCTGAGCTCCCTGTCGTTTTCCGCAACTCCTGCGGATTGGAAGAGGAACTCGTGGGGGAAGGGAATAGAACATGGACAGGTTATCCCTGTTGTGGGTTTAACTGAAGTAGGAACGAGTCTTAACATGACGAAAAGGCAAAGCTTCGTGGCTGCAGGATGGATTTTGTACCTAGAATTTCTGAACGTGTAGCAACATGTTCCTTTATTAAGATCTTTAATTTGGGGGTTGATTTGCAAGTTGGGTAAAATGATGGGAGTTTATAGCCGATAAGTGTTATCCTTTTGGTTGGTTGTTAATCGGAGGTACTCCCACACGGTTTTACAGATTCGCAAAGTACTTCCCATTAAATCCTAGAGCGATTGGTAAACTCCTGTGTGTGTGTGTGTGTGTATATATATAAAAAAACTTTCTCCTGAAAAATAAAATAGTTTATTCAGAATATAACGTGCTGCCTTTTTACTGATTTGCCTGCTCGCTCCTCACCAACAGAATCAATTCCACAATAAAACTCCTTTTACATAATTCTCCGTTGGGTTGAAGAAATAAAGCAAGTTAACTAGCGATCTGATATCTGGTGCGAGGTCAACAGGTAAGTAGACTCTCCAACCTGCTGGAGACTTGAATCTGAACTTTCCCCCAAACCACCAAGAAACGGAATACCAGGGAATTAATGTTGTCCTGTTTTCTTTAATCCATATAACGTACAATCGTACTATACACAAAGCACACCCAGGCATTAGAACAATGCACTACAACAGCCAGAAATAGAGCAGGAGTGTTGTGAGTGTGAGTTACATACAAGGGAACCATCTCGAAACGTTTCGCTGTGAACAACGTACATTGAGAACGAAATACAGGGAGTGGAAGCTTGATGTTCAGCACAAGCACAGGACAGGAATGTTGTCCGCTGGGGGTTTGCAGGTTACTTCTAATCTGGCGATTTGTACATTTTTTTTCTTTAAATTCCGTTGCGATATTTAACTCGTGTTCTATATGTAACATTTCTATAAATAAAATATAACAAACACTTCTGAATAAAAAAATTTACTGTCAAAGTCATCAGTACAGTATATCTATGGGGTTTCGCACAGAACGGGAGGAAATATGAGGCTTCTGTAGCTAAATGCTAACCTGAAGTGGCAAGACTACCCGAGCGAACGTTCACAGACTGCATGGCGAGGCTATATTTCACAGTGACCCTTTTGTAAGCTCCAATCCTCCCCTCGTCTTCCCCCCCCCTCAGGCCTGGGCAATCTGAGCACTCTCTGAGCCGATGCCTCCACGGCAAGTACTCTCTTTACCAACTCTCCTGATTCTTGTTAAGAAATTCAAATACAATTAAGATTAAGAAGGGGAGGGAAACAACTTTACGCAGCCAGTATAAATTGCTGGAGAATGTTCTCTGCCTCAGAAGGGGCCTAACATTGTCCCCGTTGGGGGGGGGTTCAGAAAAGTCCATCAGTTAACCTCGAGCCACAACCACCATCACAGGTGCAAACATATCACTCAAGATATTTGGCACTTTTTGTTCTGACGAAGGCAAAGCGAGACTCGCTGTAAATCAGTCAGTGTGGGTGGGTGCTGGGGTTGGGGGGGGGGGGTGAAGGGGAGTTGACTTATTACACGGGGGGTTGGGGAATTGGAATGATTTTATTCAGTGCGTCGGAATTGCAGGAGTAACTGGGCAGTGATGCTTTGGACGCTCGCAAACAGGATATTTCGAAAGTTATTGGAAGGAAAACGGGACGATGACGGGTCGGACTCACTCAGCACCTGAAAGGATTAAATAGTAGCCCCCACCCCCGCCCCCACTGTGGTGGTGCGGGCGTCTAATGAATTGGGGGGGGGGGCGAAGGGAGAGAAAGAGGGAACACCAAAAGGTCACGTGCAATGCCAGAGCACCTGCGAGCTGATTGTCAATGCCATGGCTGTGGGTTGATGGAAAGTGGTGATTGAATTGTGCATTTCTGCAATGACAGTTCATGTAATCTTGGTCCATAAAATAATCTTTATATATAATAATGTTCAAGACAAAACAAAAAAAATTAAATATTAATAAAACCCAAAGGGGCCTGTCACCTCCTCGTATCTACACGAATAAATAACTCGACTTTATTGAACAGACCTACATTTACATTTCTGTTGCTTTACATTATCTACACAGTTTCGTTTATAGAACGTGTCTCTATCTCTCTCTCTCTGACACAGCTTATTCCCTACTTCACTATTGCTTGTGCGCCACAGCTCTGAATACAAAAAACAAACGATTTGCCAAATTTACCACCTGACGGTAAAGGTTACCTACTGTTCACACACACGGTTACACCGCTTACACCTAGTCCAGCTGTCATCCCAGTCTCCCAGTCTCCAGTACTGAATAAACAGACAAAAAGAGGAATTCTTCCCCCCCCCCCCCCACACACCGCCTTCAGTAAGAGAAAGTATTGATTTGCCTAATAAATATAGACTAATGCTAAAAATGTTCACATTGGATGCCACGTCTCTCGAGTCACATAAATAATCTGCTTGAAACCGGGCTGTTAGTCAGTGCACCTTCCCAGGCACAATACCTGGACTCACTGAGTGAGTCCTTAATCTTGACACAGCGGTGGGATGGGGGGGGGAGGGAGTGTCAAGGGCTGCACATCAAGTCACTGACTGACATCAGTTCGGGGGGTGGGGGGGAGGGGGAGGGGAGAAGGAATCAAACCCTCAACCGGAAATAAAAATAAAAACGTGCACAAATAGACAACGAAATATATATATACATATCTAGACTGTTATATATAAAAAAAGCTCCTCAGTGACTTTATGCATCATATATAAAATAACGTGGAAAAATATATTTCCGAGCTTTATTTGCACTGTTGGCGGTGAGAGCGAGAGACAGCGACCATTCAGAGAGCCAGGGAGCAGTTTCCCTACAGACACCAGTCACCATGGAGGAGCCCAGGCAGTGAGCTTTCAGACACTGACGGATAATAACTCCATTTATTAACTGCAGGGGGGAAACAGGAAAAGTTCCTGCAGTAAACAGTTAATGTGCCGACTGATGTGCTTAATATATAATCCTTCCAGATTTGTTCAACGGACAAATTATTTCTGCTTCTGACATTTTCAGTAAAATTGTACTGAAGCTCCCAAGTCAGACACACCACGTGTGATTGTAGCTGCTGTGGCTCACTCTTACCTTCTCACACCCACAAGTTACTGTCTGTGTCTGTCTGTTTGTCTCTAGTCTCATTCTCTTACTTGAAACTACATTCTCCAAACTCCAGTCTGATGGTTAGGTACATTAGGGTGTCTCAATTGTTTTGGCTTAAAAATCCCACAAAACCCTTACCTCCCTGATTGCAGCTGTCCTTAAAATAAGAGACAAGAGATTTGTCTCTTTAAAACCAAAACTCTTTGCTGAAAAGCAGCTCAGCTAACCTTCCTGGGAAATGTAATAAACCTGGAGTTTCCATGAAGGAGAATGGATGCTGTCTGTCTCTTTCTCTCTCTCTCTCTCTCTCTCAATATTATTGTTTTCTTACTCGCAGCTGAGTGTGGCCGGTCGTTTAATATGGACGGTACTGACCTGCTCTGCCAGGGATCCACTAACTGTGATCAGTTCCCGTTTGGACTCGCTTACAATCTTTAACAACCAGAGGATCGCTCTCGACACGCTTACGCTCAGCCGGGCTGGGCCGGACCAAGCCACGCCAGGCTGTAACAGGCTCCGAATCTAAACAATCTAAAGTTAATCAGTGCAATAAAACAAAAACAACAACTGAGGTTTTTCACAGTCGCGAGTCACGACGGCAGGATGTGAAACAGCAGGAAAAGTAACAGCAAATTGTAGGCGACTGAATTTCAAGAGGAACTTGGGTGGGGGAGAGAAATGTGCAGGAACCCAGTGAGTTAAAAGGTCCCGTGTGTGTGTGTGTGTGTGGAGAGAGGAGGCACGTATTTACACTGTCGTCGGCCAAACCTGAATATAGAGAAGATGCCGAGTTTGGAAAATCTGCGCTAAGTCTCTGTAACTAGGTTTAAGGTTAATGATTGAGCTAGTGTTTCAGGCAATGTAACACTGCGCTGTTAAGGCCTGCAGTTAACGCAGAGCACACAATTGAGTTCATTCATGTCTCCTGAATCTCTTTAGCACCATTCGCCCTCAGTGCTCGGTTCCAAACCTCACTCTTTGTGAGCAGATTTCTCGTTGGCGGTATTGACCGTGACCCTCAGCGCTCCTCTCCCCAGGTCTGTAACGTCCTCCCCGTGCGAAAGGCGCTATACAAATATAATCTGTCGTCGTTGTTGTAGTTGTTGTAGTAACTCCCCCTTCTCTGGGGCTAGACGCCAGACTCCAGCTTAGAAGCGCTGGCCCGCCCCCAGCAGCCCGCGGCGATGCTCATGCTCCTCCCGCTGCGATCCTTCTCCCGCTCCCGCTCGCTCTCTGACTGGCTGAGTGTCCGTTCGGGACGGGGAGCCGTGGCCGCCCCCGGCTGGCTGGAGATGGTGCGGAACAGGTGGTTTCTCTTCCTCAGGAAGTCAGGCTGAGCCGGCAGCCCGAAGCTGCCCTTCCGCAGCACCATCCTGCTGTTGCCCTTGGCCGGGAGGGAACGGTGGTTATACTCCAGCTGGGAGAGGTGAGCGGCGTATCCCTCTGTCAGGAACTGAGCAGCACAGACAAGGCAGTCAGTCAGCACCGGGCACAAAACAGTCACTACACTTTACACTCAATCCTGTGAGGAGCTTTGATACACTTTGTGAGTGTGTCTGTGTGTGAGTGAATGTGTGTGTGTACGTGTGTCTGAGAGCGGCTATCCGTGTGAGTGCGGCTGTCCATGTGTGCGCGCGCCCGTCTGTGTGTATGTCTGTGTGTGTGAGTGTCTGTGTATGTATGTCTGTCAAGTGTGTGTGTGCGCACCTGTCTGTGTGTGCCTGTGTGTGTATATGTCTGTGAGTCTGTTGTGAGCGTCTGTGTGTGAGTGTCTGTGTTTGTGCAAAATTGTTACCTTCTCTCTCAATATTCGTTGGCAAATAATAATTTTAAATGAACAGATTAGCATTGGATTCCTCAGTCTCCCCCTCCCACCCACCCATGCCCATCTTCTCAAGTCTCTCTACACAAGTGAACGCTGCCAGGTGGGCATGAGCGGGGGTGAATACCTGGCACTGATATTGGTACTTTTTGGTCGCACGTCCAACGATGAAGATTTGTGATGGTGACAAGCCCAGGGTGGTGTAAACCGAGATGTCCTTGGTCGACCCGTAAGCTGCGTGGATCTTCATGAACACCTGCACGTGTTTTAAGTTCAACGTGAAATACCGAGGTTATTACTAATCGTCAATCACCTCATGGCTGCGTGTGTGTGTGTGTGTGTGCGGGAGAGAGAAAAAGTGCGTGTGAGAGAAAGAGTGTGTGTGTGAGCGACAGAGAGAGAGGGGGAGAAAGAGAGAGAGAGAAAAAATGTGCGTGTGAGAGACAGAGAAAGTCTGTGTGTCAGAGACAGAGAGGGGGGGAGGGGGAGAGAGAATGTGTGAGTCTCTCCCAAGTGCTCCGAGATACCGTACTGCCTGAAGGGCGCTATTATAAATGCAAGTTGTTGTTGTGTGTGTGTGTGTGTGTGTGTGTGGCTTGCCAAGCAAAAATTTGCTGTTGTATTTGATGACAGAAAGTCACAACGCTTGTCTGCAGGGACCCCGAGAGGAGCTGTTAAGCGTGGACGTACCTCGTGCACCAGGCTGCGGAGGAAGCTGGCTTTGTGTCGGAGTGGGTCGTGTACCAGCCCGTCACAGAAGGACACGATGCCGTGCGGGAAGTTGTGCTGAGCGAGCCAGGCCACCACCTTCTGCTTCTGCATGTCGGGCCGGCCTGTCACGTAGATAATAAAATAGCCCAGGTCCTGCCAGTGCCTGCGGGAACAGCAGCCAGTAAAGTGGGGGGTCGGGGAATCTGCGTTTACACCGGATTTACACTAACACCAGGTTTACACTGGAAATCCATGTAGACTCACAAGCTCACAAACTCAATACAACAGAGCGATGCATCATGTCAGGTTTGCAGCTGAATCACATCGCTGTCTTATGCCACGAATGCCTGTAACTGTCGACGTTTGCTGTACATTGTCACACTCGCTCCTGCCCCAGCCTCTCACTGCCCAGCCCTGGTATTGCCTCTCCACAGGACTTTGTGCCTGTTAGTGTTCCCGCATCTCCCTCTTCGCCCTAACATCCCGCCTCCGTTCTCACAGAGAGGTAGGTAGCGACCGTGGCTTGACTGAAGCCCTGGCTGAGTGAGTGACCTCCCGCTAACAGGCGCTGCTGTGTCTAAGATAATGTTTGCGATTCGAATGCCTCACGAGGCTGTACATTGTGCCAGAGAGCAGGGGGTGAGTGAGAGGCCGCTGAGGTCAATGTGTAAGTTTACCTCACGACATCCACAGCTCCGGCTCGGACCTTGGGATCGCTGCCCATGATGGAGACGCTGGCGGCGAATGAGCCGTCGATGCTGAACACCACGCACTCAGTCGCCTTGGGCAGCACAGTAATGTAGCTGTCCGCAGACGTGTGATCACCCCTGGAATTACACAGACCAAAGAGGTTTATAACACAATGCAATGCAATACAATAAATAGCTGTACAGCATCTCTCAGTCACACCTCGGGAGGGCGTCTCAAAGAGCTTCACAGGCTCTACGGTTACAAAAAAAAATGTGGTCACTCAATCCACGTCTGTTCGTGGGACGCTGCTGCGCACAATTAATTGGCTGCTGCGTTTTGCCCACAAGATAGTCACTAAACTTTAACAGTATATTCCGTGAAGCGCTTTGAGACGTCTCCATGTGATAAGCTGGATTATTGTTACTGTAAAGTGCAGAAACTGTATGTTTTTGTAAGCGAATCTCAAAGGTCAAATTCATTTAAACTGTGAACGGTGAGAGCGAGCGGGAACTGAGAGATGAGGGCTTGATTTTGTAACTTGCACTAACTCTCCAGCTTTAGTGTGGCTCGGGAACTAACTCTAACCCTCCCCCCAAGCCCCGCTCCCCGAAATAAATGAGAAATAGATCTACACAGCTCTCCGCAGTATTGAACCAATTTGAGGGGTGGGTATTGCTCTAAGCATGAAATCAATGGGCTAAACTGACTCCCTTCTTCCTCCAAACCTCTCTCTCGTCTCTCGTCAACAAAGCTTTTCAGTGATTCCTGGACAGATACGATCAGCCCTCAGGGGGTGATGAGGAGCCAGGGGACCGGGCAGGAGGAAGGTGTTGATTACCTGACCACCAGCTTCACAGGGTACATGCCGATCCCCAGCTTCTGACTCTCCGGAATCACGTAGACAATCCTGCCGCTGTTGTTGGTGATCTCGGTGTCAAAATAAATCCACTCTCCTGAGGGCGGCTGTGTCATAATGTGCACGTCCACCTGGGGCGGGGGGGGGGGGGGCGGCATTAATGTCTCCAGATTAAATATAATATTGTTATTAATATTAAATATAGTGAACACGGGAGAAAGGACAGGTCAGGAAAGGGCCAAGACACGGTGGGATCGTGGTCGCTGGTGTTAGCAGCACGCGACGGAACTTTATCCCGGTTCCTCGTGGGGAGAGACAGAACACCAACATCCCGCTGACCACCCCCCCACCTCACCCTCTCCCCATCACCCACTCCCGATCTCTCCGGCCGAAGCCCTCACCTTCTCCCCGGTCAGCGTCACCATGTCCAGGGGGCCGTACATGAACCTGCCGCTCAGCGCCTGTGGGCCCTCGTCCGACACGATCACATCGTTTACCCTGTGGTTCGCTGTTACGTTCTGTGTGAAGCACGAGAGGGAAGATCAGTCCCTGGCCTCCGCCCAGTCTCGCCCTCGCAGAGAGATTATTATCACATCAAATTCCGTTACTCACTTCATCACCTCCTCACCCACCCACCCACCCGCCTATTACAGTTCTGAGTTTTCAGCGATAATTCAGGTGGGAGGCAGAAGCTGAAAGGGGTGGACAATGTACCCTGTGAAGCGCTTTGAGACGTCTCAACAAAGTATAAAGGCGCTGTATCAAATGCGAGGATTATCGTTATTTATTGTTATTGACTGTTAATCTGTCGGGGCGCTGGGGGGGGCGGGGAGGGCTGTGGAGGGGCCGTGTGGGAGGGCTCAACCATGGCCCAACAAGCAGCAGCAACCTGGCAGTTCTGTGTCTGTGACACACACCAGCACAGTCTGCTCCCTGCAGACAGCTGCCACAAGCGCAGGGTGTTCTCCACCGTGTACATAGCTAGAGCTGTGACTGGATGGGACGGGGGGGGGGGGGGTTGTTACCCTGATTTTCACGTGCGTCCTCTTGCGTAGCCACTTCTCCCGGGGTTTGGTCGGGCTGAACACAGAAACTTCTTTGCCATCCAGCTCCAGCACACTAGCATTTTCATGTCTCATCACCTGGTCATAAACACGGTTATTATTATTATGATGATGATGATGAAACCAGTCACACACAATCACCACACAGCGCTCTCAGGCCCTATCCTGTGTGAGGGGCGCTGAATGAGTTGTTGTTGCTGTTGCTTCAACTACAGAACTACATTCCACCTCTCTCTCCCTCTCTGTATCTCTTCTCTCTCTCCTTCACCCCTCTCTCTGAATCTTTCCCTCTCTCTCTGTATCCATACAAAGAGTGGTTTTCTCCTTCTAATTTCTGTGTGCAATTATGTCAAATGCGTGCCCGTCCTCTAACGACCAGTCGGCCCGAGGAAATAATCCTGCAGGATGTCCCTCTTTGCTGTGGATGTTGTGAACGTTTCGAGGCTGGTGAGCAGGGCGCTCTGTTACCTGTCGCAGCAGGAAGGAGACGACGTCAGTGGACTCCCAATAGCTGGCGTGGAAGAGGTGAGGCAGGGCGATGGTGGGGAACGCCATCAGGGCGTCAGGGCAGTACAGGGCGTAGTCCATGCGTTTGGTCCCCCACCACCGGGCTGCAACTGCAGACAACACAACAGGCATCAAACATCACACATCAGCCTCCGCACACTCCCTCCCAGGCCCTTTCCCTGCCCCAACTCTGCCGTTAGGTGAGAGATGCCGGTTAGTCTGTAAACTCTTGCCCTCTGTGTCATTTTTCCAAGAGTTTGTTTCTAATTCTAAGAAGCAGAATTAAGCTGCCTGCATGTGACTTCAGTGACTGATTTGAGCACAGAGTGATTCACCGTTACAGACACAAAGCGCCAACAAATCTCACAATTAATGATATTAACATTGTTATTTATTTTTTTACACACACACACAGCGATGGTAAAGTGCCACTGGGAGCTGACAGTGTGCCCCGCTACCAATCTCTGCCGAGCGTAAATTCCCTCGAATTACTCGATAGTGAAGAAAGCAGCATTTGGTTGGGTTATAAGGTCGAGTTAGTGAGCGAGTGAAAGAGCAAGAGGTTGCGGAAGAGTTCCATAACCTTGGCATGATTTATTTTTCTGATTTTTTTAATTGAAAAAAAGATCAAAAAGAGATATTTGTTTGAAGATTAAAAAAAAAATCTAGATTCAATCTTAAAGAGTGGATTTCTGCCCCAATACCTCTGAGCAGGTGGAGCTCAGTGCCTGCCCGCTTTGCTGGGTTCTGTTTCTCTGCAGAATCCACGCAATTCGCTCCCAGCCTTCCCTGGTTCTGCCCCCACGGCAGCGAGGCTTTGGGGCACTTGTGGCTGAGAGGGAAAAGGGTTTTGGGGAAGGTTTTGATGTTGGGCAGCGTAAACTGGGACAAGAAACTGAACTTTTTGCTAGGGTTTGGGAGATAGTTTCGCTCTAGGAAATGAAAAGCAGAAGAAAGGTTCACATTAACACAACACACGCACATACGTATACACACACACACACACACACACACACAAGCACGGTAACAGGGGAAGGGTGGAGCGGGGGAGATCTCCAGCTCTGGCTTCTCTGCCTCTCTGTGTGAGGAACGCAGACCTGCACCAAGGGTAGAAACAGCAGCAAACCCGGATGCCGAGCTCCACCTCGTGAGATTTGTGAGACATCGTGACGGGCTGTGCATAAAGTAAACTGTATTTACTGTTTCGGTGACAGGGAGTGGGCAGCTCAGAGCTGCTGTGGCGGAGGTGGACAGAGCTGACGGGGAGCGTGGTTTGCGGAGCACTTACTGTTGGCGATGTTGGAGGTGGTGTAACTGTCTGCCATCCCTGACACCTGGCTGGCGATGCTGACCTCGCTGGCTCTGCGGAAGCCCCTGAAAGCCGGGGCGGCGAGCGGCGAGGATGGCGACGAGCTCTCCAGGAAGAAGCTGGCGTGAGACTGAACAGTGTCTGCTAAAGGGCAAACAGGGAGGTCACAAGTTACAGCTGACGGACCGGGCAGGGACGGCAGAAATCACCTGTGCAAATCGTTTTTTTTGTCCAAAATTCCATTATTTAAAATACTGCCCAAAAAAAGCCATTAAAAAGAAACGAAACACAAAAGTCAATTTGCATTTCACAATTAACTTGGTTTTGGGAGTTTTTTTTTGTGCCAAACTTGGTTTTTAACTAGCCTGGAAAACCAAACCTCTCACGGTGATTACACTACATTGCCGAGAGAAAGGCAAACATCTCGGCTATCGTGCCGTGCCAAAACCAACCAACCAAACAAATAGATAAAGAAATAAAACACGAGAAGCACAAAAAACACACCACAAGTCCACACTCACTAACTAACCAGCGGCCGCTGAGCTGCATGCACAGACAATCATAGCCAAGACAACCAGTTACTGGAGTTATTACTAGAGACAAGATTCTATTCACAACATCAGCACACGCTCGAACCCAGAGAACACAGCAGCGAAGATAACAGCACTTGTGCCAGGTGTTTGCTGCGGTGCTGGAGGGAGGGGCTGGGTCAGCGGGCGAGGGGCTGGGTCAGCGGGCGAGGGGCTGGTTCAGCGGGCGAGGGGCTGGGTCAGCGGGCGAGGGGCTGGGTCAGCGGGCGAGGGGCTGGGTCAGCGGGCGAGGGGCTGGGTCAGCGGGCGAGGGGCTGGGTCAGCGGGCGAGGGGCTGGGTCAGCGGGCGAGGGGCTGGGTCAGCGGGCGAGGGGCTGGGTCAGCGGGCGAGGGGCTGGGTCAGCGGGCGAGGGGCTGGGTCAGCGGGCGAGGGGCTGGGTCAACCTCATGACATCTGCAAGCGAGCGAGCGAGAGAGAGCAAGAGAGAGAGGAGAGAGCGAGAGCAGCCGAGAGAGAGGACAATGGTACAGAAGGAGAGACTACACACACTCTGTCACGGCTGCCGGTCTACTGAAGCCTTCTTGCCAGTTAAGCACGGGAACAGGGATGCTAGTCTCCATTACGCTCTCCTGGCGTTGGAGAGCAACAAGAGAGCTCTCCAGGATGAGGATGGGATTGCTCTGGATTGTCTCAACTAGAAGCAGATGGGAGAAAAACAGAAGGACAAAGAACATGGACTAACAGAATACTATGAACGTCACACCAGACCGACCGCTCACAGCTCCCACATAATAATAAATACTTGTATTTGATATAGCGCCTTATCACATCTTCGAGACGTCTCAAAGCGCTTCACCGTAAAGTGAATTGACGGTATATTTTGTAGGTGAGCATATACCACTCTTCTGGCGAAAGGTCATCGACCTTAACCCACTTTCCTCTCTCCATAGATGCTGCGCTGCCTGACCTGCTGAGTGAGTGTTCCCAGCGACTCCTGTTTTTATTTCAGATTTCTGGAGAGAGTCTGGAATTTTTTTGCCTTTTGTTCTCTGCCGTGTTTTTTTTTTGGCTCTGGGTTTGTGGTTAAAATAAAAAGTTCGCTTTCTTACTTTTTTCCCCCCAACAGCCGTTAATAAAGTTTTAAACTTTTTTTTTAAAAAACTCATTTAAACACCAACCCCCCACCCCCCCCCCACCCTCCCAACTGTGAGCGTCAACTTTCACTTTTAAATAAAGAGAGACATTTACGAGACAAAACAGATGCAGACTGACTGACACACGGTCAAGGGAACAGCTACGGACGGGCAAGGCTATTTCCTACAGCTTGTTGCTCAAGTCTGTGACAATAAGGGACGGACTGTGCGAGCAGCCAGTCTAACATTCGGGGGTCCCCAATGCTTGGCGGAAAACGCAGCAACTCGCCAGTACACACACTTGTCCTCAAGCCTGGTTACGGCATTTAACAGTGAGAGCGACCAAAAAAAAACCCCCAACCTCACCAGGAGGGGGACCGTTCACTGACTGCCTCACAGTGAGCCTCTGTAATCCCCACTGCCTGCCCCCCAGGCAGGGCAACCTCTGCTATTTGCTAACGAGTGCCCCCCACCACCCCCCCCCAACCCCGTCACGTTCCTATTCCTCAAGCTGAGCTGCACGGACGGCTGGGGGTAACCGTGAGCTAACAAGACAGCAGTCCGGCCTGGAGTTGGCACAGCCATGCTCGCCGCCCGGGTTTATTTACCATCTTCCTCACTGACGCAAGGAGGATGGTAAATAAATGCTCTGCCCCCTCCAGCCCCCACCCTTCACTTCCCCTGACTAGACAAAGGCTTCTCGCCGTTGCCTGTGTATATGTGTGTGTATGTGTGTGCGTGTGTGTGTGTGTGTGTAGTTACTGTGTGATGCTGCACGCGCCCAGCAGGGCAGAGCTGCATCCCCTCACCTCGCCCCCAGCATTGTGTGTGTGTACGTACCCAGCAGGGCGGAGGTGCCGTCGCCGAGCGGGAAGCGTTGGTAGCGAGGTACAGTGATGGGCGGCAGGAGGTGGAACTTCTTCTCCAGCAGCGGCTCCAGGCGTGAGGCCGAGGGGTCGGCGGGGTGGAACAGGTTGTAAACCTGCTGACAGGCTGGCCTCACCTGGGACACTGAGACACAACAGGAGACTCGAGTCAGGCGGCTGGATCGCTCCCTCCCTCCCTCCCTGACCGCCCTGCGCACATTTAACACTGAATACACGTCCAGAAGACGTGAAAAGCGCTATATCAAATGCAAGGATTATTATTATTATACCAGAATCATAAGCCACAGGAACGTAACCACACAAACCCCAACTCTTTCCAGCTACTGCATATAATCTCCCCGCCCCACCAGCCCCCAACCCCACCCCAACCACACTGCGCTCAGCTCTAACACACCGCCCTGGGCGCAGGGTTTCCGGTGGCGAGGCGGCTTACCGTCCAGGCTGGGGATGACGGTTTTCCGGAGCGCCAGCACCAGCCCCAGCGGCGATCCGAACAGGAAGAAATCCGTCACCTCGAAGTCGAACCTTCCCGGGGCCATGGCCTCCAGCATGGTGGAACTGCTGGAGCGCCGCGAGCCGGGATCATTTCTCAGCACGCTGGAGTGTAAACTACAGACAGGGAGCTTCAGTACATCTCACTCTCTCTCTCTCACCTCAGCCCCATCACCGCCCTCACCAACTCACTCCCCACCCCACCCACCTCCAATTCCGCTCCAAACAGTACGACAGTGAGAGTCAGTGGTATCCCGGGGAGGGAAAGGGGGGGGGGCTCTTTGATGAAACGTCACCCGCTAGCGTGGCAGTTCTCCCCAGCCCCCTCCAGCCTGCTCCTCGCTGTGACTGCGGCAGCCATGAGGGGAGCCGCACATGTTTCCTGGGCTGGGGCAGGAGCTGACCTGGACAGGAAGACCCCGGTGCTGTTTGCCGGGTGTTTACCGGGGCTGTGCCTGTGGTTGTGCCAGCTGTTTGTTGTGGGGGGGGGGGGGGGGGGTGCAGCGGCTGTGCCGAGGAGCTGACCTGGACAGGAAAGCCTGGTGCTGTTTGCCGGGTGTTTACCGGGGCTGTGCCTGGGGTTGTGCCAGCTGTTTGTTGTGGAGGGGGGGGGCAGCGGCTGTGCCGAGGAGCTGACCTGGACAGGAAAGCCTGGTGCTGTTTGATGGTGTCCAGCTCGTACGTGGAGGAGTCGCTGCGTTTCCGCGGCAGCTGCTTCCTGGCGTTGTCAGCGCCGCTCCGGGGAATGTCGATGTTACTGCGGCTGAGATGCCGGCTGCTCTCCAGGTTAGAGCCGGCGTTGATGGTGATTCCCGGAGACAGCAGCTCGTTGTCCTGACAACCAAACACAAGTCAAGCAACCCTCCACCCCTCACTGCCTCAGCAAACACTCAAATACAGTGATATAACACTGACACTCAGCGCTGTCGCTTACGTACACCGTCAGCACAGATTCCCGGTCATGAGGGAGCCATCAGTGCTCACATACACTAGTGTTCGCTATTGTTACAAGTGTTTACTGTCTCAATGCGAAGTGTAGTGACTGTGAAAGCTCTATACGCTGAGCTGAAGTCTCGACATGGGCCTAGAACCTACAGGCTTGGGACCTGTGCAAGGCGAGGGGACAAGGGAGGAGCTTTAACGCCGGCTCAGCTACAACTGTTGCGCTAGCAGCACCCGTCTCGCCCCGTCCGGCCTCACCATCGCTCACCTGCCCGCTCACCACGCTGCCTCTCCGGCTGCTGTTCTGGCTTTCAGAGACGGTCTGATTGCTTAAGCACAGGGCGTCAAAGGCCAGGATTCCTCCGACACAGTCTCCGACCAAACAGATCTGCGAAGGCAGAGAGAGCTCAGACTGGACACGACGGAAAGAAAATCCCCGAGTCACATACACGCGGTCGTTCGCTCGTGCGTGCAACAACTCACCCGTGTGCTGGTGCTCGCTCCCCCCAAAGGAGCTTTCTACTCTAACCCCATTCCCTTGCTCTCTTCCCCCATCGTGTCGGCGCTGACGCTGCCCCTCCCTGGCCCGGCTCACCGCGGCACTGACCTGCCCACAGAAGGCCACACCGTGCTGAGACCTGATGAAGTCGCCGTACACCTGATTGGCTCGGAGAATGACGGTGGTGATGGCCTCCTGGTAGAGGGGCGACGAGGTGGCGAGCAGCGGCAGGGCGGCCAGAGCAATGTGGTCCTGACTGTTAGACAAACAGCCCTCATCGTAGCTGTAGGGGCTGAGGCTGTAACAGCGAGAGGAGGAGGAAGAGGAGGTTGAGGGTCAGATGGCAGCGAGGCTGAGGGAGTGGCTGCTCACACTAAAGTGGAGCCGAGACACTTATTATACTAATGATCATCCTTGCATTTGATGCAAGTGTCTTATCACGTCTTCGAGACGTCTCAAAAGCGTTTCGCAGAATATACCGTGAGGTGAATTGACTGTGCGACTGTTGTGCGAAGTGCAACGACCATTTCCTGGCTGCACAACTCACTTGGATATGAGGGAGAAGGCCTCGGAGCAGATGGCCGGGCAGGAGACCAGCCTGACCGCCAGGTGTCCCAGTGCCGCGGGGAAATGGACTCTCATCACCGTCTCGAAGACTGAGGTTATGGTGTTGACGTCCGCCTGCTTGGAGCTGGGCTCCCCAGTGCCCGTGTCCAGGATGTTGCCTGCGTGAAGCACCAGCACTAACACATGGATCGGGCACGGCTGTACGCTGAGCTCCGTCACCCCGTCCTGAGAGAGAGCGAGAGGGAGAGAGAGAGAGAGACAGAGGGAGAGACAAAGAGAGAGCGAGATAAGAGAGGGAGAGAGATTGAGAGCGAGAGAGAGCGCGAGAGAGAAAGGGAGAGAGCGAGACAGAGAGAGAAGAGACGGAGACAGCGATAAAATGGAGATAGCGTGAGAGAGAGAAAAAAAAGAAATGCACGTCAGATACTGACATCCTCAAACTGTTCACTTCATATTTCACAGGTTGGATTGAGATAAAGCCCTTTACTCCCACCTTCCCCCCCACCACCATCTCCCCCCGGACACAATTGCTCACTGCTTCAGTGAGAGCCAGTGACCTGGTCCCTGTAACCAGCTCCAGCCCTGAATACACTGTGTTGGAGACATGCTTCCTGGTTTCTGTGCTAACCCTGCCCGGCCGCCTGTCTGAACCCATTAATTATCCTGACTGTGATTTTCTCAATGCTGTTTGGCATGTTACACTCTCTGGGGGAGCTTTGCTTGGTTGGTGACTCCATCCCAGTGATCTGAGCTTTGCAGATCACCAGTTTGAGGAATGAACGAACTTACCTGATTCCACCCCAACTTTCAGACAAAGTTCCCTGAGATTTAATCGCTCACAGCGATTCCCTGCTGTGTTTTGGTGTAATGAAAGCCACACACATACAGATATGCCCTCTGCTCATTGCGGTCCGCTCCTGACTAACCCGTGGGGCCTTAGGTCATTCACTGGACTCATCTGAGAGGAAACACAGTCTCGCTTTCCTCAGAATATTAAAGCAGATTAATTAAACTGTAAGCAAAGCCACCAGCCCAGTTCGGGAGCAAAGCCTGTACCGACCAGCACCTTGTTACATCTTCCTGATGTTAATGTGCATGTTGTTGTTACAGTTAAACATGAAACAAAGGGTTACCTTACAATGATTTTCACAGTTTAACACGACACGCGGTCTCGAACTAGTTACTCGAGAACCGGAAAAACAGACGCGCACACACGCGTACGCACACACACACTTCCCGGCACCAAGCAACCGTGAAACTTAAGTCACAATGCGTGTCTGACACATGCATCTCTCTGAGGGAACGCGAACCCCATGAGGAAACGCAGGGTTAAAGGGTCAGTCAAGCAGCGACCTGCCCCGCGCACTGCATAAAGCTGCAAACTCAGGCGAGGGCGAGGGGGAAGCATGGAGCGTCCGCAGTGCAAGGGTCAAGGGTCTACTGCACACCCCCACCCCCCACATTAAAACGAGGAACAACTTCTGCCCAGCGAGCACCCAAACCTATTTGGGAGATTAATAATAATAAGTATATAATCATCCCTGCATTTGATATCATCGTTGAGACGTCTCAAAGCGCTTCGCAGGATATACTGTAAAGTGTAGTGACTGTGTGTTTTGTGGGACATACCAAACGTCAGCTAGATAGACACAATGCAAAAGAACTGAAAAGGTGCCTTACCAAATTCTCATGTTGTTGAAAGTCACAACATTGTAAGCATTTTACAAGCAAGGACAATTGAGATGTCTTGTGTTCATTAAGATGCTAAAAAAAGCAATATACAGTAGGTTGATGAAGGGAGGGAAGGATCCTTGGCAGTGTTAAACATTTGCAGTCACTTTACTAGCAAAAAGTTTGGTACATGACATAATAATCCTTGCATTTGATTATAGCGCCTTATCACGTCATGGAGATGACTCAAAGCACTTCACAGAATATACTGTGAAGTGAACTGACTGTATATTGGTGGACTAACCCTAACAATAACATGAGTAACAGCAGTTATCATGTTCATGTGGTCTGTCCTTAGACATGTACACGCCTCATTACCTTACACGCTATCTCACTATCTACTTGTTTTATGTTAACGTCAAGAAATCTTTTTTTTTGCAATTTGGCATCGAATATCATTAGATGTTTTAGGGAGACGTCTAATTTGGCAGCTCAGAGCTGCCCGGGCTGGTGTGGGGGAAACTCCGAGGGTTCCCGCTGGCAGGCCCCGGGAAGTAAATCAAATAAAGTAAAATAAACGGTGAAACGTGTTGCCAAAAGAACATTGTAGAAGAGGAAGTGAGGGAAAGGGCCAGCTTTTGGCTTATGTTACGAGATTTTTAGCAGATCACTGGAACGCTCTCTCTCTTTCGAGACCCTAATAGCTCAGAACCTTGATATTCAACAGGCAGGTGAGAGGGGGTAGCAGGGAACAGCGAGGGGGAGGTAGGGGGGAAAGGAAGCTTACACGTTGCTTGCGAACGGACGGAGAGTGAGGACAAAGCGCAGGTCTGCTCACAGCAGGGAAGTGCAGCCTATGGGTTAGTCTCACGCTGAGGTCAATGGGAGGTGGTGAGGGCTCTACGACTACAGCAGGAGGTTACTTACTGCTGCCACCCGTGTGACTCTGACCTCTGGGATACAGGGTGTGACTTTACCGTTTACAGGGCTGTGGATCTGCGTATGAGAACATAGGCCGTCAGCGGAGCGGGGTGGAGGGAACACGGCACACACAGCGCTCCTGTAACCTCGCAGCAGTCACGTCGCGATAGGCAGATCCTCGGCACCGGCAAAGCTTTCTCTGACGTGCACAACGCAGGTCAACACAGCACTGTAATAGCTCTCGCATGCCCACGCCCCAAGGACATGGAATACAGATCACGATGCGACTGACTCATCACCGAACTTTGAAAAGTCTCCCAATTCGGAAAGGACAGAGCAGTGGAGCAAATGAATGAATGTGATGTCTAGTGAAGAAGTTACAGTTTTGTTTCCCCGGCTCGTCCCAGCCAACAAACAGCCGTGCGTACGGTCTCTGCAATCTCCCCACTAAACAAAGGGGCGATGCTCACGCACACAGCGATCCTGAGACTGCTAGCACATTGAGGGGTCAGAAATCAAACTGAACTAAAGACAACACGGAGCAAGTTTCTATCCCCCTGACGTGTGCTTACGTCTCCAGTGGCTAAAACTCCGGACATCTCACCTGCTTGGTCCCAGCCCACAGCGTGTCTGATTACGCAGGAACCGGCAATACTTAGGGATCAATAATCAATACCCACACCAATACATCTCAGAACATTGCCGCTGCAGTCAGCCACACCACAAGATCACCACCAGCTGTATTAGCTGTTGACAACATCGCCAACTAGTCACTGCTTCGGGGATGAACAGTGTGGGGCAGGAGATCAGTGATGTGGGGAGACCTGAACCTGTACAATAGCCTAGGGAACAGTTACATCCCCAAACAAACACAGCCCACAACTTCCCGGAGCCGGGCTGGCATTTATGCACAGGCTCAGCGTGACACAGAGTGCGCGGGTATGCACGCACACACAACACATATACACATACATACCATCATACACTCACACACACACGCGCACACACACACACAAGGGCGCATGTGCACGCGCACACAAGCAAGCGTGCACACAACACACACACATCACTACACACCCACCAGCATGCAATCACACACGCACGCAGCAGATACATTTTCCAGTAATGTAATGAACCCCCCCACTTCTCCCTCCCCGGTCTGATACACAAGTCACGTACCTGGATACGACTAGGTTCCACAGAAGAAGGATCATTATCTGTTAATGGTTCTTGGTAGAAGTCACCTGGAGAGAAAGCAAATGGAGTGGATGGCAGAACTCGGTAAAAAATCTGGTGTGAAAATAACTTTGCAAATGAAACGCACTTAATATTAATAATAAATAACTCACTGGTTCCCTCCTCGGCCTCGCCAGAGTCTTCGATCTTATTGATCAGCTCGTTTGAATTCCACTTTGCGATTTCCTTGGGGTAATTCTCCTCGCTGTCTGAAAAACCTTCTGCGGAAATTGGCGCAGTTAAACAAAAAAGAGCATGTGTGTGTGGGGAGAGCACCTGGCTGACTCAAAACACAATCTACATTCGCTACAGAGAACTTTTTCTCCCCCCATCCCGTACCATCGCCGACCGCTCCCCCTCCCTCAACACAACTGGCTTCTCTTGTCAAAAGGTTTCGGTGTAAACTGGGAAGGCTGAGACACTAGCTGATGGGGGGTGTGGGGCAATGGGATTGTGATTGACAACAAATAGAAAGAAACATCCATTTTGATAGCGTCGTTTTTTTTACCCCCAACAATATCACAAAGAGCTTCATATAGTAACAGCTGCCCTGTGTGGTGACTGCTTTTATAGAGAGACGTGGCAACCATTACTGTGGCAGCGAGGTAACCACACGCAGCAACACTGCCAGGCGAATGACCAATGTATCTGGGGGGTTGTTGGCCAGGAATTGGTTACTCGGCCTCGCTGTGCCGAGATATACCGAGCCAATCACCGCTGCGCTACCTTGTGCGTCGAAGAACTCCTCATCTGAGCTGTCCTCAGAATCCCTGGCAATGCTCTGCATCCGCCAGTCTGATATATTGTGGCGTGATGGACTTGCTGGGAAACCAAAGAAATGTCTGTTAGAGCACAGCCCACAGGCTCTCGCATCCGTACACACCCGCCCCCACACACACACACACACACACGTTTAGCCTGCTCACCAAACCAGCCATACAGAGGGTCCTCAGGCGCTCAGCCCTGCACCGCGGCCCGCAATGCCATTACCTACTGATTGCCCGACACTCAGACTGCTCCCACATTAACACAACAGCAACAAATTACATCCGTATTGCGCCTTTCACGTCAGGTGGGTGTCCCAAGGTGCTGGACAGTCAGAGATCCGCACCTGGGCTGGTGGTTGGGATCAGGAGGGGTGGGGAGGGGAGGGATGGGGACCGAAGGCACGGTCGAAGAGGAGGGTCTTGAGACGGAAGGCCAATGGGGACAGGAGGAGGCCACTGAACCATTTGGACATTACATTAGATCACTGCATGGCTGACCTTTCAATCCCTGCCTTATCTCCTGCCACGCCCTTCATTCCCAAAAATCTTATCTATTTCCCTCTCAGAGATCCCAACTTAAATCTGCATCTCACAGCCCACTGGGGGAAAAAGTTCCATATTTCTGATGTGCTCTGAATAATATATAGTTTCCCCCGATCTCTGTCTGTCTCTCTCGCTCTCTCCTCAGCTCAGAGTTTAACAGCAGCTCCTCCTCTTGTCTTTCTCACCACCAGAGGGAAGAGTCACCCCGCTGTGTGGCTTGTCATTTCCCTTCATTGCTGTACAGAAAACTTTGATCAGATCATCACCGCAGTAACCTCCTCAGGACCAGCATGGGGGTGGGGGGGGGGTGGGGAGGGAGGAAGGGACATTATAACCTGAGCCCACCAGGTCCCCTTTTACAGTAGAACAGTGGGGAGCAACACAGCAGATGGGAACAAAAGCAAGGGTTTCCACACACACATACACAGACACGCGACAAATTACATTTACACAGCGACTTTCACATTGGGAGGACGTCCTCAGGCATTGGAAGGTCAGGATTTGTACCCAAGCAGGGGGTTGGGATCGGGGGAGTGGGGGAGGTGGTGGGGGCGGTGGAGGACATGGAGGGTAGGGACAGGAGGGTGACCGAAGGTGCAGTCGAAGAGGAGGGTCGATATGTGCCTTGAAGGAGGCAAGGGAGGGAGGGACTGAGGCGAAGGGGCTACGGGATGGAGTTCCAAAGGGTGGGAGGGCAGAGAGGCTGAAGCAACCAATCTCGGCTTGAAACAAAGAGAGAGATGCCGACTGAAACATACGAGTTAAATAAAAAAAACACACAGCAAAAGACGTCAGCACCACTCTCCTAATAAGTTTCCATAAATAGAGCATATCACAGTAAACAGATGGTCTCAATACTGAAGCTTCACCAGCAGCCTGGCTCACGCTGTCTAAAATAAATCTCAGGCTTCCAGACTGACTCAGCCGCAGAGGGTGGAACCAAGTCCCATTTATCTTTCAAATAACGAGGTGGGGAGATTGTCAGGGCGGAAAGGGAGGTTGGGGGTGGGGGCGGAAAGAGGCTCTTTCTCTGTCGTAACAGGGAACCCAAACAACAACCACCACCACTTGCATTTATATAGCGCCCTCCACTCGGGGTAGCGTCTCAGAGCGCTTAAACGGACAAAAACAAAGGGAGTCAGTTGTCATATATAATATATACAGAGAGAGAGAGAGAGAGAGAGAGAGAGAGCGATAATCCGGCCACTGAGTTATCCGGGCAGAGTGCCCTCTGGCCTGGCAGGGACACTGGATCGATGTGGAGAGCGGGAGAGCGAGTGGTTGAAGCTTGAGGAGCACAGAGCGAGTGGTTAGCAGGGGAAGAGAGACCGCCGAGCCTACCTCCTCTCTTTGACGAGCGTGAGGATCTGGAGCTGGTAGACCACTGCTTGGTGAGGACCCGGTCCCCGATGGCCTCGCCGTATTCGTGTAGGGAGGTCTGGCTGCTCTCCACCTCCAGGCCGCTGGGGAGTTTGCCGTTGTCCTGGTCCTGCTCGCTGGAGGCCGAGCTCGCCGCCGTGGCCTCCCCCTCCCCATCGCTCAGGCTGAACTGTGCCATCTTCTGTGCCAGCATCACCTGCGTCTCCCGCTCCAACAGCCGGATGTCCTCCATGGTCAATCCGTACCACTCGTCCTGCCAACACCAGGCCTGCCGGTGAGCTCGCAGCATCACCTTCCTCAGCCCTGCCGCACACACACACACACACATGAGGCGAACGCTGCCGTTAAGAGGATTGATAACAACAACAACTTGCGTTTATATAGCGTCCCTCACACAGGGTAGCGTCCCACAGCGGATTAGGCTTCACGCTCAGAATCTGCAGATAATCAGGATACGAAAAGGGGAAGCTAGACAGAGGTGGGGTTAAGGTTATTCTTTACATATTAATCCTTACGTCTAAAACCGGGCCTTTCACGTCAGGAGGACGTCTCAAAGTGTTTCGCAGGATTTCGCTGTAAAGTGTAGTGACTTTGCAGCTTGCAGGTGAGGTGGGTGAAAATAACAATAATAATCCTGGTTATTAACCAGGACCTTAGCATGTCTTAAAGTGCTTCCCAGGAATTACTGTGATCTGGGAAATGGGATGCAATAGGCTGGCTGAGCAGCCCTATCCCTGTCCCTATCCGTTTGCTCACAAGTGATGGAGGAATCCTAGAACAAAACTGCGTTTAATGGTCCACTGGAATAAACATGTCAAGAAAAATAATTGGATGGGTGGGGGGGGGAATAGGAGGATAGGAAGAAGGAATTTACATCGACCCGTACAGCACAGAAACTGGCCATTCAGCCCACCTCATCTGTGCCAGTGTTTTTACTCCAAACAAGCCTCCACCCACTCTTTCCTCCCTTCTCCCTCATGTGTATCTCTCTCTCTCTCTCGTGTATATCCAGGGTTTAGTACACGTTGGTGGCTCCAGTGGGGGAAGCTATCACCAGCAAAGGCACACCAAGCCCCACAGCTGCCTTCTGTGCTGTAATTTCTAGCCCTGCGTGCACTGTTGTCCGTGCTAAATAAATTATATTTCAGATCCTTCGCACATAATGAAACTGATCAGCCAGAGAAATCAAAAGGGCTTTGTGTGTTGGACATGATGCAATAACATAGCACAACTGAAAAAAGACACCGGATTAAGCAGCACTCACACACTAATCACTGGTGGGCAGAGGAGTGTAAAGTGTCCCAGGTTTGAAGGACACTGGTCACAGCCACGTTACATAACTGGCCCCTCATTGGGGGCAGCGAGCTTCAACTGGGACAAGTTTAGTTTCTCCCACAAATACACAGTCAATCCACTTTATAGTATACTCTGTGAAGTTCTTTGATACATCTTAACGACTTGATAGGGTTCTATATCAAATGCAAGGGTTATCATTACTATTATTATTTAGCGACAGATAAAATACTGGGGGAGGTCCATAAAAAACAAGATACTGACAATAACTAACGTTCAAGACAACACAAATCAAAGTCAGCTTGTTTACACCCACCCACAGAACCGGCATTAAAAAAATGATACTTTACTAAAGCTTTATTGACAAGGTAATTAACTGCGATTTTATTAAAAAGATGAAATGTTTTTATGAGGGTTGTTGTTTTTCCGCAAAGACAAATTACTGTCAGCGCGTTCCACATTTTATTGGTTTTAATGCAACCCGGGGCTCGGTTAATTAAAGAGTCCAGCATAATAAACCTCTCCACAATCAGCTGTGTAATTGCCAGGCATTTAACCCACTGCAGATCACAGGCACAACACTCCGGCACTTCTAAATGTTCAGCTAAACATGTTCACTCTCTCTCCCCACCCACCGCCCCCCCACACACACACACACACACCATCTCTCTCTCTATATATATATACACACACACATATATATTACACTGGATAAGGCTAATGCCTCTTCATTCTAATCACGAGGAAATCTCGGCATTAGCTGCACGTCCGACAGGGAGAAACTGCTTCTAACATGACAAAGTTATGCGACAAAATGTCAAGTTCCCCCAAGTACGGCGTCATCATAATTTAATTCAAGTGTGCATTTCCTGCGGGTTGCGTAATGGGGAACTGAGAACAGACGACAGCAAATTGCAGGAAAATTACGGAGATGCCATTTACTGCTGAATGTGCACGCAGTGAATCAGACATAATGTCGTCTTTAGTATTCGATCAATCATTCTGATGCAACTCTTTCAGCCCCAGCACTTTTCCCCTGAAACATGTCCTCCCACTCGCAGGCCCATCACACACACACATCTTCTAGATGTAACATGGTACATGTAACAGGAGCCGCCTATCTCTCTGGCAGATGGAATCAGTCATCGCAAGCCCCCGCCATTTCCGTGATTTTTCACTCCAACGACGGGGGTGGGGGGGGGGCGAGCGATGCCTTATCAGAAGGGTGTTGTGCCCATCGCTCCCTCTATCTCACTCTCGCACGCAATCAACAATCCGCAGCTCAGCGAGAGAAAAGGTCACGGCAACTACAGTTTCAACTGTTCTCAGCTGCGAAGAGGCAGCACGATCAGGGGAACGAGGCACACAGGACCTTTCTCGCTGTTAAGGCAAACCGCGATAGGTTAGTGCCACGTAACTGTTAGCACATCACCTGAGCAGCCACTACACACACAAACACACGCTTCACACATGCGCACGAGCCCATGAGGAGAGTTGAAATTACACTTGGCACTCAGTTAATTATTCGTCCGCATGGTCAGGACCCAGGGTTTCTTTTGGGGGATTAACCACAGCTGAATACTAAATCGCTGAGGATTTAGGAGCTCAAACCACATCCAAACAAACATTCGCATTCATTCATTCATTCTCACTGAAGCCTGGGTCATTGCCACCACACACCTCACCCGTTCTGTCCAGTATCAGAACTAAAGCGAACTTTAAAACGTACATAAAAGGGGAGTGAAATCCTGCCAAATGCTTTGAGGTGGTCCCGACGAACGGATAGGGCGCTATATCAAACACAAGGATTTGGATCATTGTTTTCCTGGAATCCGAGTGAGTATATACCAAGCAAGATATCAGCAGGTGGATTGGACTCTGTAGCGCTCACACACAAGTTCAGAGTGTTTACCCCTTTCTCTCTACCCCCTCTACCCCCCACACACATACAACTGTGTTACTGTGCCTGTAAAGCCTATCCAGGATGGAGTTTCTGGATGAACAGCACACACTGACCTCAGCGTGTGCGACCGCCTTTATTGACAATGAATGAGGTAACATCAGGGCTAATAAAGGGACTGAGTCAATATTGATATTTTGTCCAATACTAGTCATCACTTTGATATTTATCAGATTGCGGTTGAGAATGAGTGCAGCGCTGGGGAAGGGGGGGTGGATTTGCTGATAATTTTGTTTACAATCTGCAAACAAGATGACTAACTTTGCCAGGCTTCATTAACCAAGGGATTGCGTTAGAAATCAATAGCCAGGATTCAGGGAATGAATCTAGTTTAAACCTGTATCAAGGTTTCAGGAACAAAGCAGAGTTTTATTACACCAAGCTCAGTAGGAACAAACAACAGATCGCAGGAGCAGATAAAGCCTCCTTCGCTCAAGTTACAGTCACAAAGAGATGACGAGACGTTTATTCACACTTGGCTGATTCCCTTATTGTGCTGAAAGCAAGGCGAGGAGCTTCCAAAACATTATTTAATGAGGATTAATACAAACAGAGGACACTTAAATACCACACACACTCTCACCACAGGCTCGCTCTCTTGAAAGCCTCTTTAAAACGGTTGAAACAACCACATTCACAAAGTCACCTTGAAGGGAAACACCAAATCCCAGCTCTCTCAGCCATGCTAGACAAAAAAAAGACCAAGGTCCATCTAGTCCGCCTTCCACCTTCCTGGCGGTCGCATGCACATATGTCCCGAACTACCTAACTACTGTATCCCATAAGAGCGTGACAGAGCAGAGACGGGTCAGGGCGCTAGCTGATCAACCAGACAGGGAGCAGACTCACCCACATCGTGAATGAAGCGCTCGATCTTGGACTGCATACCCCAGTAGCGGAACTCCACCTTACACAGCTTGTAGGCACACATGACGGGCATCTTCTCGGGGACGTTCTTGTACTCGTCCACCCAGCTCTCAGACAGGGGCCCCCGGCCCGTCTTTGTTGACTTGTACAGCTTCGGATCCTCCTCGGTCTTGTATTCGTTTGGAGGGATCGGGTCTCTGACGATATCTATAGGATCTGCGCACAGACATACATACGCAAAATGAATCGCTCGGCTTGTGACAGTGTACATTAGTTTCCAATTCCAATACCGATACCCTACCAACCTACCCGCTCCCTCCGTTCAGCGGGCTCTGGCCTGCTCCATGTCTCCCACCCGACCTACCATCAGTGGCCGGGCTTTCAGCCTCTCTGCCCCTACGCGCTGGAACTCCATCCCACGGTCCCTTTGCCTCGCTTCCTCCCTTGCCTTCTTCAAGGCCGGTCTCAAGACCCTTCTCTTTGACCGTGCTTTTGGTCTCCCACCCACCTCTCTGCCTTCCCTCACCCCTGCACTACCCCTCCCCCATGCTCGGGCCCCAACATCCGATTGTTCAGTGCTTCCTGACGTGAAAGGCGCTCTATAAATGTAATTTTGTTGTTGTTGTTGAGGGAAGATTCTTCATATGGTCAACAGGAGACGTGTTTGGAGCAACACTGAGCAGCTAAAGCTGCCAAAATCCTATTGATTATTGTGTGTGTGTGTGTGGGGGGGGGGGGGTTGGAGGAGGGATGTCAATCGAAAAGAGGAGCCAGAGAAACAAACCAGTGAAGCTAACATCAAGCCTGATATCCCTCATTGCCCTAAACAGTCAAGAGCATCGCGTTGAAAACATTAACATGTCCTGTCAATGTGAAAGGCGCTGTATCAGCCGTAAGGATTATTATTATTATATTAGTATTATTATACGCTGATCTATGTACCCACAACCTGCAGAAAGGTCAACATTACCCCAAGCTTCACCATCGCGTCCCATTCTGACACTATTTCCCCCCTTTTGAAACCCCCCAATTTTATCTATTAAAAAAAGACAACATTAAAAACAAACAGATAGAAAATAAAAGACTTTCCTTACCCACGATTCGCTGCCTTTTCTCAGTGGCCGAGAGATTAAATACATTGACATGATCTCCTGGATCAGGCTTATAATATGTTTCAATGTCAATAGAGAATTTCTCCACGAAAGGGCAGGTGTATCTGGATTAAAGATATAACCATCATGCTTAATAATAATAATTATTCTGTTACATGGATTTAAAAAAAATGGCAATGTTTAGCCAACTTCAGCCTCGCCACACACCAAACGCTAATGCAATCAATGTGCCGTGTTAGTTTTATTTGAATAAACTTTTTTTGGGGGGAGGGGGGGGAATCTACGGTTTTCAACTCAGTTCGAGGGGGACGAGGAGTCAAGGTCAATAAACGGAAACTCGAGCGGCCACGCTACAGAACCCCGAGAGGTTTGTTTTGAACAATGTGCAGCGTGCCCGGGCTGAGGTAATGATCAGTGCCGTGAAGCATGAAGCCAATTACTTATCAATAAAGCAACGCAGTTTATTTATTACCTCCAGCAGGGCGTGCAATTAGCCTCTCAAGAGGAGAAGCCATGTGTATTGCTACATTGCAACCCATCGCCGCGGTGGCTCACAGTGTTCTAGCTTTGGGTAATTAACCAATTTACTGTAATAGAACAACGCAGAGAGAGTTCCCGCATCATGTGGAGCGCTCGCTGGCGTGAGAGCCGAGACAGCGAGGCTTAGCGGCTCACCGGCTCGTGACCAGCAGCTGCGGGATAGGGAGTGAAGCGTCAGCATCACACGCAAGAGGCGAGACTGAGCCTCGAGGCGCTTGGCTCGGCTCAGTCGCTAGCACTTCTCCTCTGGGGCAAACACAAGTCGGGGTCAGCTGAGACGTTTAAGCCTCTCCGAGGCCCTGTCTGATGTTAAAGATCCCGCGGGGCTGTTCGCAAAGAGCAGCGGGAGACTCTCACTCCCTGTGTCCTAGCCGACAATCCCCTTGTCTAGTCCCGGCGCGAACGTTGAGCTGTGTGGTGAGGGACGCAGTGAGTGGTACGGTCCATCAGTACCTTGTCCTGGTGTATGGGTAGGCGTTCCAGGATTCCTCTTCCACGCGTAGGGCGGCCTTTGGCAGGATGGAGCGGAACCAGCTGGGGATGTGCATGCCGATGTGGTAGACTTTTTTGGTGTACTGCCCGGAGCCCCCCGGTCCGTCCACGTAGGGCCGGTTCTCAAGGATTTCCACCCCACTCCCCTCCCCGCACGTCTCCTCGCGGCTCTTTTTCTGGGGGGGAAAAATACAACAAAGTGTTGGGTGGGGTGGTCGCAGGTGGCAGGCGCTCGAGAATTAACCCCTTTGTCCATTCCTCCCCTCCCTCCCGCTGGCAGCCTCACCCCTTCCCACATCTCCCTCCCCTGCAGACACCCCCCCCCCAAAATAACGGGCACACAACCACAAATTACATTTGTATAGGACCTTTCACATCAGGAAGACGTCCCAAGTCCCGCACAGTGCTTGCCTCAGATTGCACAAAAGATCTCATAGAAGCAATGATGATCGATAATTTCAAAAGGTAAAATATAAAAGGGTGAAACATAAAGGTGGGAGCAGAAGACTCGGGGAGCGAGAGAAACAGCACTTCTTTCAGAGACGCCAGCAGATAAGATAGCGTGAACGGCCTCCTTCCGTGCTGCAACACAATATTCCCCGCTTCTCTCACCGTCTCCCTGGCACAGCAACATTCACCTTCATTTCCAGGTAGTTCTGATTTGCGAAGCGCTTTGATGGGTTCGACTGACCTAAAAAGCGTAACTTATTCAATCCGACTTTTAATATGGAACCAGTTTCTTCTCCAATCGGATCAAATGTGCTCCTGGGAAACCCTTCCCCCCCGAACAGCTTAGACAGGGTACGGGGCTGGATGCTTGCTCCCTCCCTCTCTCCATCGCAGCCTGACACAGATACACGCACAGGCACATTTCCGGGGCAGCATCTGTTGCTATGGCAAAGTGACTGCATCAGCAACCCATCCTCCATTACTCAGCCAGTGTGGCTCAGGCCGGCTAAGGTCGGACATATCCACGGTTGCTCACGTTGACGCCGTGTGTCGTCACCGGTAACCATGGCACCCTGAGTACAGGCTCCGCAGGCTCCTTAAGGCAACACGTTCCCTCAGAGAGCGCAACGCGATGAAGCGGCTCAGGCTTGAGAAGCCAGGCCTTTCACATTCAGCGTTTTACACACACACAGTAAAGGTGACAGACAGGGAATGGGATTAGAGTAGAGAGCTCCAGAGGGGGAGAGAGCACCAGCGCAGACACGATGGGGAGAGCACGAAGCAATGGGGTGAGAGTAGAGAGCTCCAGAGGGGGCTTTGCAGGTTTACTTTGCAGGTACTGTAACTATCTCGGCAGACGCATCATTTTAACCTGCTTTGCATTTTACTTGCTTGTACTTTCAGCATAGTCTCCTTGTAATCGGATTAGCCTAGACGATGTGATTAGCTCCGCCTGGAATATGTTGAAACAATCAGAAGGCTGAGAGAACTTGACTGAACTTTGCAGGAAGATTACGGAAATAGCTGGCAGTGCATCGTATTAACCAACTTGTTTGTGTGTGAATCAAACCTCTGGGAGGAGAGGGGCTATCCTGCCAAATCAGCGGCAGCTTCTCCCAACTCCAACATTCGTACTTACCATGTGTCTCTTACTGTACACTGTAGATACCTATCAAATGCCTTCCATTTGCCACCGCTGGTTAAACACACCCAGACAGACATCCCTCCGAAACACACACACACGCCAACACACAAACACCCCGACACACATACACACACACATCCGCCCCGACACGCAACATATCCACACACACATACATGGACATGCAACACACACACGCACGCACACAGCTGTGTTTTTTGATAATGTTTTCTCAAAGGAACGAGGCAGTTGCGAGTGACCTTCCAAAAATAAAGAGGAGAGAAAAGCCGGGAGGTGGTGAAGGAAGAGGAAATCTGGCGTGACTTCCAGATGCAGCCAGCGCAAACCAGCACTTGTGTGTATAAACATTATTACAAACTCAGCTTATTCTGGCCCAGCAGCAATAGCACTTCAGAGAGAGAGAGAGAGAGAGAGAGCACTGCACTTTCTGCACATCTCTTTACTGCACAACTCTCAGAAATGGGTTATATATGTAAGTTCCAGTAACAGCCACTGTCAGAAAGTGCTGACTCAGTACAAACAGCTGCCCTGGCCTCAGTCAGGTTTACCGTGGAGGACAGTGGATGAGGCATGAATGACTGTATTGATTGGGGTAATTCCAACGACAGCCAATTAGGATTTCAATGAGAGTTTTTTTTTCTCTTTGGCTTTGTGCAGAAATACATTTCTTTTCTACCGATGAACAAAAGAGGAGCGATCAGGCCAACCACACGCATTTACAGCTAGGGTCGTTGTCCCTGGCCAGGGTGTGGGACCTCTGCTCTGATCACAACTGGTGCAGTTGCACTACACTTGTCAGTAATTACTGCCAATCACCACAGAAACAGGAGTAGGCCATTCAGCCCCTCGAGCCTGTTCCGCCATTCTATAAGATCGTGGCTGATCTGTACCTCAACTCCAATTACCCGCCGTTGCCTCATAAGAGAAAGAGAGAAAGCCGGATAAAAATGAAAGCATATTGCACCCAAAGCAACATTTTCTATTTCAGATGCCCTTCACAGTAAATGTCAGCAGTTTAACACAATGGTGATTTGCAAACCTTCTCCAGCACCATCTGAAATCACCTGGTATTCTACCCAAATTCTCTCTAGCTCTGGATGTGAACCTTATTCAAAATTCATTTCAAATTGTTCATCATCCTGGAATCCATTTAAGGGGGATGAATTCCAGGCGTCATTTCCAGCCAGGTGTCTGACACATGTGGAAACCCATCACTACGCTTCAGAGTCTCCAAACCAATCTGAGATTTCCATGCATCCCATCTACACGTGGATTTGAGTTGGCTGGGTTTGAAACAAAGCGTAATTTATTAATGATTAGCAAACTGTAAAGCAAGCCTTTTATAGAGCACCCATCAACACTGACATCCAAGCCTAGTCCAACGCTTTGTTCCCACCTCGGGCGAATATCTAATAGCAGCGAGAGAGAGAAACACATCATAACATCCATTTAATGTGCACAAAAAGATCGTTGCCACAGATTACTGGACCCTTTTGTTGGCTGACAATAGCTTGCGTTTACACAGAAAGCCTGAAAGCACTTGAGCAATACAGTGGTGGATATGAGAGATGTAAAATGAACAGGGAAACAATACACTTAAAGGTTTTTCCCTACAGAGGGCAGGGAGGCAGGAATGAAGTGAGGATAAGGACTGAATGGGTGGATGGGGGGGGGGGGGGGAGGGTGTGATGGACTGAAGCAAGGTGCTCCTGTGAGGCTGAAACCTTTAATAAGTATAGTAAGCGCCTGACCAATTTACTGACTGTTTCACTTTTGTTCGCCTGAGTGTGTGATGTTTTCTGCTCCCCCCACTCTTTCTGTGCTCCGCATTGGCCTGTATTTGTGTGGGATTCAAAGGCAAACCCACAGCCTCCTCCTCCCCTCCCTGCTTCCATACAAAACCCCCCATGAAGGGCCTTGGATTTTCCCGAGTGTACGAAAGCTGTGAAGTGTCATCAATCACCTGGAACTGGGCAACAACAGAGGCTGTGGCTATACAGCGAAGGAGACGTTTGAATTATGAGGACTATGCATGCAAGGACCCTGTATATAAAGGTTGCATATATAAGGAACATCTTTCTGCTGTGAATGTAATCGGGAAAACCCAAACTGCTTAGAAACAGGGCAGGTTTAGTCCTAGATTGTTGAAAATGGACTGAACGGTGGAACGTCTGATACTGCTGGCAAGAGAAGGTTCCTTTATCCTATGGTTGCATTTTATATTAATCACCATGTTGAAGCTCTGCTTATTTGAATTAAGATATTGATTCGCACCAACGGGCTGAGTGAGTTCAGCAGTCAGTCAGTCTGCAGTGTGGCAGTGTCGCTGCAAGGGGCGAGAGAACCCAGAATAATTAACCCAGGATCCGACACTGAGCAAGACAGCAGCATGGATGGAGTGAGGGTACTGAACACTGCCAAGCAGATTGGATCCCAAACCTTCCCAGACCAAAACAGCTTGTGGCAAGTAACACGAAGGATAAAAGCTTCATTTCTGCCTACAAATAATAATAATAATAATAATCCTTGCATTTGATATAGCGCTTTTCACGTCTTCTCGACGTCTCAAAGCGCTTCACAGAATCTACTATAAAGTGAATTGACTGTATATTTGTGGGCGAACGCGACAGCCAATTGCGCACAGCAATGTCCCACAGACAGTCGTAGATTGAAAATGACCAATTTATTATTGTTTTTTGGAGGGATTATTATTAGGAATGTGGAGTAAGGAAACTTGCCCAAGGTTTCGCCCTCTGTCTGGAATTGAACTCAGGTCTCTCGCTTGCAAAGCGAGTGCTCTAACCACTGAGCTACAGGACTCCACTGTCCTGTACACACCAGCTACACAGTCACTCCATTTCACTTAAATCCTGTGAAGCGCTTTGGGATGTCCACCTGTCGTGAAAGGCGCTACACGTCAAGTTTTGAGGGTCATGACCTGTTAATGCGAACTTGCTACCCGTAGGCCAAAACACATCACTGTGACTGAGAGTCAAGCTCACACACCACACCGAGGGCTCAGTCTCACAACAGGCGCACAACTGAGAAATGCCACAAAGCACCTGGAACATGGCTGGTCGTGCAAGGCTAACTGTGACGCAAAGATTGTGTGTGATTGTGCGAGGCTGCCTGTGACACGAGGACAGTGTGTGATTGTGCGAGGCTGATGGGTACCACAAAGTTTTAGGGAGACAGCGAATGGAAACTTTGCTAACACATAGTGGCGCTCACCCTCGCGCCCCCCCCACCGATTACCTGGCCAGGTGTGTGTCTGGCGGGCTCGTACCTGGATCATGTAGAGCTGTGCGATGCGATATTCCTCCACGCTCATGGGCAGGGGGATGTGGTATTCCTTGATCAGCATCTTGACAGATAGCCTCTTCACGGTGCTTTAGCAGAACAATAACTTAAGTGTCAGGTCAGCGGCACGATCAGCGCTGGCGAGCCCACCTGCAGGAAAGCAGAGAAAGCATTCAGCACAGCTCAGCAGCCCGGAGCCTTACACACTGTTCAGTCACTGCTTTCTCTTCGCATGTCCTTAATTCTGCAGATTGCATCACCACCCACCTCCATCTCTCCTGCAACTCATTGGTTGAAATTCAGGCCGTTACAACACAAAGGAAGCTCTTTCCCCTTCTGCCTTGTTAGCATTTGCTCTAAACCAGCTAATGAGCCTTTCCTAACAACTCTCCCTTTTTCATCCTGCACGCCTTCCCCAAAACAATCTTCTCTCCCACAAAAGCCGGCGTCTTACACTTGCCTCACTCACTGCTTATGCCCCAGTCACAACGTACGGTTTGTGCCAATTAAATTATCCTTGCATCCGATCCAGCACCATTCAGTCGGGAAGGACGTCTCAAAGCGCTTCACAGGACTTGCTGCAAAGTGGAGTAACTGCGTCGCATGCAGCGACGTCCCACGATCAGGCACGATGTAAACAAGCGATTTTATTGTCAGGCAGCACACCCTGGGAGGGAGGGCGTTAAAGCCTTGCGGGGGTGTCTGTACGTTGTGACGCCCGTCAATCAGGAGAAACAGATGCCGGATATCTGCAGATCACTAGCTATGACTTCCATCACTGGGGACAGTGGGAGTAGAAAAGACGATTAGACGCCGATGCTTGCAGGTCGGAAGAGGATTGGAAAACGAGGAGCCAGGATGCCTGTGAGATGATTAGGGTCATTAGGCAACATCTGTCACAGCCACCAGTTATACATGTGGAGCCATTAGCACTGGTGTGCCTGCATGGCTGGGCTGCCGAGCTTCAGGAGATACCTCATCTCTGACATTCCCTGAGATCTTTGTCTGTTTCTCTCCATCTGCGGACCCCCACCTCTGCCTTCCCTCCAGCACACCCCTCCCACCGCTCCTCACAAACCCTCACCCCCGTCCTATCTTTGTTCCTCCGTCTGCAGTTATAGACCTGAACAGGGACAATGGGAGATGATACATTTATCACAAATTCCAACCCTAAATAATGTACAAAGAGCTTTCGTGGCTCTCAGCCCAGCAGAGAATTTCTCTGGTGCCAAATCACGCAGAGCCTAAGAAATATTTTATGCTTTTATTGAGCTATAAATCAAAGCCTTTACATTTTAAAAAAGACACCCAGTAGCACCTTCTAAACCCACCAGCTCAGCTTTTTATACTCTCAGCTTCCTGGCACCTGAGCAGCTCTCTGACACCAACACAGTACATACATATCCACACACACGCCCACGCATACACCATCACCCACGTACCCACACCCAGGCATATTACACACACGCACCCACCCACACCCAAACACACCCACACACGCAGGCAGACGCATACTCGCAGAGCAATTATCTCTATGCATATTTAGTAGGATGACATATTTCCTCCCAGCGCGTGGCGTAGATCATCGCAGTTTGATGACTCAATTATGAATAATTAACCACCTTTCGAGGTGTTAAAAGAAAGTATGAGCCGAGGACTGAATGCGTTTCGCTCGCCAGTCTGTGGGCCCACCTCAATTATTCTCCCCTCCTCCTAGCCGTACCTGCTCACACACTGCTGTACCTGTAAATCAGCCCCTTAATAAAGCCTCGCACACACGTTGGGTTCAAATGTCAAAAAGAATTCTGGATAAAGCGTGAAGCAACCATTTCCTTTTGCGTGTACGCTAGTCTCTTGCACTAGCAAGGCACAGTGAGAGTGCACGGTCCCGCCTTTGCCCTGTTCAGGCGGACTTTAAAGACACTCTGGGAAAGGAGAGGGGAGCTTCTTCTGGCTGACAACACCCCAGATAAAAACGGTTACTCCCTCAAGGGCTGTTTGCGGGGCTTGGCTGTGCATAAATTGGCTGCCGCGCTTGCTTGCAAAATTTTTACACTTCACAGACAATTCTGCAAAGGGCTTTGAGAAATTTCAGTGTGATGAAGGCGCGATACCAAATACAAGGATCGTAATGCAATCACAGAGAGAGGTCAGTGTGGCACAAGGGGTGAGAAGGAGGACTGTCGGGTCAGCCAGCGAGAGCGAGAGCGAGTGAAGAGACAGAGAGCAAGCAAGAGATAGAGGGTTAAACAGCAGCTGTTATCTCTGCTCATTCGGATATGTAGATTGATACGCCTGTAATTGACTGGCTTGAATTCATTACTCCCAGCTGGAAACTCTTGCTGCACCATGCAACAAATGTAGTTACTGAGCACTCTGCTCCGAACATTTAATTACAATTTTCAAACCAGAACTTTAAACCTAGTGTGCGTGTGGCCTGTCCCTGGGTACCGCCCGCGCTCGCTCGCTCGCTCATATAGACGCTCAGGCCTCAGTGAGTGGTTGTTACGAAGCTACCTGTACAACAACAAGGCTTGCATTTGCTCCAGCGCCTACAATGTCAAATCGTCTCAAGTAAGTAAGGGAAGTAAGGGAATCACTGTGTAGAGCAACGACTGGGTATGTGCAGGCAAACACAGCAGCCAGTCAACGGGTACAGCCACCCCGCGTAAACAGTCACAAAGTGAGTGACCGATTTTATCCGGGGGATTGTCAGCCAAGACACCAGGAGAGAGAACCGCACTTCTATTCTCCAATAGCGCCACAGGATCTTTAACGTCCTCCTGAACAAGCAGATGGAACCTCTGCTCAAGGTCTCAAGTGAAGGATGGCACTTCCGACAATCCAGCCCCCCCCCCCCCCTCCGCCCCACAACAGAGCTGTGCTAGATGTCAGCCTGGACTGGTTACCATTCTCCAGTGTCCTATTTATCTTGTTTTACTGCAGAGAAACATAATGCAGGGATATTACATTATCTTAGCTGATTCCCCATCGACCATCCCTCAACTTCCTGCTTTGAACCAGCGCTGCTGACGGATCAACCTTGATTCTTCCTGCTGGATTCAGAGACCAGCGTTAATTCGGGTAGTTATAAGAATAGGAGTGGGCGGATAACACAGCACACTAATTGGTTGCGTGAGGCAGATCAGCACAACAAACTTCCACAAAGCAGAGGTAGATGGGCTGTGCCTGCACTAGCAATCCCAGCCTTCAAGCACAAGGTGTGAACGAATCTGCCACTGGTTGCAGTGACCCACTCAGAGAGAGAGAGACGCATGGGCAGAACAGCTAGATTCACATTCTGATGCCGTCAGGTTCTCAAAAGTTATTTTCCTTCAAAGGCATTTAGACCCTTCTGTAAAACTGCTCATTGTGCAAAAAAAAGGGAAGCTGGTAAAACATTTCGATATTGGTCTAGTATTTCCGATTCTGCAAAGCTCTCATTTTTAATCTTTTAAATAAAATTATATTATATATATTATAATAAATGTAGAGATTTATTGCGTATGCAAGTGTAGTTTGGTCACTCAATCCACGACTGTTTGTGGAACACTGCTGTGCGCAATTGGCTGCTGTGTTTCATCCACAAAATACACACTTTACTGTATATTTCTCGAAGCGCTTTGAGACGTCTCGAAGATGCTGTATTAAATGCAAGGATCTTTATAGGATTATTATATTATACAGAAATATTATATATGTAATAAATGAACATACAACAAATATGTATAAATGCATACATTTCACATATATATTCTATTATACAATAACCTTTTGTACCAGGCCACTGTAGATTCCTGGATACTAGTGGCCAGCTAGTGCCCGCGTGCCAGCTCTGTCGGTGGCTTACCTTTCTGTGCCAGTGACAAGGTTATAGTGGATTCTATTCTGGGTTGAGAATCTATTTATAGAGAGGAAACATGAGGAGGAACAGTGGGAAGCCATTTATATTCCACCAGTGAATGACCTGATAACTTACTAGCAATGAGTTATAGGCAGCGACATGAATGGAACAGAAATCGTCACACCCCCCCCCCCACCACACACACCTACACCCACAACCCCCTCATCTTATCAGCCTGGCTCCTGCTCATTTTGCATATTGGGTAAGTAATTAAAATGATTTAAAGAAAATTGGATGTCGATTTTAATTTTAAATTAGAACTAATTGAACCTACGGAGCGACGTCAGTGTCATTGATCACTGTCAGCTAATGGTCCGGTCTGCCCCACCTGAATGCTCACACAAGGAACCAGCCTCACACAATGCCAGTGAGAGCGAAATCTGCTCTGGTCACTTAAAAGTCCAGCTCTCTGCCTCTGGCCACCACACACAGTGCAGCTCTGTACAGGTGTCAAGTTAAACGCACAATCCCGGTTGCAATAACTGCTCAGTCGGTCGGTGACTTGATAAATGGAGTCCCTGAATATAAAATTATAATAATATAATAATCCTTGCATTTGATATAGCGTCTTATCATGTAAAGTGAATTGGCTGTATACTTTGTGGGCGAAACGCGGCAGCTAATTGCACACAGCAGTGTCCCACAAACAGTCGTGGATTGAATGACCTCATTATTATTATTTCTTTTTGAAGGAATTATTACCCCCGGAAAAGCAATCCGCCAATTGGCTAACAACCGGGTTCCTACTTACTGCCAGGTAAACAGAGGCGTGTGGAGTAAGGAAACTTGCCCAACGTTTTGCTCTGCCCGGGAATCGAACTCAGGTCCTCTCGCTTGTGAGGTGAGTGCTCCGCAAAATTACCAGAATATCCGAGAGGGATGGAGAGGGTAGGGAGAAATATAGTTCACAAGGCACATGCCGGGGCTCTGTGCGCTGTGTGTGGGCACAGACACTCGCTGTGAGCTCTGTACTGAGTGAAGGCTCTGGGGTGAGTCACCCTAACACTGGAGAAGCTCAAAATAATCGCCGCAAATTCACTGACAACAGAACGAGCAGAACGGCAGCTTAACTCTCTGCTGGAGTGAACAGCCACCAGCCAGCTAACCTAACATTGTTTGCGAGGAAATTCACTACAGTATACAGAAAGTTTCCCTGTACCACCCACTTCTCGCCACCACAACAACAACAGCCACCACTATTTATACAACACCCATCATGCAGGGTGGCAGCTCGGAGAGGGACATT